GATACCTCCAACGTGGGTCATTCTCGCTAAGATCATAACAGAGTCCATCAAGATCCAACGTCATCTCCTCCTCCTCTCCTCCCTCCTCCCTCCTCCCTCCTCCCTCCTCCCTCCTCTCTCCTCCCTCCTCCCTCCTCTCCGCCTTTGCCTCTGTCCTGCATTGTTCGCTTTACTTGCACGGATCCCCCGACCCGCCTCAGCTTCAATGAAGTCGTGGGACAACCAAAAAGTGGTTATAAATTATTTTATAAATTATTTTATTTGTACCCTTGAGATGCACTAAAAGGATAATTTGCTTCCAGCAGTTCTGATTCACGTACAAAATGTGTAGTGTGTGTACTTATTCGTTTGAAGATATTTGACTAAAATTTGTGTTGATAAATAATGCAACTTTGATGCAACAAGATTTTAGAAATCTTAGTACTACAATTTTATTCATTACTTTATTTTATCAGTACAGTTCTAACATAACAAATGTTTTAAGTGTTTTAGTAGGTTCTGAGGGATGGTCATTTAGAAAGGTGGGTAGGGTACTGGTATTTTCATGGGTACTTGTGTGAATGTGTGGGTACTTTGAGACATCTTCAGGTTGATAAAGGAAATTAGTAGGGGTACTGATCAAGTTTCGAGGGGGTGATGAGTCAAAAGGACGGGTACATGTGGTTTAGTACGGGTGAAATATTTTTTCCATGGGTAGAGGGTGTCGAAGAGGTTTTCGGGTGGGGTGGGGTTTCCTAGGGATGTATGGGATTTCCTGTGGTCATGCTAGATGGAGAGAAGCGCGTTGAACCTGATGCCGAGAAGGATGTGATTGGATCCCAGCAAACTTATACGGGTTAGATCCTGCTGTTCATCTCCTGTCCTTCCTGCGAGCTCACTGTCTCCCTCCTGCTCCTCGGATGTATGCTGCTGAGTAATCTGGAAATGGACGCAACCAAATAATTCGGAAAGGTTTTCGGAACAAAGTTTGAAGCTCGTTGATCTCTTCTTGCTGGAACGTTTTGAAGAAAAGCATGATGATCGATCAACCGTACTCGGCATTCCATGAAACTAAAAAGGGATTCTGGCATCACTCACGATTGCCTTATCGATCGGTTGTTTTATTGCTCATTTGTTTTCTTACTTTTGGATCATACTATTGTTACGATATCCCAGGTGCTCTAAAAGGAAAATTCTTTGATCACTTTCAAGGGTTGACTCAGCTTCAATATAATTTGCTCTACTCTCTTTATAGTTGGCCCAATACCGTACAAGTGTTCCTTGGGGGCTATATCATTGACAAGTACCTAGGTGTCCGATGGGGCTGTTTCATTTGTTGTTTCATCCTTGTTGTAGGGCAAGGGATGGTGTCTTATGGCACTCAGATTCACAGCCTCGGCATCGTCTTGATAGGAAGATTCGTCTTCGGGCTGGGGGGGGAGACCTTGACAGTAGCGCAAAGTGCATATACGGCGAAGTGGTTCAAAGGCACAGAATTGGCTACAGCGTTCGGAATTGTGTTGTCGTTCTCACGTCTAGGTAGTGCAGTGAATTTTGACATATCCCCTGCAGTCATGGACATGTTCACCAACTCTGATATTGGTGGGTTTACATGGGCAATGTATGCGGGCCTCTTCACCTGCGTTGTTTCTCATATTTGTTGCATGCTTTTGAACTGGATGGACCACCATGCCGAGAAATCGAAAGCGAGCGAAGATCGTGCTATGTCTGTTCAGAGCTGCGAAGATGATATATTCGTTGAAGCAGACGAAGTGCACCTATCTGATATTTCGTCGTTTCCGCTCTCAGTTTGGATTGTTTTTGGCGTGACGATCACCTTTTACGCCTCCGTATTTGTTTTCTTACAAAATGGCGTTCAATTTCTGCAGCAAAGGTATTCAACGACAGAGAAGCAAGCTGCATTTGTGATGAGCATGCCGTATACTGTATCAGCCCTAGCTTGTCCCTTGTTTGGATATCTAGTGGACAAGACAGGTCGTGCAATCATTTGGATTCTGATATCAACTTCGAGTGTGGCAACCATTTTCCTTTGCTTCTCGTTTATGGACAATTTCTCTCCTATCATTGGAGTGGTCGGTATGGGTTTGTGTTACTCGATTTGTGCTTCGGCTTTGTGGCCTTGCATAGCTATTGTTGTGGACATGAACAAAATGGGGATGGCCTATGGCCTGATGACTGCTTTTCAGAATCTTGGTCTTGCAGTTTTTCCTCTGATCATTGCACCGTTGCTTCCAGATGCTAACCGCCCGAACACAACTCCTGCAGAATTCGCGGAAATGTACAGAGACGTCATGTTGATGTTCGGCAAGGTTGCAACAGCTTCAGCAGGACTGACAATATTGCTTCTGTTGGCTGATATCAAGGAAGGAGGCTGGTTGAATGCTTCGGCTGCTGCACTACAGGATCGCGAGCTAAAGAAAGCTCGTGAAGAAGCACGAGAGGCACATGTGACTGGCTACTCAACACCTGCCGTGTATACCCACCATGTACATCACCGCAACAAATACCTAGCAAGACTTGGTATTCGACCTCACGGAGGTCCCAGATTATTCCCAGAGGATTTCACCCAACAGGTATGAGCAACAATCTTTTTCTCATGTTCTTTCCGTTGCACACAGCATGTCTGACTGATTCCCCGTTCAGATCACTGCTCGGTTACCAGATTATGCTGCCGACATGCATCGACATTTTCCGTGGGATTCGGACTTGAGTTCTCACAGTTACTCTTCGCGCAATGGTCGACCCTACGAACCTCTTGACCGAGAGGAAGGCCATCATCTCATCCCCGCCACGAGACCTACACAGAGGTATGTGCACACTTGGTTTCTCGACTGGGTTGTTGAAATGTTACCATCGCAGCCCTCAGCCAATGGTTTCGATCTGAGACACTGCCAAGTTGCCATTTAGATCACATGTGTATTAATGACAATCCGACATGTACATACAATGCTTTCACATTCGTCAAGAGGACTGAGCTCTTTCCTTGAAATTAACCTCATTCAAGTCAAAGTAGTCGTATTGAAATGCTGATTCTCGCAAGTCTGTTGAACTTGAGCCCTTGAGGATGATTCGAGCCTGAATCGTTATGATGGCCATGAGCTGCCATTTTCTTATCACGTCGCATGCTTGACTTTGAACGAGAGTCATCTGCGATTATAGTCTGGTCTATTCACACTTGACTACGCCAAACCTTTTCAACACTGAAAATGCCAGAGTGGTAGATCGCAGGTGTGCCAAAGACCAATCGACATGCTCATGCTTGGAAGCAATGTGGGGCGCCAAGTAACAAACCAACAAGATGGGAAGAATAAATTTCGTTTATTGTATGGAACAGATTTACTGCTGGCGGTAATCGCAGTAGGTGTGGGAGCGTCCACCATCGCAGTTGTTGACGTAGCCGGTGGAGGGCATGTAGAGCTGCATTCTTGTCAGAAACAATCTTAAACGCACAAGTCAGAACTCACAGTTCCGTAGAAGTCGTGGCCAGATCCCTGTCCATCGAACTCGCCAGAGCCGAAGTAGATGTAGGAGGTGCCATTGCCGTTAACCCAGGACTGGGGCTGGATGCCGCTGGAACCAGCATAGCCGGTGTCGAAAGCTACGGACTCGAGGATGGAGAACACTGTAATGAGTGATTAGAACAGGTTCATGCCGGATATAAGTCCCAACAAATAAGATAGCGATTTAGAGTGTAGCAAGTCATGCAAGTGTCTGAATCATCAACAGAGAGCAGGTCTGGGAGGACATAACACATTCATACTGCATGCACATTGTCATGTTCCGCATGCGTTATCTTACTTGCACTTGCTGGCTGCTTTCGCGCCGCCTTCTTCTTATAAGCTTCTGTTCTATTTCTGGAAAACTATTACCCCTACCCCATACAATAGACCCCCAACCTTACATTTCTCAAAATACCACCCGCTTATCCCCTGGGAGAATGGTGAATTAAAGGGGTGATAGAACAGAACTACCCTCACATTTCGACTGCAGAAACACCCCCCACCCCTACCAATGAAACCCTTCCCAGTCTCCCTCTTGCTATTTTGAGGGCAAGCACGAGTGGGGATGAGGGGTCCTTGTTTTAAAATGGTGAACAAGTCTGTTTCTGCCCTGTTGTACCGTATTTTTCAACAAAATAATATTATAATTGTACGTTAAATATTAACTTTTGTATAGATTTATTTGTAAACGAAATTCTTAGGTACAGTTTCTAAGCTTGTTTTTTATTATTGAGGTGTACCATGATTCATAAGTGTATGAATCTTCCAGGCTGGTATAAAAAGTTTTATCAAATCACCGGATACTACCGACGGTGCTGTACCCCGGCGGCTCCTCTTTACTCCAAGTGAAGTTAAAAATCAGTACGAGGATCTTTTACTCAAAGTTAAGTTAAAAATCAGTACGAGGACAATCAGGAGAGTCGAGGAGGCCGGGCTTGACCCTGACACTGTCGCACAGGCCAAACGGCGAGAAGAGAAAAGACAGCAAGAACCAAACCCAATCCTGCCGACTGCTGTCCCCCAAACTTAACTGATACCTTCACTTAACGGCGCCAAGGACAAGTCCCCCGCACGGCCATGCCAGCGATGTCCCGAGGATCACTAGCACTGCCGGGAGCCTGCTTCAGTGATTATCCTGCCACGGTGCCAGGAACAGCTGGCCAGGAAGCTCTGAGTACGGTCCGGGCCCTCGGAGTCCGAGCCTGAGAGACGGCTTGCGCCATCGGACCGTGTGACCACTGTGGCCAGGTGTCTCCGAGTCATGGGCTGATCCGGGCCGACTCGATCAGACTCTGGGCCGCGATCGGACAGTGAGGCGGTCTCGGAAGCGGCGGCGGCGACCGGCGAGTCCAGTCCGAGGTACTACTATGGTCGTCACGGCGATCATCGGATATCCGATGATCGGAGTGGCATTGAATCGCTGGCAGGCCGCTCATCGGCCGGTTCAGGACATCGCTAGAGGTACTGGCTGGCTTAGTCACATGGCATGACAGTGCAGTGGGTACTTTCAATCGCCTCGTCAATTAAACCATCAACAAGATAGAGCTAAGTCCTCCAATCGTGTTCTGTATGACAGGGAAGCTTCAGCATCCTATCATTCCTGGTCGATCAAGGCTTACCCGAAGAGAGCTCCTCACGCTGTGGTGAACTTGAATGCGCAGCGAAATATCCTTGGTATGCCCAAGCATGTTCTTTACGGTAACAGTGTACAGCTGCATGTCGCTTCTTGAGCCTGGAAAGAACGTTCAGACCTTTGCAATCGTTCCCAGGCATTTTTTGATTACTCGGACTGCCAGTCAAGCAACCATCCGCTTCGTTCAAAGACAGGTTTGATGGAAGGGGAGGGTACACTTTGAAGCTCAACGGGCCCATGTTGTCATGCAATCTTGGACACAGGCGAGTTGAAACATGCTGAAGGAACAGATCCAAGAGTCAGCGGATGGCAGTGAGAAGGTGCAGATAACTGCACTGAAACATGAACAACCTTGTCGAGCTTCAAGACATCTCTTGGATACTCCACCTGCCGCAAGGAAGAAAGGACTTGCAGCGTTGAATCAATACACACTTCGCGGGTAGAGTCTGCCCAGCAGAGTTTGAAGACTGCAGGATCCATGGGGTTTTCTGTTGAACCCACCAACTTTCCATCTTCACTGATAAGAATCCCTTGTGGCAGAGTCTTGCCTGGAAAAATCCGCACCTCATCGGTGGAGGAACAATTAAAGATCTGTTGATTTACGGGTTCGTTCACCACCAAAAAGATGTTTGAGGAGTTAGCAACAAACATACAGGATTCATCGTCCACCGTGAATTCTTCCGACAGATTGTCAGTATTCGATATGGTTGATGTAGAATTGCTCGTTCCATTTGCACATCTTGGCATGTTGAAATCCAGGATTTCATCCCCCAATTTGAATTCAATTGATGTTGACAACTCTGTTTGTGGTGGGCGCTGTGAGAGCAAGGGAGAGAGTTCTAGTATTGTAGATAAGAATGTCCGAAACGATTCTGGAGAGATTGACCTTCTAACCAACGTATATACAAATCCTGGAAAAGCAGAAATTCAAAAAAACGAATCAACGAATCAGCAGGTTTGCAGTTTTACATACCTCCGGCGAAGAATAAAAACATCATAATCACATAACTCTTCCATGAGATTCTTCTTGTCCTCGTCTTGTTGTTCTTTGCTACATTTATGACCTCTTCGGCACCTCCTTCTCTCCCGCCTCCTCCTCCGCTCCGCACTGCCATTTTTTCCCTACCCGAAAGTTTTTGACCCCCCATTCAGGACCCCCTAATTCCTGTAGTACTAAAACGAGGTCGGGAGGGGTGGTCTCCAGCCGGTAGCAACGGAAATGCCTAAGGAGAGAAGCGCGGTGGCGGAGATGGAGAACTGGAAGGTGAGGACAAGTCATGAGGAGAGGAAGAGAGGAGAGGAAGAGAGGAGAAGAGAAGAGAGGAGAGGAGGAGAGGAGGGGAGGAGAGGAGGGAAGGGGAGGAGGAAGATCGACAGTTATGACGTGATGAGAATTCAGCGCTAGCGAATGTATGCAGGCAGGAAGGTATTGGTGAAAATTGCCCGATCGATCTGGATATGTCGGGCGGAAAACATTGAGAGGAAAAACATACAGCATGATCTGAGAAATGAGGGAGAAGCAGATGAATTTCTTGAAAGCATGTCCATTCATCCACCAGTTTACATCAGACTGCAGAAATAAGCAGTCACAGCAACACAATAGAAATAGACCAATGTGATACAACAAGACAGAAACATCAGAAATCGAGATGAATGGAAGTTGAGAGAAAGGAGCTCATTGTATTTATGCTTTAGTCTTCCTCTCCATTCGCAGCTATCACTGACACATGCAACTGCAGGCGGCTGTTGTGAAGGAGCAACAGGTAGCATCAGCCTTCGAAGAGAATTGGGGCTACCTGAAAGCTCGCCCCGAGGACTGCAAGGTCACTGCAAGGAGTCTGCGCCATTTCTCTTACACTTGTAGAGCAGCCGAGAGGCTTCGAGACGCGCCTGGTCAAGTATTTCGATCACGGAGTTGCGTCTGTGAAGGAGAAGAGAATTGCAGTGCCGGACGATGATCGAGAACACTCGGTCGACCAGAAGGTGCCAGCGCTGACATCGCAGAACAAAACTTCAATGTTTCGAACTACGAGCAGCATCTATGGCTCCAGGAACACGTTGGAGATGTTCGGTGCGAGGAGATACCCCTGGTTTCATGCTTTGATCGTCTTTGCAGGAGTGGCCCAGCATGGACTGAAGAGTGACATCACCAAGGTTCTTTTCTGAGCGAGAAGAGAAGAAGAACACGAGAAACATGTATATAGATCAACAATGCTAGTAAACATCTTTGCGGATTGAGCCAAACATCGACGATCCCTCCAGATCCTCCTGCACAACTCTTGTGCTCTGCTCAAGGTTCAGCAACACTCCGAGCAGAATTCTCACATCACCTGGCGGGTCAAGGACGCGGTTTCCACGGCTGCAGCACGTGCGTCAGACTGTCACACGACATGGCATCGAGTCACCGTGCTCGGACATGATCTTGGCGCTTCTTGCTGTCAGCTGATCGAACTCAAACTTCCTGCCTGCAGCAATGGCTTGAGCGCCTGCAGGAGCAACCGGGCAGCACCTGTCGCCTCCATGATCTTTGCTAGGCTGTCGATCGATTCGGCAAAGAGCGGATGACCTCCTCCGAGGTTGATCTGCGAGCGTGTCATGCTTGTCAAGCGCGGTTGTGACTTCACCTGACGGATTGACATGGACCTTCTCGTCGCTCTCTCTGCGTCCTCGTACCTCCCCCTCTGAAACAGCAAGTCGCCTGCGACGCCTTCAGTGCAGGATGACTCCAAGTCTGACTACCCAAGCCCAGCAGAGCCTCAGCTATGAGCGGATGAGTCGGGTTGAGGTGTTGATCCGCAAAGGAGGCTGCCTGGCATTCAGTTGAGTAAGAGGCGAAGGAAGTGAAGGAAGGAAGTGAAGGAAGGGAGCGAGGGGATGAAGTCACAACAAGACACGCCACCTGCTCGAAGTGCAACTGACTTGACTCAAAGTCTCCCGCCAAGTATTCCAATCTTCCTGCTGTGCTATCAGGGCTTTTCAGAATCATCCATGACCGATTGAATGACCGAGTTTACACAGGACAGCTGTGAATGAAGTTCTAGCTTTTGTCAGCGTCAGCTCAGCTTGCGATAGTGCGACGTCCTTCTCTTCTTGCGAGATTGTTTGATCTTTCGTGATCCCTTCCACCTCTCGCTCATCTGCACCGAACGTAAAGGAGGGAGGGAGGGGAGGGGAGGGAGGGAGGGAGGGAGGGAGGGAGGGAGGGAGGGAGGGAGAGAGGGAGGGAGTTTTGCCGGCCTACCATGCACCAACAACTCTTTCAGAGCTTCGAACGCATACTTGAACTGATCCTGTTCCCGGTCTCAGCGCCTCCCACCGATCCGCCTCTACAGACCTGCGCCTTGTTGACCAGCACGAACGACCTCTCTGCCGTCCCTGCCGTGGCATCCTTCCAGGTGCGCAGCAAGATCTCTCCATAGAGAATCCTTTGTCGATCTCACCAGGCTGATGGGAGAGCGGTCGACGTACCTGAGCTCAGCCACTTGATGTTGCGTCTCTGTGGAGCCTTGTAGGCCTTGTGCCGGCTGGTTCAGAATCGTCTCGTACATTTCTGTCGCCTCCTTGTTCCTTCCCATCTCCCCCAAGAACTTCGCCAGCAGCACTCCTATCCTCTCCAGCTGCTCCTCAGTCAGATCCCAGCTGCAGATACCGCTCCTCTTACGTTCCCCTCGCTCTCCTTGCGGCGCTCATACCGCTTCAACCCATCCAGCAGCCCCTGTCCTGCTGGTCACTTTGCGCTCTCTCGCGCCCTCCCCTGCCTTGTATGCATCGATGTGCTTGTCGGCCTCCCTGACGCATCTTCGGAGGTCGCAGTGCCTGTACGAGCAGGAGCTTCAGCTCGGAGGAGAGGACAGACGTAGCAGCGTCACAGGGTCCCGGCGTCGTCCTCTTCAAACAACTGCATACGTTGGTTCAACCCCCTCCCCCTCACTCTGTTTCTCCTCTGCTGCCTTACCAGCGGAAATTTCGACATGTCGGAGCAGACGCCCATAAGATTTGCCCACTGGCAGAAAGTCAAGTGAGTAAGGACGTCAACATCCTTGCAAGACCTGCTCCGATCTCCTCCAGTGATAGATCTCCTCCTCAAGCTTCCTCCTCGACGGCGGTAGAGATCTCCAGAAACCGCCTTGAAGGTGTTTGAGGAGCTGCAAGACGAGGGTAGTTTCACCTAGACGCCTGAAGGAAAGTGAGCAGAGGGTACAACCTCCTCTCCCTCGCTCACCGATGTACTTCCCGCTGCTCTTGTGGTCCAGGCACGAATCTTTTCAACGAGAATCAGGTGGAGTTGGAAGAGGAGGAAGACGTAGGCAAGAGGCAAGAGGAAGGAGGAAGGAGGAAGGAAGAGGGAGGCGGCAAGAGAGGGAAGGAAAGGAGGGGGGATGAGGAAGGAGTGAGAAGAAGAGGAGGTTTCAAAGAGGAGGAGGAGCAAGGAAGCGGATAATCTTCAAACCTCCTTTGGATCGCATCTCTCATGGAGCTGTGGCCTATAAGGATGTATCCACTGTATCTGATCCAGGTAAACTTTGTGCTCTCCAAGAACGTCATAAGAACAACTCTTGGTACATCCGGCATCATACACAAGAGCTCGTACTCTGACAGCCCCCAGCAGCTGCCCCACAACAGGCTGCAGACTCTCCGGACCAGCTGAGGGCACCGGGCCGTGTCAAACTGTCGCTCCCACCGATGCAGCACGTAGTCAAGCAGCGCCCAGACGTCGTTGGCACGGAACAGGAGCTGCCACTCCAGCTCGCACCCCACCTGAAGGTCCTTGGGGTTGATCTTGGTGGCCTGGTGCTCCCGGCAGAGTTCATCGACCATGTACCGCAGGTGCAGAGGGTTGGAGCAAGGAGGGTGCGCTACGATCCTGTCCAGGCGTTGCGGGCCAAGTGAGATGTCAGCGACGTCCGTCCACTGACTCCTCTGCTGGAGGTGCTGCTCGGCTAGGAGGAGAGCTGCTTCCTTGGTCCAGCTGGGCATCTGGTGGACTTTCCAGCCCCTCGCTCGGATCTCCTCGGCCGCAGCTCCTTCCCGGCACGTCAAGATGACTCTCGTGCGAGCTGGGAACTTCTTGGGGAGCCAGGTGAGAGGAGGAGAACCATCGTAGGTGTCGTCGATGGCGTCGAGGGCGTCGATGAATAGGATGACTATCCCCTTGGAAGCAGCTGCTGAGAGCCATTGCGATAGCTCCTTGCTCATCTTCTCCGCTGCAGCAGCAAGGGTGTCAAGAGAGGGGAGAGAGAACGGAGGGAGGAGACTGGAAGGCAGAGGGGAAGTATGAGGATATAGGATAGAGGATAGAGGATAGAGGTGGTGGTGGTGGTGAGTCGTAGAAATAGAAGAAGAAGTAGAAGTAGAAGTAGAAGTAGAAGTAGAAGTAGGAGCAAAAGAAGAGCATCGTACCCAGCAGCTTCTTGTTCACTTCAATCTGGAGCGAGAAGCGATCTTTCAGCGCTTGTTGGAGGTTGACGCAGAGTCGCTGGTAGTCGCTGCTGCCGCTGCTGCATCCTATGAAGTGCGCAAACCACATGGCTTGAGGCAGCTTTCCTCTCGACAGCTCCAGGTACTTGGAGAGGAGAGTCGTCTTGCCGCTCCCTCCCTCTCCGACGAGCACGATGGGCTCCAACATGTTCTGCCTCGGGTCGATGTGGGCGTCAAGGACGTCGAAGAGCTCCTCCTGCTGGATGAAGGGAGAGCGCTTGCTCAGGGCGAGGCTGCTGTGGCAGAGCCGGTCACGATGACTCTCGTAGTTGTTGGCGAGCACGGGGAAGGTCAACTTGATGCTTTTCTGCAGCCATTCTGTCGCCTGCCGCACCGCAAAGATCGGGTCCCTGTAGTTGTCAAACGTCAAGATGCCCTTGGGCAGGATCCTGATACTCTCCTTGAACTTCTCGAGCTGCTTGACAACCTGCTGATCGTCCTCGACGAATCGTTTCGCCATCTCCTGCGCGAACGCATCGCCGTACGTGTCGTCACGGAGGAAGAAGAAGGTCCTGCCCTTGAGCTTCGTGCTAATCTCGTCCATCCTGTTCACAACGATCGCCGTATACATCACTTCTCCCAGCGAAGAGTTCTCCATCCCCGACTCCTCGTAGAACTCTCTTGCCCACTCGATTTTCTGCTTCGCCTGACGGAGGAGGGGAGCAGGAGGGACCCACCCGTACCGCCCTCCTACGAAGAAGAGCCAGACGTTTGTCTCCTTCACGTCCTCCATCGAGCACATCAGCATGCTCTTGCTCTGCACTAGCTCGTCGTCAAGCATCGCCTCCTCTCCGAAGCCGACCCACTGCCATGCCTGCGGCCCCCTCCCCTGAGTAGTCTGGTCATAGATCTGGAGGAAAGGGTCAACGGGGCAGAAGGCGACGCCTCTGTCGCAGCACATCTGGTGCAAGGAAGGGAAGCTCTCGTTGAGAAGAAGCATCCTTTCCTCCCGGAAGTCCTGGTAGGTGGTGAAGATCAGGGGGCGGACGTGGTAGTTGAGGCTGAACCCTTCCTCTGGGACGAAGCACATAGAATGATCGTTGTTCTTCATGTCCTGCGATAAGATCTCTTGCGCGTCCCGAAGTTTTTCATTCTGGTACGCCTCCCACCATCTCGTCTTCTCCTCCATGCTGACCCTGGTCCTCTTCTTTGGTTTCATCGATGTCTCTGCCACCGACGAGCTGTAGCCATACTTGATGTTCCTCCTCTCGTTGTACCTCTGCTTTGCCTCCGCCAGCTCTCTGAGCGCTACAGCCTGCATCTTCTCAAGGGAAGCGGCTTCTCGCAGCAGAGCTTCTCTCTCCCTCTCGTTCTTCATGTCCATCGCTTCCTTCATCTTCATGAACTGCACCCTTGCCACGTGTCCCCGCCACACCCTCTGCAACGTGTCCGCTGCCTCTATCGCCATGTGAATCCTTCGGACCTTCACCCTCCCCTGCATCCCCCGGTAGACCCGCTGGATCTCGATGCTCGCGTGCACGGCTCGTCGCAGGACCTCTGCCTGATCCTCCTTTTGCTGTTTGATCGCCCGCAGGTACTTGCTTACCTCCTCGATCTCCACCTCCAGCCGTTTGATCTCTCGCTTCGCCTCCCTCGCCGGGATCTCAGGGGCAGCCATCCAGGAGAACTCGGTGCAGGAGGAGAGGACAAGACCTCTTCGCAGCCTTGAGGAAGGGTCGTTTACCATGTCCTTGAGGATCATCGCAATGAAACCGGAGTCGAGCTCTTCCTTTACCAGCATGCTCGTCCTGCGCTCGAGCTGACTCGACCTCCTCTCCAACATGCTGGACTTCCGTTCCAGCTGGCTTGACCTCCGCTCGAGAGGCCTGCCGAAGGGAGCGTCTTCCTTTTTCTGCGGGAGGATAGAGAAGTGGATAATGATGCTGCCTCTGCTGAATCTTTCAACCTCGAACCTTTCCTGGCTGATCCCCAGACTCATCGACAGCTCCGTCACCACCGACTTCTCCAACGCGATGCGATCAGTGTCAGTCTGCAAGTCTTCGAACCTTCGGTTCAGCTTCAACTTCGCGTCTACGAACTCGATCTTCTCCCTCGTCTTGTCGTCCTGCAGTCCAGACGACTCCGGGACAAGCTCACCAGCCCCATCCGGGAGGTTTGAGCATGATTGGAGCAGTTGTGTTTTGGCGTCTTCCGAGGCTTTGAGGTAAGCTTGCAATGGCTTTGCTATCGTGTCGTCTGAGAGCAGAAACTCGATGGCCTGCATAGACAAGATGCTTCGATCTCGCTTTTTCTCCTCCTCCAACGCATTCTCACATTCAAAGAACTCCAGTGTCGAGTCCACCTTCACCTGCTTGAAATTCATCTTCTCGCACAGATTCACGCACTTTTTTGCAAAGTCTGTTCGGTCTTGTCGAAGTTGCATGATCTCTTCATATAAGACATCCAGAGACTTGTTAAAATTCTCAAGGAGAGAAAGCACGGAGAACAGCCTTGTGTTTGCCGCTTGTCGCATGTTTGAAACAGCTTGATCATGCTCAGCCTGCCGCCTCATATCAAGGGCTTGATGTTCCAGCAGGAGGATGTCATATCTTGACTTCAGGTCTGCAAGCTCTGCCAGTGCTCGTTGTTCTGAAGCCCTAGAACGAGCATACTGCGCTTCCATGAACGATCGATCTACCTGACTTTGACCCTCTGAGCAAACACGTCAGAGTCTGCTATGAGGGACAAGAGAACGCCACTCTGAAGACTTGCTCACCTGCGATGGCCTTGGACTCTCGATCTCTCGCAGCATTCTCCCGCACAAGAAGTCCTTGCCTTGCAAGATTCTTCTTCTCTGCATCGGCTACGATCTTCAGCTTCCTGTACTCTTCTCGCTGGAGCTCCAGCTCCTGCACCGTCGACTCCAACTCTCGTATCCGAGCCTCTCGATTGCGCACGTGCGCGATGGACTGGGCTGCACCCATGAATTATAGTAAGAACCTGCGTCTACTCCGACGGACCTGCTGCTTTTCCCGTCAAGCCAGGCTACTTCGAGCTGCTTCTTACACAATTCTTCATTGTCCAGGTCTGTCGCAACTTGCTAAACCTCGCCATCTTGCAGCCGTCCCAGCTCCGGTCGCCGCCATCGGTCATGGATGGCACAGCCGGCCCAGGCATTGATGTTTGACTCACTGGCCCCTCATACCGACCACAGGTTTTAAAGGTCCGAGTCAGTCCGACTAGTGTCCTCTGGAGTGTCCTTTTTCTTCTCGCCGTTCAACGGTTCAGTGGCCTGTGCGACAGTGTCAGGGTCAAGCCTCCTCGACTCTCCTGATTGTCCTCGTACTGATTTTTAACTTAACTTTGAGTAAACCACGAGTGTACGACAACAGGCTGGGCGGGCCTAAATTCGGATGTGGACCAGTCCTTTTGAAATTTAAAACACGTCCGGAGTCCGGACACTAGTAGTTGAATCCGGCGCGGACCGCCGGGCCGCCTTTACTCAAAGTTAGTCAAAAATCAGTACGAGGACAATCGGGCATCTTCGGGCCCGGACTCGGTCCCGGGGGGCCCCCGGCCGCGTCCGATCCGCGCCGCGAGCGCGGCACGCCTCCCGCGGCGGCCGGTCACCGGGGGCCTGGTTCCGACCCTCAGTTGTTTTTCTTTCCAAGACTTTGGCCGGCACACTATATACTTTCTTTAAACTCTGAAGGTTTTCTGTCATTTTTATTGTTCACCACATAATTGGACCACCCCCGGGGGCGAAGGGGGGTTCGATGACCTTTCAACCTCACAAGTCCGCCTCGGAGTGAAAAACACTTGAACAATTTCGTTTGAGAGTCTTGCTGCATCCTTCAACTCTCATCTTCTTCAACAAGATTATATTGCAGTGCTATGAATCTTTTTCTTTATTACATGGATGATCAACGATTTAAAAATGCATTGACATCACTTTTCTTCCATTGTCGCATTTTTCAAACATAAGTTGTCCATTTCAATTGTCCTTGTCTCCTCGTACGTGCCTTCGACTTAGAACTCACCAATTTGAAAAAGCCTTTGTCATATGTTTTGAACCAATGTTGAGCTTCAGCCAGTGTTGGCCTTGCTACAAAACTTCTCCACCGTTCAAGTTCTGCATCTCTGTTCTCTGATTCCATGATTTCCCTCCTCACGAACCTTTCAAAAATTTCGACAAGAACGGTCAAGTCGCTAAATCTCCTTCCTTCTTCTTTGGTTTCCATATGCGCTCTGCTCAATTCCTTCAAAGCAGGATGTTTCTTCACAGTGTCACCAAAATGCCATGCAATCCATGCGTTCTCCCACGTTCCAAAATGTTTGGTGCCGTTGAAACCTGACACGTTTGCATCTTTCCAAGTTGAAATTCCCATGTCATGTGCAGAATGTTCATCCTCACTTGCGGAGCCATCCCGCCCCGTCATCGTATCTTCATTTGCCTGTTGATGCTCAGGAGATCTGGTAAAATTATTTGTCATACCCCGCCCCATCATGTTGTCGATCTTTTTATCCATCCTATCGAAGGCCTTCATTATCTGGCGATGGCGAACATCGTCCCCCATCATCGCGGCAGCTCGCTCACTGCCACTGCCACTGCCACTGCCACTGCCACTGCCACTGTCACTGTCGCTGCCACTGCCACTGCCACTGCCACTGTCACTGTCGCCACTGTCAATTCCTTGCAACTCACTTTCCTCTTCTATATCGCTGTGAGTTTGACGGCGACGTTTGGTAGCACGAACATTTCCGTCAATCTTCCTGAGGCGTTTCTTCATTTTGCTTATTTCCTCCTTGAGTCGTCTGACCTCCTGTGCAATCATCTTGTAATGCAAGTTCTGCATGACATGAGGGGGGCAACCAGTACTTCTCATTTCGATGCCCGGGTCACCAGGCAACCCACACTTCACTCGACGCTTCAATTCATCCAGCATCCCTTCTGTTCGAACCAATGCACAGCTCCACATCAGGTGATGCTCGTCTAATCGAGTCTTCAAATAGTCCCAATGATAAACCAAGCTCGCGAGAGCATGTTCTGCTACACCTCGAAATTCCTGCCTGATGTGTGGGAAGCACGATTGAACTGCGTCGCTGACATAACTGTCTTGCTGAGGACCAAAGTGAGGTGGAAGGATAGCAAATTCTTCAGAATCGATGCGCAATCCTGCCGCTGTCCTTCCAACAAAAGCATCCCCTGCGAGCATATAACTCATTTCAAATGTCACTAACTTAGCAAAATTCTACCTGCTGCCTCGAACTTGAAGTATCGATCATAAACCCCTCCATTTGCCCACCCAGCTCTTCCTGTAAGTGCCACTACAGGTGGGCATTGGGTACTTCCACTTGCACAGAAGGTGGCAGCGCCCTATACCGGAAGTAAGCTCGAGTCACTATTCACCACAAACTTGGCTTATTCACCTTCCTTACAGAATGTGTTCCTATCTCATCAGCTTTGATCCCCAGCCTTTCCATTTCTATACACACTCTCCTCCGGCACGATAACAAATCCGTTGAGCTCCTGGCTGCCTCCGACTCTTCACCGTCGCCTTGTGCTGGTACCGACATAGTTCGGTGGAAAGACATCAGAAATCTATCATACTGATTCGTACCTGTGCATATGTGAGACTGATCCCCATTGAATGAACCATTTCAAAATACCAGGAAATAGCTTGTCGTTATCACCAACCTGGTCTTGGAACCTTGGGATAAAATCCTGTTCTTTACATCCGCAATTACCTTCCTCCAATTTTGACTGCTTGCAGGGGCCTCGTTCAAACTTGCAGAATCAGATCTATCACTCCCAGCATCGGAGAGTGCTGGACTCTCTCCGATAGGAACTGCTGGAACAGCACCAGCATCTGCATTGTGTCTTTCTTCAAGCTCCTTCTCTCTTCCAGACGCGAGTGGCAGTTCGCATCCACACCAACTCCAATCTTCACAACCATTGATTTGGTTAGCGCAAAGGTGATGAAAGTATTTCGAGCAAGCCGTGCACTGGATGAGAGTACTATCTCCTAATTCTGCCGGAGGTATCTTGCATTCTGTTCCAAACAAGCAAACATGGCTCGACGATGACATGCCAGGAAGGATGCGATGCGGCTGGCGGCTTGTCAGGGTATCCCGGAGGAGGGTGGGGTCCCCCCCAGTAATATTGCTGATTATAGTAGTGTTTCTCAAAAAGGCCGGCGCCCCTGATTGAACATGTACCCACCCCAATCTTTTCGGATAATAGCCAGGAATATTAAGGGGTGATGTTGCCGGATAAATTCATCTAATGGAACGATTAAAATTGATAGGGTACCCACCACCCCTTCAATACCCAAGAATTATCTATACGTGACCCCTCACACTGACCATAATTAAGAGACTAGGTAGAATTATTCAAAACACTTTGCCGGCGCCGGCGGTTGCCCCGGCATTGCGCCGGTTAAAGTTATGGAATTTTTTTTTTAAATGCCCCGAGTATTTTTTTTTTCAGCCTGTTTACCGCTGCCGTACCGTAGTGACCAAAGTGACCGACAGTCACGGCCAGCGGTCACCAAGTTGATGGTCACGGTTTGACTAGTATGTTTGACCATATTTGACTATAGGCCCGGGTCAAAGCTACAGCGGCTGGAGTACCCCCCCCCACATCCACCTCGGGCCTCGCCGCCGCCCCGGGCCCCCCCGGCCCTCACCCTACCAACTTACCCACCACTGACCCTATATGTTTGGAGCCTGTCACCTTGCTTGACCCTAACCCCCCGGCTGGCATGATATGACTAGCGATCACACCGGTACCGACCATCCGATCCTGTCAAGTATTGTCAGTGTACCCTACCTCCCTTTGAACCCCCTTGTTAGATTTCAAGTTTCAACTTGTTCCGTGTTCCGACAAGTTTGGCTAGACGCTGAGTGCTGCCTTTTCTTCTCTATACCCCGCTTGATGAGGCGAGCCTCTCTCTCTTATCACCCTCCACGGGAACACGCACTGAGCAGCAGGTCTCGTGCGGGTCGTGTACCTTCAGTATCTCCGATGAAGGATTGCTGTCAAGGGCGGGCAACTGCGAGCAAGCGACGTGTCAGACACTGCGGCTGACCTATCGAGGGATCAGCAACATATCCCAAGGAACTTTCAACGGCCTGTCAAGCTTGTACACTTTGGATCTATCCCACAACCAGCTGAGCTCGCTTCCGGCGGGGGCGTTCCAGAACCTGACAGGCTTATACCAATTGAAGTTGGATTACAACCAGCTGTCGAGTCTAGAGCGGGGGTCGTTCGACGGCCTGTCAAGCTTGCACACTTTGGTTCTTTCCGACAACCAGCTGAGCTCGCTTCCGGCGGGGGCGTTTCAAGGCTTGGCAAGCTTGTACGAGCTCAGGCTTGACTACAACCAGCTGTCGGGTCTAGAGCGGGGGTCGTTCGACGGCCTGTCAGGCTTGTACACTTTGGTTCTTTCCTACAACCAGCTGAGCTTGCTTCCGGCGGGGGCGTTCCAAGGCTTGGCAAGCTTGTACGAGCTGTGGCTGTGTTACAACCAGCTGTCGGGTCTAGAGCGGGGGTCGTTCGACGGCCTGTCAAGCTTGCACACTTTGGATCTTTCCTACAACCAGCTGAGCTCGCTTCCGGCGGGGGCGTTCCAAGGCTTGGCAAGCTTGTACGAGCTGTGGCTGTATAACAACCAGCTGTCGAGTCTAGAGCGGGGGTCGTTCGACGGCCTTTCAAGCTTGCACACTTTGGAGCTATCCAGCAACTTGCTGAGCTCGCTTCCGGCGGGGGCGTTCCAAGGCTTGGCAAGCTTGTACGAGCTCAGGCTTGACTCCAACCAGCTGTCGATTCTAGAGCGGGGGTCGTTCGACGGCCTGTCAAGCTTGTACACTTTGTTTCTTTCCTACAACCAGCTGAGCTTGCTTCCGGCGGGGGCGTTCCAGAACCTGACAAGATTGTCATATCTAAGCCTTCGCCGAGGCATGACATCGAGTCTAGAGCGGGGGTCGTTCGACGGCCTGTCAAGCTTGCACACTTTGGATCTATCCTACAACCAGCTGAGCTCGCTTCCGGCGGGGGCGTTCCAGAACCTGTCAGGCTTATACCAACTGAAGTTGGATAACAACCAGCTGTCGAGTCTAGAGCGGGGGTCGTTCGACGGCCTGACAGGCTTGCACACCCTTTATCTCTACAAAAACCAGCTGAGCTCGCTTCCGGCGGGGGCGTTCCAAGGCTTGGCAAGCTTGTACGAGCTGTGGCTGTATAACAACCAGCTGTCGAGTCTAGAGCGGGGGTCGTTCGACGGCCTGTCAAGCTTGTACATCCTTGATCTTGCCAAGCATCAGCTGAGCTCGCTTCCGGCGGGGGCGTTCCAAGGCTTGGCAAGCTTGTACGAGCTGTTGCTGTATTACAACCAGCTGTCGAGTCTAGAGCTGGGGTCGTTCGACGGCCTGTCAAGCTTGCACACTTTGATTCTTTCCGACAACCAGCTGAGCTCGCTTCCGGCGGGGGCGTTCCAAGGCTTGGCAAACTTGCAATACCTGTACCTTCACCCCAATCAGCTGTCGAGTCTAGAGCGGGGGTCGTTCGACGGCCTGTCAAGCTTGCAGTTCCTTGGCCTTACATCCCAACAGCTGAGCTCGCTTCCGGCGGGAGCGTTCCAAGGCTTGGCAAGCTTGCAAACCCTGTACCTTGGTTACAACCAGCTGTCGAGTCTAGAGCGGGGGTCGTTCGACGGCCTGTCAAGCTTGTACTCTTTGTTTCTTTCCTACAACCAGCTGAGCTCGCTTCCGGCGGGGGCGTTTCAAGGCTTGGCAAGCTTGTACGAGCTGTACCTTGGTTACAACCAGCTGTCGGGTCTAGAGCGGGGGTCGTTCGACGGCATGCCCAGCATATATCACCTGGATCTATCCAGCAACTTGCTGAGCTCGCTTCCGGCCGGGGCGTTCCAGAACCTGACAGGCTTGAATTCCCTGTACCTTTACTCCAACCAGCTGTCGAGTCTAGAGCGGGGGTCGTTCGACGGCCTGTCAAGCTTGTAAACCCTTGATCTTGCCAAGCATCAGCTGAGCTCGCTTCCGGCGGGGGCGTTCCAAGGCTTGGCAAGCTTGTACGAGCTGTGGCTGTATTACAACCAGCTGTCGGGTCTAGAGCGGGGGTCGTTCGACGGCCTGTCAAGCTTGCACACTTTGGTTCTTTCCTACAACCAGCTGAGCTCGCTTCCGGCGGGGGCGTTCCAAGGCTTGGCAAGCTTGTACGAGCTCAGGCTTGACTCCAACCAGCTGTCGAGTCTAGAGCGGGGGTCGTTCGACGGCCTGTCAACCTTGTACACTTTGATTCTTTCCAGCAACCAGCTGAGCTCGCTTCCGGCGGGAGCGTTCCAAGGCTTAACAAGCTTGGGAAGTATAGACCTTGATTATAATCAACTGTCGAGTCTAGAGCGGGGGTCGTTCGACGGCCTGTCAAGCTTGCAATCCCTCAGGCTTTCTAACAACAGGTTGACATTCATCCCCTCAGATGCTTTTGCAAGCCTTCCCCCTCTCAAGTATTTCACCTTGTCGTCCAACCCTCTCGAATGCGTGTTCTCTTCGTGGCCCTCTTCCGTCGGGTTGGACTCGAAGCTCCCTGCCTGTGCCATCACGACAAGCACCTCGGACCAGTCGCACCCCGACACCGCCGGCTGCTTTCTCAACGCCACCTGGGAAGAGATTGTCGAACATAGCTGGGCTCCAGCGGATTCATTGGCAGGCTCGGGCGACACGTCGAAGTTCATCTCAGGTACACGGGCATGCTGCCCTCGCGCACCCTCACGTTCTCGACAGGAGGATTGGGCGAGCTGATGACGATGGACGAAGAGGAGGTGTGGGTGTGTCAGTTTGGGCATCACTGCGCAGTGGTAGGTGACTGGCACTGAGAGACTCGAAGAGCCCAGAAAGACGGGAGCCGTGCTGACGGCTTGTTGTGTGCAGGAGAAAGGAGGGAACGAGACAGACGCTTACTGTTTCATCTACAACGAGACCGGGGAAGCGTTTCGAGAGTGGGGCCTGGCATCAGAGCTGGGGCTGCTGTGAAGGAGGGAGTCTCGCGAAGTTGAGGCTTGTCAAGTTTCGTAGCTGAGTGTGAGTTGAAGTTATATGCACACGTAGTGAATGAGTCATCCGTGACGGTCGCAACGTTTGTGACACAAGTATGCAAGTTTCAGATTCGCAAAGCTGCTAGGCTTGCATTCCGGGCGGCGGCGGCGGTTACTTGGCCCCTCGGAGCCCCTGTCTCTGACTATCGAACATTTATACCCCACTTGATGAGGCGAGCCTCTCTCTCTTATCACCCTCCGGTAGTGCGCTACTTACTACTGTACAATATGGGGATCCCACCCTTGCGGTGTCCCTTCATGCGGCGATCAAGCCTTTCGGTGAGGAGAGCCTGACAGCAATATCGTGTGCAGCTACAACTCCAAGAGCGCCACCCACTTCTCCGTGGTGGTTTCGTTTACCTCCCAGCCAAGTTGACGAGTTCTCTGTGTGTGGGTGTGAAGATGTGCACTCGAATCTGCTGCAGTGTCGTGCAGGGTCCACCGGATCGGATTTTCCCCGCTAGGGATTCACATGAATGACGCAGCGCTGTCCAGCGACGAAAGGGATGGCCGACTACGAGACGGACGAATCCAGCGGCATGATCTCCGAACCAGAAGCAGTGAATAAGCAGGATGTAGTGACCAACTACAACTACACCATGACCGCCATCCTCTCCGCGATCATCCTTATTTTCTACCTTCATCACGTGAAGAGCGCAAGCCACGAGATCGGGAAGACCCCCCCCCACACACACGGCTTCCCGAACCTCCACACACTGTACGGGACGCAGGCTTACGGTGAAGGCATCATCGTCTCGACCCACATCAACCCCTCCGGGATCCGATCATCACCCTGTTGAACATCCTGCGGCCGCGGATCGGACTCCGGGGCTCCGGTATTTCCTTTATTAGTCCTCATCTCCTGTCCACTGCAAGTTGCCTTTATTTCACCTGTGCGGGCCCAGATAAAAAATTTCCCGCCATGGCGCTGGTGCAATGAACAGGGTTGCGCGGATTGGTAGAGTGGGGGAGGAGGGAGGAGGAGGAGACGGTGAAGATGAGATGAACTATCGTGTACTTCTTGTGAAGTTCTTGGAGGAGATAAACGAGCAAGGTACAAGTTGACTCAGTCTGAAACATCTAACATGCACCAACAACGAAGAACCAGCTAAGGTTGTGCAAGATGATGAAGAATTCTTGGTAAGTTTCAAACTCAGCCTCGAAGATCTCACGATGTCGTGGAGATTAAGGGGCTCATTTCTGTGTACAAGCATCTTTCATCCGACAGGTGATTTTGTACATACTTACTCCTGCATGCGTTCAGAATTGTATCTTTGTTTTTCACTGGCTTGACATGTATCCACAGCGAGAAAGCACTCTCACTTCAATGTATCGTTGCCTTGTGCTCACTAATACGGAACGCCACGAAGTTTCTCATCAACGATGAAGACTTGAATCGTTTCTTGCACGAGTTGACCTCGGACAACAACAAGGCGGGATATCAAAATGAAAGGATTAAGCTCCTCCTCTTCCTCCTTGTGGACATTGCGATGTTTGTTGGGAGCAGTGAAACAGCAAACCCTCCATCATACGATCTTGCGGTTTGTTTCTGCTCCAATGTGATAGGAGCCTTCACAAGCATCCTCGACATGCTTGACTCGGAGAGTGAGCAGATTGTGCGAGGAGTGGTCGCCCTTACAGTGAACGTCCTATACATCTTGTACACGCAGCAGGAGGGGAAGGAAGCTTCCATGAGCATGACGGACTTTAAAGACCAGCTGCTCAACCATCGCAACGGATCATTCTTCGGCGAGACTTTGCTCCAAATCCTCAACTCGCACGAAGGAGAGAAAAACGAGGCGGAGAGGTGTTTTGAACCCAACCTGACATAGAGAGCCGTTGTGAACATGCTGCGGCAGGATGCTTGTGGCTGTGCATGTCCTTCTTTTACAAGAAGACAAGAAAGAGAACCATCAAGGATCTGTTCGGAGAATCATTTTCTTTGACAGCGACCTTCCCATCCTTCTCACAGTAGCTTTGCGCCTGTTGTCTGAGGAGGACGATGAGTCGCAACAGACTCTCTTGATGAAGGTGGGAGATTGAAATGTTGTCATCGACGTCTTGATAGTGCATGACAAGATCCTGTTTGACTTGATGTCCATGGAGACAATACAAGGGAACCAGTGCGTGCAAGGGGAATCATTGCCCGTGTTGCGAGTCTGATACAAACTGACAGGATGACGTGTAAAGATATATCATTGACGATGAACAACTTGTTGGAATCCTCAAGAGTAAGCAGACTGGTCAAGGTAACAGCCCTCGACACCGAGTGAACTTTTGTTGAGCATCTCCCGCAGGACCAAGCAGAAGAGTTTCTCACGGAATTCATTCACGTGTTGGATAGACAATGAAAGAAGCCCACGAGGCAAGCTGCCATCGACCTCTTGATAAATATTCCTCCCCTCACCCTTGGCCTTTACCCTCTATCTTCTCCTCTCCGCTCCTTCTTCACTCCTCCTCCTCCTCCTCCTCCTCCTGCGCCCCCATCGTTCACAATCAGTCTTCCCGCTCCTGATCCTCAATCCCCCCACTTCGACAACCAACTTCCCCCTCTTTCTCCTTTCCTCTTCCTTCGGCTGTCCTCTCTCAATTCCCACAAGGACAAAGTCTCCGGGAAAACTCATAGACTGAGTCGCAAGTGAAGGGAGCACCTGAGAAGAATAGAGAATTAGACAGCAGAAGAGGAGGATGGAGACTACAAGCAGAGACAGCAGAAGAGGAGGAAGGAGACTACGAGCAGAGACAGCAGAAGAGGAGGATGGAGACTACAAGCAGAGACAGCAGAAGAGGAGGATGGAGACTACAAGCAGAGACAGCAGAAGAGGAGGAAGGAGACTACAAGCAGAGACAGCAGAAGTGGAGGATGGAGACTACAAGCAGAGACAGCAGAAGAGGAGGATGGAGACTACAAGCAGAGACAGCAGAAGAGGAGGATGGAGACTACAAGCAGAGACAGCAGAAGAGGAGGAAGGAGACTACGAGCAGAGACAGCAGAAGAGGAGGATGGAGACTACAAGCAGAGACAGCAGAAGAGGAGGAAGGAGACTACGAGCAGAGACAGCAGAAGAGGAGGATGGAGACTACAAGCAGAGACAGCAGAAGAGGAGGATGGAGACTACAAGCAGAGACAGCAGAAGAGGAGGATGGAGACTACAAGCAGAGACAGCAGAAGAGGAGGATGGAGACTACAAGCAGAGACAGCAGAAGAGGAGGATGGAGACTACAAGCAGAGACAGCAGAAGAGGAGGATGGAGACTACAAGCAGAGACAGCAGAAGAGGAGGATGGAGACTACAAGCAGAGACAGCAGAAGAGGAGGAAGGAGACTACAAGCAGAGACAGCAGAAGAGGAGGAAGGAGACTACGAGCAGAGACAGCAGAAGAGGAGGAAGGAGATTTTGACAAGCAAACTTACCGAGAGGAGCATTGTTGATGAGACATTGCATCCTCTGCCTGTAAACACGAAAGAAAAAGTCAAACGCGGGTCGGAGTGACACAATCAGGACGTGTTGAAGGCCGGGAGGTCCGCGCCAAAGAATTCTCTGTTGCATCCCTGAGGAGAACAAATCAGCAGTCGGCACTACCCGGGAGGAAAGCAAACGGACATGCAGACACTGAAAGTTCTTCTCTAGCTCTCTACACAAGTTGATCCGGTTGCTGTACTCTGAAGTGACAGATTTTAGTCTTCGTCTCTCCTCCTCCTCCTTGTTCTTTTCCTCTCTCCTCCTCCTCCTCCTCCTCCTCTTCCCGCAGTACTATCCCAGCCCCTCTCAATCTTATCGCCTTTGGCACTTCCTGGTCTTCCTGCACTCCTCTTACCTGCGTGACAAATCTTGCCGATACTGTTGCATGTTGTGTCGCAGTTAGCGCCAAGTCTTCCAACCTGAGGAGGAGCAGCAACTTCACATTCATGATTTGTACTCTCATCGTACAGTGACGGTTGTTGTGATGTTCGATCTCCACCATCATCATCTCCATCGCCATCAACAACATCATCATCATTATCACAATCATCACCATCATCGCCACCACCACCATCATACTCTTCGCGATCATCATCACAATGTATCAACGCGTCATTGCGATTTTCACCTCCATCGTGAAGTTGGCAGACGCAGGGAGAGGCTCAAAGATCGTCTAGAAAAGTCTCAGGCAAGCGACAGAGCGATTTCAATTTCTCACGTTCTCCTCGCTGATGGTTATCACTTTTGAGTATCTGCTGCCAACATTAGGAACGTGAAACGGGCACGGGGAGTTTCCTTCTATCGCAATCATGAAGGAATGTTGTCAGAGTTCTTGAAAGCCTGTCAGAAGAGTCATCAAACATCATCTTCTTCAAGAATGATCTTGTTTTCAATGTCCTCACCGCTCCCGTGGGTCGAGGAAAGTTTGATGAATCCACGATCCCTTTCATAGCATTTCAACTTGAAATTCCATTTTGACACTTATTTACCTGAGAATGCCGAATGTGTACAACAAAATGTTTCGGAAAACCCCAAAATTCATAACCCGCAGCATTTAGTTCGTAGTTGTGGCTGGAAAGAAACGATAGTGTGAGAAAAACATCGTCTGAAGCTTTCAACAACACAATGGGCGACAGGAGTCAAGATTTTGCTGAATGAAGTAAGAATAAACCAGCAGGCATATGTTTGAACTCAATGAAATAAATAGGTGTCAACGTCATTGATCACCTGGCCTTATCATTGCCGTAGCCAAAGAATCTCACATCAAACCTTGGGATCGTGCGAGGAGCTGCAATGGAATTCAGGAAATAATGACGAAGACGAGGTCAAAACCTAAAATATAGGGCTCGTAAGGAAACCTGTAGGATATTCTGTATGGATCTGTCGCTGTCATCCACTGTATGTTGCTAGATTAGAATGGGGTAAACTCTCATTCAAACATCATACAACTCTCATTCAAACATCATACAACTCTCATTCAAACATCATACAACTCTCATTCAAACATCATACAACTCTCATTCAAACATCATACAACTCTCATTCAAACATCATACAACTCTCATTCAAACATCATACAACTCTCATTCAAACATCATACAACTCTCATTCAAACATCATACAACTCTCATTCAAACATCATACAACTCTCATTCAAACATCATACAACTCTCATTCAAACATCATACAACTCTCATTCAAACATCATACAACTCTCATTCAAACATCATATCATTTCATGACAAAATTTCAAGAATAACAGACTCAACCAAGAACACAACTGCACTTCTGGACAGCAGAAATTCAAGATGTTGGTAATGCAGAGACAAGAAAGAACGAGAACACAGATCATCGGAAGTGGACCTTGTCATACTGAGTGTATTTGTGCGCAATGTCCCGTCCTTTATCATTGTGGACCTGATAGTCAACATGTTAAGAGGAGTAGAAAGTATCACAGTGAGGACAACCTGATGAATGCGACTTCCCATCTTCTGCAATTCGTCGAAGTTTGGTGGGACCGTCTGCAAAATGTTCACAACACAGTACAAAGGTTGTGTTTATCATGCAAGTACCTGATCTGCCCCATCAATCTCGAACGCCGGCTGTTGCAACGGCGGTATCAGTGCATTATCCGACAGATCGATGTTTTGACGGCTCACCAGCACGTAGACTTTTTTGTCATGAGCTGCTCCAGTGGAAGCAAGCTTCTCAACAAATGATCTTTGCATCTAGTCAAGCAAGGAACTTCCCTTCAAAGTCATGCTACTTTGTGGCTTCGTAAATGCCTTCGCTCGGCACAAAATCTACGTCCGCCAAGATAATGAAATCCTGCGCTAGCCCTTCAAGAGCCGATGACAGAGGACAAAAAGTTCACCGTGTTTGCTTTGTTGATCGCAACATTCCTCAGCGTGTTCACGGGATACAAGCCTTGCGAAGCCCCGACTCTGCAAGAAAGTCAGCAGGAGACACAGGAAGAAACGACGATACATGTGAAAGTCCACTCGATCGAGTAAATCTTCAATATCCTTTGTGTCTTTGCTGACATCTTTCAACATACAACTCACTGATACTGTAAACATGCTTGCTGTAGTTCAGCAAACCTTGACTGTACAGGGCTGCAGAGATCGGCCCAGTCCACCTCTCCAACATCTTCTTGAACACTGGGATCCTGCGGAGTGATTGAGTTCATAGCAGAAAGAAGGGGAGAGAACAAGAAGTAAGAGAAACAAGTGAGGGAGGGAACAAGAACAAGAAGGAAGAGGAGGAGGAGGAAGAGGAAGAGGAAGAGGAGGAAGAGGAGGAGGGGGGGGGGGGGGGAGGAGGAGGAGGAGGAGGAAAAGCACGTTACCTATCTGTCGTCAGTTGAGTGACCCATGTGACATCGATATTGCTCTTCTACGAGCATCCGTCACATATTGCAAGCAACAGAAGAGTTTGAAACCGGTCTGTATTTCGCATCTCTTGCCTGGCTCGTGTATACAAGACATTGAAACCCATGCATCTGAGAATCAAGCATCAGGTACTTCTCACTCCGACTTCTCCTATCATCTCCCCTCCTCTTCCTCACCTCCACGGCGAAGTTCATCTCCTCCACCTTCAGCGACGGCTTGGAAGCAGGGGAGAGTGGGCCATTTACGGAAGGGTCCTTGCGGTCTGTTAGAGCACACACATGACATGAAAGTCTTCAACCTCCACGAGGCCTTCCTGCTCGAGCTTGGGGATTTCTTTCTGCTGCTTTAGCGCAGCCTTTGCATCCTCGGAAAGCTTCTGTGTGGGAGTGAGCGGATCTCCTCCCATCATGCTTCTTCCTTCACCTTCACTGTTGCCGTGTGTGTGTCCACATGCTCACGAGAGCGAACTCTGCGCGAGATAGGAAAGGGGGAGAAGAAGGTGTCCGGAAACGCACAACCCAGGTACAAGTACAGCAGTATGGGAGCACTGCAAGAATGATATCACCGCTATCTTACATGAGGGATTGAAGGTTTTCTTACATGAACAGTATCACTGGGAAAGGGATCTCAAACCTTTCGAAACGTCATCATGGTCTGAGGAGAAAAAGAATATTCACTTGCCTTGCACTGAGTGGGCCCTTCCGGAGTATTCGTTTCGGTCTTCGAAACATTTCAAGTCGAAAGTGCTGCTCTGCCTAACATGCACAGTGTAGAGCTCCTATAGGATCAAGACGTTACTATCAGCTGCCAAATTTCCTCATACTTCACATCCTCCATTCATCTACATGACAGATCCCTTCACACCCTCCCCGCATCCTCTATGTCCTACTCTGCAGCCTTCTCGTCACATCCACTTGACATCTACCACCGTCTCCTTCCATCTGTGCTTCTTCCTCCGCTTGTTCCTCCTCTCATGCTCCCTCCCTCTCTCCCTCTCCCTCCTCTCTTACCCCGTTCCGCCATCATCGGAATTTCCAACTATTTTGCTCGGAACCTCATCAATATTTTATTGTAAAGATAAGTTTTCGAACAATATTTTATAGTGGATCTTTACTGCAATCTATTCCTTCGCATCAAGGGGGATGCGCTAATACAGTAACGTTTTGTAACGGTTCATGCTGGGCAGCGCTCACTGCTTTTATTCAAAGGTTATGAGCTCTCGATTCGACAAGCCTCGGCGACCGGCCGCGTGCCAGGGCCGCTGCGCGTTTCCTGCAGCACGTATCACGATGGAAGTGAGAACAGCCTCTCCTCGGAGCTCTAACTTGTCGACGGCTCTCCTGAAGACTTGTAGGATGCAGGATTCAGATGCGCGAAAGTTTTGATAAGCAAGCTGGTGACAGAGAGATGTCACGGCATGTTGACAGTGAGGGAGGCACGATAAGGACCTGGAACAGTCTCTCGAAGTGTTCAGGCTCATACGCAAATTCCATGAAGTCACACCTGAAATGTGGTGAACATCGCAGAGAGAAGGGATGATGAGGAGGAGGATCAGGGGGAGGAATCACCATGGTGTATGTAGAGGATCCAGATCTTCATCGACTTCTTCGTTCTTCACGAGTGGCATGTAAACGATCTCTGGAGCGCTGTCCTCCTCAAAGCCTGCAAGTTCCTTCAGCCTCACAACCAACGGCTCGTCCTCCTTCTCTACCTAGCACTGTGCATCTCCTCCTCCCGATCTCGATGAGATCTTGATCTCGGATGGAAGGAAACGGCAAGTCCCTGCCGCTCACATCAGACCTTCAGTCGACTTCTCTACATCTCACCTCTGTTTCGCATATTCCTCCGCGGGCTTCAAGACGTCAAACGAATCGTTCACATCAGCTTCTCCTGTTGCCAACACGTCAGTCAGCACACCACGGCAACGAGTCTTGCCCACCTGACGTCGAGCGGGAGTCCAGCAGGATTATGACGTCACTCGCACGCTCCCTGCGCAGAAGCTGCGACAGTCATGTCAGTGAGCACGGGAAGATGACAGGAGAGGTGAAGCGCACAGCAGGGAGAGGAGCGTTCATGTGAATTCCAGCATCTGTCAGGCGGAGGTCCGACGTCTCGGCATCTGCAGCGGTCAAGTGGTGAGGATGCGTGAAGGAGCTGGAAGGCTTGCTGGGAGGACAACCGGTGCAAGGATCCTCCTCAAGGTGTGATGGATCTTCGAAGAAAGGATTGAAGCACTGGAAGGGCTCCACAACCCTGATCGATCCTGCCCGAGAACTTGTCTTGACTTGCGACACCTCGTCGATTGCCTGGTCGGACGAGTTTGAATCCAAGATGTTGAAGGTGTCGTGTATGATTTGTACAACATCCCTACAAAGAAGATGTCAGGATTCAAAACACGATGAGCGATGGGTATGAATGCAAGCTTGTTAGTCATGTGCAACAAGCCCATCGGAGATCATGCAAGGACGAGAAAAAGTCGTTCAAACCTCCGACTTTGTGCTCTCGAAGACGTATTCCGATAATTCTTCTTCACCTCCTCTGTGCTGGCTGTGAAAGCAGCTCCCCATATGCCTGGAAAAGGTGAAGGAATGACCTTTGAATGACCTTCTGACAAGGCTCACCCATGCACACTCCTAGAGGAAACTCGGGAGTGACAGAACAACTTCTGCCTGAGTGAAAACTTCTTCCAAGCGACCAAATCTTCATCATATCGTCAATAATGCGACGATCGAATCCCTCTCCTCTCCTCTCCTCTCCTCTCCTCTCCTCACCGGAATTCTTTTGCCAGTCTGACTAGACGAGAAGGAGAAAGGAGAAAATTCATACCAATGATACTCATTGCTCTCCTCCCCGTCAACCTTCTTATGGTCGATGCCAACGGCTACATAGAGGGGAAATGGCCTGTCATGAAGTTGTAGACTTTCGATCTGACTGGAAAGGCCTCGTTCCATCCTCCATAGCCTACAGAAAATCTCAAAATCAACTTTGAAAACAAAGACAGGAGTTATCATAGATCATCAGACAAGTAAGCCGTCACTCCTGCTGTAGAAAGAATTTTCGTATTCCACAAAACTAAAAAGTTGAACATACTGGCACGTAGCAATTTTCGATTGTTCTCATATACTATTTGACATCTCAATGGTTTTGAACCTGTCTTTCGGGCAAGGGGGCAGCCAAGCGTTGGCAGCAAGTAGGCCATACATCTCGACGAAAGAAAGATCGCCCACCCCCCTCATCCCTTCCATCCTCGAGTTCGCACTTCGCTTCCCTCCCCTCAGCCTCGAAGACCAGGCCGTCCACTGCTTCACCTCCTCCTCAAACGCATCTCGCGATTCCTGTTGAGCTTCTCACCAGTTTGCCCGATGACAAGGGGGGGAAGAGGAAGAGAAGAGGATGGGGAGGGTGAGAGGAGAGTGAGTAAGTATAGCAAGCCCACCTGCCGCAACTTGAGAGAGTGAATGGTGCTTTGGGCTTGCATGATGGAATTGTTCACATGTAAACTCGCGTCTCCAAACAGCTGAGCTACTCCCCGTACATGCTCGTCACTCCAAAACAAGCTTGATGAATCCATTTTGAACGTTTCTATCCCAAGATTCGACAGCAGGATGGTTCCTCCGTTCTCGTCTTCCTCCATCGCCTCCTCCTCACCTGCACCAGCAGCTATCGGAGGCTGATTCTCGCTCCCTCCGAAAGAACTGGCCGATGTTAACAACTTTGCTCTGAGCTTCATATATTCTTTCCTCGTCTGTACATCAAACTCAAGCTTTACATCTCTTTCCATCAAAACTGCGTCCTGCCCTCCCTCCGCCAGCGCTGCTTGCAAGATAGGATGCCGCTGGAGGCAGAGGCCCAGCCATTGTCGCAGAGACTTCAAGGATTCTGCACATGACCCCTTCATATTCATCCAGCAAGCCTGCCAAAACTCGATTTGTGAGATGTCGCACATAGCCAAGATGTTCTCGACCTGTAGCCATGCTGATCCAGATAAACTTGCTGAATAAATACAGCAGTCAAGAATACCAAGTTCACTTGCAGCCAGCAAACATCCCAGCGTGAAAATCTACAAGAGTATCAATATCCGTAACACTTGCACGCAAGGTTGATTTAGATAATATCCTCCTTCATCCTCTTGCACAATCATCATTATCATCGCGATATCTATCATCGTTGTGACAAACATTATCATCGTTGTCATTGTCATCATCTCCATCCAACTTTCATACCATTGCGCGGACTCCTCCTCCGCTCGAGCAGAGTGAGATACAGGGAATGTCATCCTCACAGAGTTCCTCATTGAGCAGCGAAGAGAGTTTTGCCCGAACAAACTCTTTCCTCTTTTCAACATAGCTTCTCTCCTGCGCATCGAGTCCTTCCTCCTCCACCGTAGCGACTTTTGTCCACTGCTCGTCTAGTCGTGAGGAGAAAAACTCAAGTCGTTGCTGTGCATGGGGATGTGCTTGAATGTATATGTTCCTCTGCACCTTGTTCATGGCATACACTCCATCAAATCCAATAACGTGCGCAATTGACCTTGAAACAGACAAGTTAGTACTATCTGATGAAATTTCACAAGTTAGCCAACGTCTTTCACGAAAAACAGGGACAGGTCAATGGATAGCATCAGATGTTTCCCGTACGACCAAGATTGCATCTTACCTTATTGTCGTGTAATCGGTCGCGTATTGGCCTGGCATTGCTGCGATGAAAATCTTCTTAACATACTTGAGAGGATCCATGACGCAAAGACGTTGCAGGTTCTCTTTGGTGATGATTGGAGGGAGGTAACTGCTCCTCCTCGATGCAACAATCAAAGCCTTTTCTCCTTTCACACTCTTCACTTTGCAGAACGCTGCCATCTCAAGGCAGACGACCTCTCCGGCTCGGAGGAGGTACGTGTCATTGTCTGCAGGGATGTACACCCCAACATGCAGCATCTCGGTGCAAATATTGCAGACTGCAAGGGAGCCCGCGGGTATCGCTTCCTCTGGCATGTCACCCACTGGATCTCCCTGCTTGTACTGGATGCTGACATGATACTTCTCCATCGCACGTATCACCCTCCGCCTCAGCCACCTCCTCCATCTCGAATAGTCATACGGTCCGCACACGTTGCTCACCGGCTGACGGATTATGTTGTCATTCCCTAGAGGAAAGTTGCTCGAGTAGAACCAGCCCTCCCCCTCTTCCTGCTCAACCTTTTCCCCTTTCCCCTCCTTGTCTTGTTCCTTCTCTCCCTTTTCCAATGTTCTTCCCTCCTCCCTTCCCTTTGAGAGCCTCGGACTGTCGATCACCCACTCTCCGTCGGCTGCTCCTGCAAGTACCTGGAGGTCCCAAGCGCACTCCTTCTCAGTGAGGGAGAGGGAGCGAAAGGAGACGGCTGAACTGCTGGTATTATGGAGGCCATGAGGATGGCTGTCGCTCAGAGAAAAGAGAGAGAACACGTCTTTTGCGACCTCGAGAGCACTGCCCCACAGTTGCTGCCCTTCAGCCTCCGCCTTGCCCTCCCTAGAATCCGAAAGCTGATCCGTTGGCTTCATCATCTCCGTCAGTTGTGAGTTCAACCCCATCCACAAGGTAGCTATACTGTTGTCCTGAACGTTCGTGTCTTTGCTCACTACTTCTTGAGCTGCCTTGATGTCTTCAGGCGTGATTGTTTCGGCGTTCATTTGAACCTTAGACTCATCAATATCTTGGAAACATGCTTCTCTCTCTTGTTCTTGGTCATTTTCTCCGGCCATTACATCTTGGTTCTTGCTCGCCTCAAGGTCCACATTCGAGCAGAAGGAACCGTAAGATAGCCTCGAAAACGACGCATCCGACGCGAGTCTCCCCCCAAAGATCTTGCTCGCTTGCTGCAGCTTGGCAAAAGGATAGATTCCTTCCACTCTACTCAGAACTGGAGTCTTGGGAGGAGGGTCTCCCACAGGAAGCAGCGGAAACTCTCCCCAGTCAAGCCAAGGAGACCTTCTTTGAGACTCAATGTAGCTATCGATCACCACGACACATTCCCTCTCAACATCACAAGCGTTGGAAGCACTTTCCTGAGACTTCTGAGCAGTAGCGAGCCATTCTTCTACCAATACGCTCTTAACATTGCTGGAATCAAAGCTTCGAAGTACATAATTCTCGCTGTTGTCCTTGCCTGATGAAATGCTTTTCAATTCCTGACACCCAACGTCACTGTGTGCCGAGAGATGTTCCAGCGCATCGGCACTGAAGCAGCCTTCACTGCCAGCATGTGTAGGCAAAGACTGGCTGGACCTCGGACTTGTTGAAGCATGGTACCAAACAGGTCTACCGGGATCTCGTTTTGCTGGCATGAAACGAACGAAGTGGGATAAAGTTGTCAAAGGACGATCAAGTTGAGCCTGCTGACTGCTCTAACTCACATCGTCAATATGACTTGTAGTCTGGAATGCTTCATACACCTCTGTATCCTCCTCCTCTCCCCTCCCTCCACCTTCTCCTTCCCTCTTCGTGCTGTCATGAACAAAGCATGGTTTGTGGGCGCATTCGAGAGGTAGGGGTGGGTATAAACCCAAGTTCAGCAGATTTGGGTGGGGGTAGTAGGCCCTGCATCGTACCTTTGCTGGGTGGGTGATCTTGTTGTGGCAAGCAAGGGGTGATATTTCATAATAAATGCACCGGTGCTGGTGAAGTTACCAGATTGGCAAGGGGTATACATGGGTACAGGGAGGAGAACTAGGGGTAGTATATCCAAACAGGGTGGTCCTATGGGCCCGGTTATCAGAGCCAGCTCCGACTGAGCCGGGCCGCTCCGAGCCGAGGGCGGCCTGACCGGGGCCCTCGTTTGCTCAAAGTTAAGTTAAAACTGTACTCGAAGACGAGTCCGACTAGCGCCGATCGGACCGCGGGCCGTGAGTCTACGGGGGCTCATAGGCGGCGGCATGATGTGGCGTGCCGCAAGGGGAAAATGATGCGCCTACTCGCCAAGTTTCCGATGATTTCCGCGGGGGTGCTGACGGCGAGAGCGAGTAAATTGTGTCACGTTCATGACAGTGACTAGTGCGATAAATCTTTCATTGCTGGATGGACTCGCCGAAGACGAGTCACTAGCCCCGCGGCCGATCGGACCGTGACAGTCCGACGGTATGGAGGCGGCATAGAAATGCGCCTACCGTACCAGGGCCTGCCGCTTCGCCGGAGTCACTGCACTGCGGCAGGCTTTCTTAGAGACCGCGGCTTCTTTCCTGCGACCGCACAGCAGTGCGTCCTGACGCCGCAGTCCAGATGCCGAGCAAGGCGATGGAGATTTCTCTTCAAAGACAAAGGACGCCATCATCAAAGATGGTTGGGGGCGTTCATATGCCAAAGGGTGGGTTCCTTACACAAGTGGGGGTAGGGGTTGGTGTGACCCTCGCATGGGGGTACTGAGCGCTTCGGAAGTTCACTTCAGTACAGGGGTGGGTAGTGGTCAAGGTGGTTTTATTAGTAAAGATGACAAAGCTTCGCTTCACCCCCCCATCTCAGACTGAAACCCTTGGCGACAGGCAGGAGGTAAGGCCGCGCATCGAACCTCCTCTTTGCCTCAACCTCCCAAGGGCCGCCGGATCAAGGCACAACTATCATCCGATCGCTCTTGTCCCAGTGCTTCTTTGTGAATTATGTCTCAGCCCTGCGTTGTGAACGCCAACATGTGTTGGGCCTCCTCGCTGCAAGCCCACTCGACGAGTCCTACACGAGACCTCGAGGACCCTGCTACACCAGCTGAGACCATCCTCGACGTAGACGTATGCTTGCAAGAAGACAGTGGCCTTCAGCTCTCGGAGCTCGAAAGCTTGCCTGAGGTTTCTGGGCAGAATGCGACGATGGGCCTCCGGACACTGCTCGACCTGCTCGCGAACCGAACCCGGTTGCTGGTGGGGCGGCTGGGTCTGCTTCTCCTCGGTGTGGCCGCGAGTTTGTTGCTGACCGTGGTGGAAGTCCTCCGAGCGTTGATGAAGGAGCTAGAACAAGAGTCCTGCACCAACTTCCCGACAGGGTGCGTCTACGACTGGTTGGATGTGGGTCTCGTGCTCATTGCCAAGTTCGCAGCCTTCGTCATGTACGGGGCGATGTGGGTGCTGTTTCTGGGCAAGAGTCGCAACCTCAATGTCTGGCTGCTCAACAAGTTTCCCAAGGCACACTACACCTGGACGCTCTATGTCAACGACGTGAATCAGGCGCTTCACAACCATGGCAGCGCGGGGATGCTTGTGCTGGTAGCTTCCATGGCGCATGTCCTCGCGCATGCAGCTCGTTGGAGTTACCAATCGATCTTGTCTTCTGCTGTCCGATCCTCCCTCTGGAGTTGTTTGATGAGGGATCGCGTGACATATACAGGCCTCATTGCGCTCGTCGCGCTGCTCGGGGCTGTTGCCGTCATGGCTTTTCCTCCGCTACTCCGAACTCGAGCAGAGCAAGACCCCGGCGGGTCCTCAAACTCAAAGATTTCCTTCACCATGACTTACGACACTCGCAGTCGCTGGCACAACGTCTTCTGGATGATGTTTGTCATCGTCTTGATGTTTCACATCCCCGAAATACTTGGCGTGTGCATGGTGGCCGCCCCTTTGTCGATCTACCTGCTCGACGTGTGGATCGGGTCCCGTAGCCTCTGCAACAACTCGCACATCCTTGCAGCATCTTGCAGGCAAGAGCCTCAGGATCTCAGGTCGATGCCAGCGGAAGCCTACTGGAGGTGGTACTGGAACGAGCGAGCATCGCAGCAAGAACAGAGACTGGCACAAGAAAGCTGGAGCAATGTCACCGTCTATCACAACGTGAAGCAGCAGCCGACTTTTGTCTCTCTCAGAGTTCCGATGGCCTCGCAAGGGTGGAAGGAAGTGATGGGATATATGTATATCCGACTCGTTGACGACCGCTGTGACCGAAGATGGCACGTCTTCAGCGCCATGGAAGATCCCGACAATGAAAGCTGCGCTATGTTGTGGGTAGATGTGTCAGACGACAAGCGCGACTGGTGTTGGGCATTGCAGAAGCAAGTACTATCTCTTAGCTACACCGCCAGCAAGCTCGAGTTTCAGATCCAGGGTCCGTACGTCAGCCCCGTGCAGACTTTTCGCTATGCCTTGAAGCGTGCTGCAGTCAAGTTGCAGGGACTCAAGGTATCGGAGATCTTGACTCGCGAAAGTTTCCTCGCATTCGCACAGGGGATCGGAATCACTCCTTGTCTCCGATTCCTGCAGGAGTTTGATGCAAGCTTCCCCGAAGTCGATGTAGTTTGGCTTGTCCGGATGGCGCAGCTTCCTCTTGCCCAGCAGGCTCTTCAGGTCATCCACAAGGCGGTTGGTGCTGCAGAGCATGATCTAGCCGCTGCACAGCTACGACAGGTACTACGGATTCATGTTTTCGTGACCGGCACCGCAAATTCGCAGACGTCTCACTGTGTCTTAGCTGGGCTGAGCACATCAGAATACGTGCGAGTCTACGCCTACAACAGGGAGGAGAACCTGATCACAGAGGTCAGTGAGCCTCCCTCCTCAGGTGAGAAGCATCATTTTGCGCCTTTTCAGTCGCCGCAGAAACTTCACACGGCGACTCGTCCCTCCTTGCCCGATATTGGATGTCAAACACTGCCACAGTCAACGCGGGCACTATGTACTCTTGGAAAGTTCAACTTCGTGCAAGAAGCGCTTGATCTTGCTGCACGAGCGCGCGACCGTCGGACCAGAGCATATGCGATGACTTTCTATTGTGGAGGGAACCGAGGCGTGGCTCGCGATTTGAGCAAGCATAGTCGGGTGCGTGGACGGCTCATCTCGGAATTATTCTCTTGGTGACTGTTGGTTGCCAATACTATAATAAACTTCACGAGGTCTAGTATTTCAGTATATAAGTTCAAGAATCTAGTCAAGAATCCTTCACGGTGACTCTATCGCAGCCAACCGTCCACTTGAACGCGGTGCCGCCGCGCCCCTTAGCTGCCAGGCCGCTACAACTGAGGCTGTGACAAGGCTTGGAACCGGGGCCGGGGACCGTGCGACTGTGACGTGCGAGACTGATCGGACTCGAGAACCGTCACTGAGTCGGAAGTTACTGATCATATCGGCAGACTCGCCTCACTTGCATGATATGAGCATTACTTGAATTTATCCGGTGACTCGGACGCCGGAGGGAACTGAGTCAGCCGAGCCCGGCTGCCGCAGCTGCCACAGGCCGCTGAGAGTCCCGCGCCCAGTGATGACTCATCAGTTCCGAGTTCCGATCAACTTCGACTTTTGAACCGTTACATCCCCTAAGCTGAGAACCTCGAAAGTATAACGGCTATCCCGGCAATGCAGTAAGCTGTCCCTTTCACCGACTTCATGGCTTTGATCTCTGTTGTCTCTCTCTCTCTCTCTCCATCCTCCTCCTCCTCTCCTCCTGCTCCCAGTCTCCTTCTGCACCGCATTCATGCCCATCCCTCATGGCTGTGGAGTCTGTCTTCACCCTCCAGCTTGCTAGGGCATGGTTCCCCTACGCCCCATGTGTTCCGGCAACCATCACCGGCCCCTCCTCCTCCCTTGTTCTTCAAAGACAGTGGAGGATTCACGTCCTCCACTGACCTCCGCATTGTGCCGCTCTTTTGTGATGTTGATACTGCCAGGTCCAACCAATCTTTCGAGTTGGACGAGAGCCCGTGGTCAAAAAGGAAGATAGCCTTCAGGCAAGGACTTTGCGCTGCGCTGACTCAGCATACCTTTCCATGTTTGACATGTCTATCTGATACTTCCCACTCTTTCCTCCTCCTTCTGATCTCCTCCTTCGCACCTCGTCCTTCCCATGTCCTCCTTCGCCCTATACCCCTCCTTCCTCTTCATCTCTCTCTTCAGAAATCTGGAGTCTGCGCGAGTTGCCCTGTCCGACCCGAACCTTCTGGACAGTTTCTTCAAAGGTCAGGGGCAGATTCCTCGTTCCAACCTTGTAGTTCTTGTGACGATCAGACAGAATGGAACGCGACTTTGGACTTCGTCGATTGCGCGAAGCAGGCATGTCACATGTTGATGCCTCTTTCGCTTCCCACCCCTTAGACTCTCGCAAGATTGGCTGCAGCACGGACTTTCCTCGCCAGCTTCCGCTTCATGGGGTGAACATCCTGATGATAGGAGAGACAGGAGCCGGGAAATCTCTGCTGGTAGCCTGACGTGAGGAGGAGCGTGGAAGTCGGGCTCAAGTTGGAACAGGTCAAAGTCATCACAGGCGACAACTCTATCGTTACGTCGTCGACCCACTGCGGAACGACCTGCGAGCTGAGACACAAGTAGCATCTCTTGTTGCGATGACAAGTTTCCCACTAATTGCCGCACGCTCAAGGTCTGAGTGCGGACTGAGATGGATCGACACTCCAGGTTTCAAACTCCCGCTTTCCCCTGAGGAGGTTGGTTGTGTTGGTAGAGCAGGCGCGTTTCACATTGATGCGCATGGGGCAGGCGGAAAAGAAAGAACAGTCGTGGTGGGAAAAGCAGAAGACACATTTCACCTGGTCAAGATGGCTGCAGAGGTGATGACTTGAACTGGTGTGCTATAATACCTTGCACATCACTGTAGTTCACCTGCGACAACAAAGGCAGTGGAGAAACTCTGAAAGGCAAACCGTTTGTTTGCAGGATCACCACTCTGATGACCAAAAGAGATCTCAAAGTTCGCCCCCTAGTGGCCGTTTACTGTCACCGAGCAAGCAGGTTTGGCCCTCGTGCGTGTCCAACTGAATCACTGACCCTCAACAGTCGCGTCATACCGCAGCGAATGCTGGAGATCTTCAAAATCCCTCACTCCATGCAGGTTCCTCTGTTCTCCTCGTCCTCCTCGTCCTCGTCCTCCTCGTCCTCGTCCTCCTCGTCCTCGTCCTCGTCCTCGTCTTCCCCCCTCCTGCACAATACAATAACTTGGCTGCCCCTGCTCAGGTTCCGCTCATTCTGGCAATCACGGATGTTTGTAGTGTGGATGACAGCGCGTTGGCTGAAATCAGGACGTGAGGGTTATGAATTACTCGGCAAAAGCTGAGAGGCTTGCAGCGCATTCAAGGATGTCATAATGCAGCTGGGATACAATGGTCTTGGCAAGCCGGTTAGTGCACCTTCCGTGTAGTTTCACTTGTCCGTGTTTTGTTCTGTGCGAGTCTTTACACCAAATTTGCTCCCTCTTCTCTCCCTTCCTCCCTAGTTATGCCTCTCGCTAACCTCCCTTCCTCTCCTAATCGCTTCCTCTCCCTCCCATGTTTCCTTTATCTTCATCCCCTTTTCTAAGTGGCCTCGCCAATACCAGGCCTCCCTCATCGAGATCAACAGCGAAGAGAAGACGGTCAGAGGACACAGATACAAGGTCAGCCCGAGACGATGAGACTGCGGGGAAAAGATATGGAAGGAGTGGAAGGGAAGGAGAAGTGGAAGGAGGAGTTGGTGGTGGAGCAGGAGGAGCGGAGAGGGGACGGGAAGTCAGCTCACCAGGTCTCAAGGTTACGGGAGTGAAGAATCTTATCGAAGAGATTCTCAACCATCTTGACCCCCGAGCATGTCTCCACCTGGTCCGCCGTCCTTGGATCGGGTATCATTGCGGCTCCCCGAGCAGCCTTTTCCTCCTTATTCTCTCTCCTTTCATCTTTTGGTTCTTTATTGTCCTCCTCCTGCTCCTCGTCCGTCCTGAGCTGAAGTGCCTGAGCAGAAGTGCAAATCCGGGTCGCAAGGAGGATGGGGCAGTTGCAGAGGCCGCTCTTCTACAGGACGACAAGGAGGAGGAAGATGAGGAGGAGGAGGAGGGCGACGGACACTCGAGCGAGCTTGACGAGGTTGATAACACTTAGTTGTGCTGAGAGCTGACGATGAGCAGGGAGAGGCATCAGGGAGCGGCCGCCCCAAGAAACGTGATACCAAGTTTGACAAGCAGCAAGGGTGACGATGCTTTGACAGGTGACAGAGCCTCTACGGATTCTGTCGGATCCTCGAAGAAGGTCTGTGCTTCTCAGCTCCTTCGTTGCTCCTTCTCCCCCACTCGCCCCTTTTCTCTTACCTCCTGACTCCTGTCCTCCTGACTCCTGACTCCTGTCCTCCTGACTCCTGACTCCTGTCCTCCTGACTCCTGAATCCTGTCCTCCTGACTCCTGAATCCTGTCCTCCTGACTCCTGAACTGAATCCTGTCCTCCTCCTCCCCCTCCTCCTCCATTCCTTCCTGCACCTTACATTTCTGCCTGCTTTAGGTTCGATCATAAGATAACACTGTACTTGACTCAGCAAGTAAACGTGCCTCATTCTATAATTCATTCTCCTTCTCCTCTCCTCCTCTGTCATCTTGGATGCTTCTCGTGCCTCCTCCGCAGGGTCTCCTGTGACTGCGAGCTGGGAAGTTTCAGCTGGGGATAACTTTTCCTCCCTCACCTTGACTCCGACGAAGGGTTGGACTCCATGGCCGCAGCTTCCAGCTGATCGTCCAGCATGTCCATCACCTGCACTGCATGTCAAGGAGAGCCTTGAGGTCCACCAGCTCACCCCCAGCTGGGACGTGAGGAATTCGTGCTCCGACAGCCATGGCGCTCCTGCTGACCTTCAGCTACAACTGGAAGGGGCGGATTGTTTCACCTTCTACCGTCCCCTGGTAGGAACCGGCGAGGGAGGAAGAGCGCGATGTCACTCTTGGAGTGTCTTCGTGGCATATCGCATCCCCGAATAAAGCTGAGCATGCGGAGAAGGATGTGCAGGAGGAAGAAGTGGAGGAAGAGGAAGAGGAAGAGGAAGAGGAAGAGGAAGAGGAAGAGGAAGAGGAAGAGGAAGAGGAAGAGGAAAAGACTTCAGCTTGAATAATATCGAGATAATTTTCTCGACCTGCATCTCCGTACAGGCCGGCCATACCGTCCAGCTCCTCTGACCTGCAAAGCTTGTGAGAGGCAGAGAGAGGAGTCGAGAGGATCTCACGGGTCGCAGGCGATCGCTGCTCTCCTCTGTGCTTCCTTAGCAAGCGATCGGGCGCATGAGTCCAGCATGATCTCGACCTGGAGAACGCAAGTGCTGAGAAGATGGCATGACGGCTCTCTTGTACCTCGCAGTGATTGCGAATGATGGAGATGCTGGGCCATGTGGCTCGAAGAGCATCGATCATGAACTGAGACGTCAGGTCAGAGGGGATGAGGCGAGGGGAGGGAGGAGGGAACCTGTTTGATTGTATCCCATGTGGGGTTAGAGATGATGTTAGTGTACATGCAGGCCTTGAAGGGAGGGACAATCGTGATGTCGCCGCTCAGCCGCTGGAAAAGGGTCGCCTCGAGCAGCTTGGGGACGAGGCCCATGGTGACAGCTTGCTTGAAGCGATGAGCAAGCTCTGACGTCACGAGGTACCGCATGACGTTCCATCCTCGCGACAGAATAGACGGGCGATGCCTCGCGCGATGCTCGCTGCTCTTCCTGATCCTTGCTGGTTTGCACATGAAGGGGATGGCGTGCGGGTTCGTCTGCGACACGATGAAGTGGTTGACGTTGAAGAGCTCGGAGAGGCGAGCGATCGGCAGGTCTGTCTGCAGAGATCCGTCCTTCCACTTGACGTCTGTCAGATGATAGGGCACCATCTCCCCTGCCTCGTTCTTCGCCACCAGCTCCACTGGCTGGAAGAGTATCGGAAAAGCGCAGGAGGCGCATGCGGCGCTCCAGATGAGAACGTTGGGCGACGTGAGGTAGTTGAGGAGGCGAGGACGCTCGTAGTCGTTGGCAGGACTGACTGTGATGTTCACGATCCTCCCCGTCCTCTCGTACGCTTCGTAGAAGGTCACGTCACCAAGATTAATCCTGAGCGCTCGCTGCAGCACCTTGACTTCCATCAGGTGACCTTCCAGCAGAAGCCTCTTGAGCTTCCTCCTGAAGGAGCCCGCAGGAGGAAAGAAAGTCAGGTCGATGGATCCCGGAACGAACAACTCTGACATCTCCTCAACCGTCCTCACTCCCACCAGCGCCGCAACGATGGATCCGGCGGAGCTTCCAGAGATGATACGAGGAAGCAAGTTGTGCTCGTGCAAGGCCTTCAGGACCCCGAAGTGGTACATGCCCAAAGACGCTCCTCCTGAAAGAAGCAGGGCTGTTTTCCCCAGCGCATGTCGGGATTCAGCGAAGAAAGCAAGCTTCTTCTCTAAGGGCAGCTGCTCTTCAGGAGCATCGTGAACCATCTTGAGGAGCCGCAGGGTCTGACCTGTATGCTCTTCGATCAGCCTCTTTGTTCCCACATAACAGTGTGTGTGTAGAGCTTGATTCCCAACCCCTCCAAGTCCACGAACAAGCCCCGATCGGAGGTTGAACATGATCCCTTGAATATCCTTGGAAGCCTCCAACCTCCGCATGTCCTGCAGTCTATCCCGGATGAGTTTCGAGTCATACAGCTCAGATTCATCCTCAGCTTTCCATCGATCGTGACCTTCGATCTCATCAAGAGCACGAGCCGCCTCCAGCCACTCGTTGTAGGACGTTGCATTGTCCATTTGGAGGTACCATCGTTCGTGATCGTGTCTTTCGCTGAAGAAAGAAAACACATCAATCTTCTTCAGAAACCTCCCAAAGAAAGACGTGCTTGATCCTGTTGGCATTCTCCCGCGCTGCCGGCGACTGGTAGAAGCCCCTCAAAGCGATCGAATAAGGGCTAGGAATGCAGCACGAAACTCTGGTGCAACAAGCTCGTACACCGAGGAGCCATATTCGAGTCCTTGAAGATCTCCTGGAAGGAAGGAAAATTACTCACTGAGATTTGGAAATACACACAAATCTGTCAGACAGGGACAACAACTGGAATGAACGGGTCCTAGACAGGTGAGCTGTTCCGCTAATTCAAGGATGAAACCCTTGCTGACTTCCCACCTCCCGGCTGTCATCCTAGCCTCGCCATGCTCAGCTCGTGTCTTCGACTTTCATCAGAGCATCTTCTGCCTCTTCTCAGTTAACAAACCCCTCCTCCCTGACCCCTTCCTTCCCTGTCTCGCACGACTTTACTCCCGCTTCCCGCCATATTTCACCAAATGATGATTTCGAGGGGGTGGGGGTAGTGAGTGAGGACGCAAGATATATCAAATGTTTCAAATTTACCGCAATATATTCAAACCTGCACTGAAATTTCATTGAACTATTTCAAATTGCTCAGGATGTGCAGCGATGGGTAATACAGAGGGTGTAGAAAGTTTAGTTTGCTGTGACTCGCATATAACTCCGGGTTTAGTTGAAAGCCGGGTTAAGTTAGTGAATTCAGGTCAGTCCCGCCGGGCCCGCGCGCTCAGCCCCGCCGGGGCTCCGCCGGACCCGGAGTCAGGCTTGCGGACCACCGTCAGTGAGTCCGAGCCTGGCTCTCGGACCGCCAGTCGACTGAGTCAAGTTCCGAAAGTTCAGTGCGCGGCCACGCCGGGCCGACCGCACTGATGCTGTAAAAGTCCGATATGGGGAGTTTTAAATGCTCGTACCATATGGCATCATCCAGTACTACAGCGAGTACATCAGCAATCACTGACAGTACCACTGTGACTCAGGACTGGAGTGGGTCTTAGTATTGGAACTCTGAAAGTTTGGTATCGCCAGTGATACTATGTCGCATATCGAATTAGTATGAGATATTCAATATGTTACATGTACCGGGTGCTGTACAAACCTAGGTATCATGGCATGTTTAGTCAATCGACTATCTAATCACCGGGCGTATCTTCAATACCAGTTTGGTCCCTAAAAAGAAACCAAGTTACCGTACCAATGGGGCTGCCATTTCCCTATCCAATCTCTACGCTTACTTTCGTGGATAATGCACAACACGGGGATCAACACTACGTGTGTATCCAAAGTGACAATCAGTACAAACAGTCAGAGACAATTACAGTGATCGTATAATACTCTCAGTCATGTTATCTCACACACGTGGATACTCCCGGAGTGCCTACTTTATAGTAAATCAAATCTAACTCCTGTCAGTGTGGATTTGTTCACAACCGTAAGTCTTGATTGTTGATTGAGAATTGATCACATTCGCAATTCCCAAACTTCGATTAGCCTGCTCTATACTAGCCGCAGTGCGGCGGCCCGGTGCTACAGTGACAAGTTCGGACGGTCAGTGGACCGACCGCGGCGGTCGTACCGAGTCTAACCGTGACTGAGCCCTTGTCAGTCACGGTCATCAAGTTGAGCCGCTGAGGGCCGAAGCCCGGGCCGGGCCTACCGGCATCAGTGCCGTGAGTAGCACTGGCAGACCGCTGTGACTTCAAATCTTTGGTGCTAGAGATGATAAATTACAATCCTTCAATGATATCATATTCATGATATGACGTCATGGCACAAGGAGATTCTGGCTTCAAACCTTGATCATCGGATAAGCCCTATTGTATCAGTGGAAAGCAAGTTGCGCAAGTGAGAACCAAGTTTCCTGCCGCAGTGATTCATGATCAGATTACCTGAGTTCAAAAAGAGTCAACAGAGCTGCTGTCAGAAAGACAAGGTCAAATACATGAGATGCATACGCTAAGATACAGAGCGGCCATGTCCTGCTCAGATTTAAGTGCTCCAATCTCATCGAACAAGTACATTCGCTTACCCCATTTCCAGCTATCAGGCAATTGTAGACATCTACAGTGACAATCGCAGATATTGTGCGAAGAGCTGCTTCATACACGGCGACTATTTCTTTTGGGAATCCTGGATGCGTGAGTAGACCAACCAAGAACGCTCCCCATGCATGAACGTGAACACTCTCAAAGAAGACTTGGCAACCATTAAGGAGTTCCAGTCGAAATACGGAGTAATAGACCATTCTTATGAATGTTCGTCAAATAAAGCTGAAACATAATTAATCAAGTTGCTGACCTCTGTGAGAGAACCAACTCATACCTGCAAGAACGTTCTTGCACTTGCGCCGATTGCTCCACCAAGGGCTGTCAATAGCTAGTAGGAGTGAGTGATAGAGCACATGAAATAAGACTGGAATACCATTATCTTAGTTTGCGGCAAAGAACCTCCTCCTCGAAGCCTCATCAAGCTGGGATGAGAGGATGACTTCAATCTGGAACAGCAGTCGACGTTCCTTGGACATTGAGTAGCGGCCAACTCAAGGCAGGAAGCTTCTGAAATGAGACAAGACACTGATGTACATCGAATTAGTCCGCATGTATCAGCATCGTGTGCTCATGAAAATTTTTCCCGCTCTCCTCACCTGCAGCGAGTCGAACAAGTAGCGCTCGTCGAGCCATCGACCCCCGACCCTGTCACGTCCACTACTGGGTCCCATACATCCCCCACCCCCACCCACCCCCTTTCTTGGTTGAAGGATTACCACCCCCACTATCCTGGTTAACAACTGGGGTACTTACGGTACTCCGTACTAGCCGAGATGATAAAAACCCAGGTCCGGGTTGGGTCGCAATCTCGCCAAGAATCATGGTATTTTTGCAATTTTATAATACGTGGATGTGGTACCAGTTAATACTGTTTTAAAACCTAAAACATTTTATTTAGCTAGAGGTCTCAGATGAGGCTAGTCTCAGCTCCGGGTCACTGCAGGGCTCCGAGGCTCCGGGCACTTGACGTTGAAAGTTGAGTAAAAGCCTGTGACTTCCGACTCGCCCCGCCCCGCGGCAGTGCCACTGCCTGATGGACCGGCAGCAGTGCCGCACTGCCTGATGGCCCCGGCAGCAGTGCCCAGTGACTGGCCGCCGCCCGGCCGCGCCCGGGCCCGGCCAGTGAGCCTCCGACTCGGTCACTGGGCCCTCCGGGCGCGGGCGGCGGGGGCCCGGCGGCCCGGCCCGGGCCTCACTGTCACACAGTGGGGGGCCGCCCACTGGCAGTCACTGCGGCCGCACCCATCATCATTGTGTTGCCAAGTTGATCAAGTGGCACGCCGACGGTTCAACGGTTCAACGCCGGGTTGTCAGTGAAGCCGACATTTACTCAAAGTTAAGTCAAAAATCAGTACGAGGACAATCTGAGGAGAGTCGAGGAGGCAGTCACTCCCTGACACTGCTCAGTCGCCCCGCCAGTGCCAGATTACCGAACTGTGACGGTCACGGGGGCGCCGCGCGTGACCGTACTGCTTAGCCAACTTGCAAGTGATCTCTTTACTGCAAGTCCGACCGAGCTAGTCACAGTGAATCACAGGCCGCCGGGGACGAGCCTCCGAGAACCGTCGATTCGTGAAACGGCGTGGGGCAGTGGCCGGGGTCGAAGGCTTCGGAACGGAAGTTGCCGCCGGGCGGCCCGCCGTTACGTGACGGGCCGGACTGATGCGGAGCTTGAGGTATGGAAATGACCCCACCCGTACTTTATAGCAAACAAGATGGCTGCAAGGACCCCCTAGTAAGGTACCTTTATCACCCCCACCCCAATCCAAGAAACACCGACTGATGTCTCCGGGGCCATGGGGAACAGAGGATGTGGAGGACGTAGAATGGGAGGAGAGGCAGATGAAGAAGAGATGGAAGAGGGAGAGAGAGGACGGTGAGATGACGAGAGGAGATGCTATCGCAGAGATCAGAGAGAATGAGAGAGGATGATTGGTGATATAGCATGCGTAGATGAAGCAAAGACGCAGTAGATATCAGGTAAGAGTTTGGAACTGGGGGAGGATCAGCAAGTAATGCCTTAAAAAAGGGGGTGACGGGCAGAAATCTGCGAGCAATACAGAAGAACTGTGATCCATGCTGCACGTTATGGATCATGAGAATTGTGAGACTGGAGCAACTTTTGTAGGTCCTCACGTTGAACAATACAACATCCATCCGTTCTCAATGCAGAACACATCTCATGCTCCGACAAGTGGCTGATGCCAGGAATGCAGGATGGAGACAAGGTGAACGAGTGTCTAGCCGCACTGCAGACATCAAGCGGATATGGGGGAGGCGAATACAATCAGTGATCCTGTGTCAACCATCATCACTTTACGACAGTATCAGTGCACTCTACAGAGACAGGTGCTTGCTCACACTCTTTTCACTTCCAGAATTCGACACGATTGATGTTGCCTCCATTGCCGATCTCTATGATTTGCAGGTGAACACTCTCAAAGAAGACTTGGCAACCATTAAGGAGTTCCAGTCGAAATACGGAGTAATAGCACTTCGAGCCCTTGTTCTCAATGACGGGATGTATAGGCTGCACCTTGGAAGGAGAGTTTCGAACATCTCAAGAGCAATCTGTTGCTTCGTCAGAGTCAGCTGAAAGAAGTTCAGTTCCAGCTCGATCTTATCGCCTCATGTGTAAAGCAGGCTAACGGACTGTGCAACCAACTGTGAGTTCTGGCTGTGATATGTGTAGGCATGTGTGAAGGGATGTTTGAAACACAATGATAGCATATGATGATATCCTGAAGCGATGCTTAAGAGGCGATTATACCGATCATTCTTTGTGAGTCAGTCAGTCAGACAATCAGTAGTAAGACTGTATGTCAGTCAGGCAGTCAGTCGGTCATTCCGACGTTCAATGTGTTGTTTTGTTTTCTCCTGGGGTAAAACGAATGACTTCTGGGTGAGCAGGCGAGCAAATCTTGGGCCTCCAGACATGGATGTAAACTTCCAGGAGGAGAAAAGATGATTCGCTTGACAGACAGAGTATGAACTGAATGTTCACATGTTCAGAGGGGGAGAAGAGTATGTCATGTGTGTTTGAATGTTTGTCTTTGGTAATGAAATCTCTTGGTGGATGTCAGATTGTCGGCGAGAGCAAGAAGAGCGCGTCATCCATGCTCTTGTCCAACCTGTCGCCCTTGTTCAGTCGTTCTGCCTTCGATCGCTCTTGTTACCTCTTCGCTTGCAACTTGTTCTCCTCCTGTATCGTCTTTATCTTCTCCTGAACACACATGCTCACATCGGATCCCCTGCTCTCCACACCCACCTGAACCACATCCTTCAGCTCCTTCTTCTTGCTCTTCAGCCGCATCGCCGCCTGCTCGTTCTCAGCTGCAGGACGCCACCATCTGCCGGCTCCTCACCTTCTGTGGGAACCAGTGCAGGTCGACCTGCCCCCTTGGCCTCTTGAGCTCGACGCCAGTCTCCTTGTCTATCAACTGCACATGCGCTCAGGTGAGCATGTCGTTGAGAAGAAGAGGGAAGGAGGAGGCAAACATGGGCAGATGAATGAAGGTGAGAAGCGAAAGAGGGAGGAGGGAGGAGGAGAGGAAGGAGGAGGGAGGAAGAGAGAGAGGAGGAGCAGAGGGAGGGGAAAAGGGAAGAGGAGGAGGGAGAAGGAAGGAGGGAGAAGGAAGGAGGGAGAAGGGAGGGAGCAGGGGTGGGAAGACGGGACGGAGGACGGAGGTTATGATACAGGAGAGAAGGGAGTAGAGCTGAGAGATGAACCTTGAGATGGGTTGCAGGATCTCTTGCAAGCTCCAGTGTGCGGCTGAACACATAAGACTCTCCTCCCTGAGGGCAGAGCAAGGAAGTCAAACGAGAGAAGGAGGAAGGGATAGAATTGACCGAATATTCGTCATACTGCTTTTCCCTCAAATAAACCTTGAGCCACAAGTCAGGAACGACGAACAGAGATAGAGAAGGAGGATCCGACCTGGAAGTAAAGATACTTCCACATGTTGTGTTCCTCCTGCTCCAATGGTTTGTCTTGCGCTAACCCCAATGCAAGAGTACCTCAATGTGCTCCTGGAATCCACTGCAGCAAATTCCGTTCAGACGACCTCCGACGACTCTCTCTGAACTCACCTCGCTCCCTCCCCGTGCTGATCGAAGATGAATCGGTCGATCCCGCAGATGAAACATTTGCTGAAGAGTAACCATGAGCGCGTGAATGTTTAGGATAGGGAAGGGAAAGGGAGAGAAAGAGGAGGGGGAAGGAGGGGAGTGGAAGGAGGGGAGGGGAAGGAAGAGAGGAGGAGAAGGAGGAGGGGAGGGGAAGGAGGAGGGGAGGAGGAGGAGAAGGAGGAGGGGAGGGGAAGGAGGAGGGGAGGGGAAGGAGGAGGGGGATGAAACTCCGCATCTATCTGCTCTAGAATGCGTGGGTGGGTGAGGAATACCCTGATACATCCCGATCGATCTCATCTTTCCTTGCGCGCAGCTCTGAGGTAACGAAGATGAGCTCGGAGACGTGAACGAAAAACGAAAACTCACCGGCGAACGTATCAATGATCACACCAAAGATGATGTTCATCAGAATAGTGGTGACGATGATGAAGAAAAGGAGAGTATATAACTTGAGAGGCGTCAAGAAAATGAAAGCACACATCAGCTGCAAGCATAGTTTCACCATGCGGTAGAGAATTCGATATTTGTCCGATTCGTTGGACTGAAGCTGCAAATATGGATAAGGTAAGGGGACATTTCGAACTGGTTTCTCTACCTTCCATGGAATGTCGTCCATGGCCTCTCCAAGATCACCCTTGCGGCAAGTCAGAAAGAATTGATTCAAGACGAAACTTCAAAGGCTTCAGATCAGGGTTGTCAAAAATCAGCAACAACAGGTTTCATGCAAGCTAACAAGATGGGTATCACCTTTCGCAACCCCATGTCAAGTACTACAAGTGTGCATTTCCATACTGATGTACATCTCGCTCCATTGTTGTTCGGCTCGAGTTTTCTTCCTCCCATGACATCTGCCTCAGCAAACTGGAAGAGCTCCGGGAAGAAGTAGAAGCCGGAGACTCCGAAGAAGTAAATGAAGATGAAAGCGAGCCCGGCGGTTTGCAATAGAGTGTTCGCCCGGAATGTGATTGACTTCATGACATTCTGGAGAACTCGAGAACGATTGAAGATCTCAAAGAGATGTACCACCAAGAAGAGTTTGTTCCCGTTATGCGGGTAAGCAAGGGCCAGTATGTTTGTTATTGTCATGACAGTGATCATCCAGAACTGAAGGTCTGTTAAGATGTAGAGGAACTGAGCAGAGATGTCAGAAGAACGTGAGAGCATCTGTAAAGTGAAGGTGATGGGTGAAATGCTCACCTGGATCAGGAGAACTCGATTTATTGTGCTCCGATTGCCTTGGTTGGAAAGAGTGAGGTGGAAGAAGACTGAATCGAAATGATCCGGTAAAATCATCTTGATGAACGACGAGAACAACGATCTCCTTGTCTTGACATCGCTCTCCATCATCTTCACTGGAATCAGAATTCGAGCTAATGGAGAAGGGGGCAGAAGGCGGGAAGAGGAAGAGGAGGCAGGGAGGGGTAGAGGAGAAGGAGGAGGAAAGGAGGAGAAATGGATGAGAAAGAGGAGGAGGAGGAGGAGGAGGAGGAGGAGGAGGAGGAGGAGGAGGAGGAAACTACAGCAGAAGATACGAAGAGTTTGGCTAAGGCAGGAGGGACAAGCGACCTTCTCTCTTGCACGAGGAACACCTCTTTCAATGACATACCACCACTGCCTTGTGAAGGCGAGGATGCACTGAGTGACGACAAATATCAACAAACGAATGTCAACTCCAACTCATCTCATCTCATCTCATCTCATCTCATCTCATCTCATCCGCGTCTCCTCCCATCCCATCCCCTCTTGCACACCTGAATGTATGCAAGGACATTCACTAGCACGTCCCATCCTGGTCTGATGCGAAAGTAGGTGAGAGGCTCGTTATCCCCACAAGTGAAGCTCCTGATGATGCCATCAGTTGGTTGACATGAAACGCGCATCTTTCACCCTCGACATTCATAATTGTAGAATAGAAGCAAGAGAACGTTGATAATGACAGCGTTGAGAAAGAAAGTCTGTGGTATTCGTCACACAAACGGATACCACCATTGTTTCACCTTTTCTCTCAATCCAGAAGTCAGTCGAAAGAAGTTCAAAATCTGATTTCTTGTCAACTTCTGCTGATGCTGCATCTCCGAATACAGCGAATCGAACTGTTCCCAACATGTCACTTCATACAATCTCTTTTACAAGTATGTCACGTACTCGTTCACTGAAGTCCGTCAACTGGGTCTGCAGGTTTGCTCTGTTGACACTCAGCAGCAGATCGTGTTTTGATGCACTGGTAAGGTAGCTGCAGGACTTGGGGATGGTGAAGTATGCTCGCTCAAGCACTCCCTGCTCACGAGAGAGTTGGAGAAGCAAAAGTGACAAACAGGAACGACAAGTCATGAAACGTCCGCACCTTGCGCGAGATCTCTATCACTCCGATCTTTGACTTCAAGTTTACATAGTCCCAGATGTAATCGGGCGACAGCTTTGCATTCAGACTTCCGGATTCATCGAACTGACTGAGAGTGATGTAGGTGATGTAAAATTGCTTGCAACACCCGTTACTCTCATGACAACACCTAAGAAGCAAACCTCTGCAACTTGCTCTGCCTCTTGTTCTGCTACTTTCGAGTCATCACCGATGGGAGGCGCAGCCTACAGGATGTAAGGAGAGAAAAGGAGATGTGGAGAAGAAAGGAAAGAGCAGGAGATGCAGTCCACTAGGGAGCATGTGAAAGTGGAGGAGGAGAACTGGCATCAGACACAAGAAGTACAAGATACCGGGATCTGCCATGCTTCTATCTTTCCCTTATCTTCGAGTTCGTAGACTAAGGTAGGATTGTACACGAACAGAAGATCATTCATGTTTTGTATCAATCTGTGATCTTGTGGTGAGAGTTGTCGTAGGAGAAGACAGCAAGCAACCGGTCGGGATTGAGTGATCCGAGCATGAGAGAAGGGATTTCAGGTTCATCAACACACTCCAGCAAAGCCAGCAGCAGCTATTTTCAAGGTGTCAACGAAGAACATGCGAGAAGATACCTCACAGTGATAGTAGAAGCTTTGAGATCATATATCTTCTTGTCAAAACATGCTACGGCCTCGTCGATATATTTCTGAGTTGCAAAACTAATCAGAATTTCACATCTTCCCTCTCAACGCAAGTAATAGTCAGATCCACCTCGAAATCAGATTCAGAAGGCTTGATATGCTTCAATGCCTTACAGCAGATGATAAGAATCTCTATCTCAACGAAAAGGGAAATACCTGATAGTGACTGACATAATGCTCGGCTGTCATGTTGAGGATGTTGTTAGCGGAAGTGCAGATAGGTGTCTCGCAAACAGCCTTCTGATTCGGACGACATCTGCTCAAACAGCATTATCCACTCTCCTTCTCTTCTCCTTCCTCCTCCAACATGCAACCCCTTCCTTTTCCTTGCTCGTCTATTTTCTTTGCTCGTCCCTCCTCTTCCCTTTTCGTCCCTTCTACTTCCTCCTTCCATTCATCTTCGCCTTGCCTCGCCCCCTTGTCCTGCTTCAGCACTCTTCATCGCACTCACGGTTGTTGGATCATCTCTGCCAGCGCCAGGATCGCAGTCTTGACGATCTCGATGTTCAGCGGGTTGATGTAGCCGCTGCTCAAGACGATGAAGTCGGCGACGGAAGTCACCATGTCGATGCTGCGGACATTTCCTGCTTGAAAGCGCAGGAAGTTCTGCAGTTTGCCGTTGTGACCTTCGCAGAGGGCGTGGAGGAAGCGGAAGACCTGGAGGAGAGAGTGAGAGGATGCGAAGAGAGCAAGGTAGAGAAGAGAGACAAGGCGTGGGGGAGGAATAGGGTTCAGAGAGTTCGGAGGGGAAGGGGTCAAGCAAGTTGGGAAGGGGGCAGAACCGAGTCAACGTGGCTGTTGCTCCGATCCCAGTCGACAAAGCCTCGCAAGAGAATGGCGTGCAAGCTTCAAGAGCATAGATTCAAACGAGGTAGATGAAACATAGATAGGACAGATCAAACAAGCTTACGAACACAGGTACAAACACAGACACCACAGCATCAAACATGCATGCATAGAAAGATAGATGCAAACAATACAAGTACAGATACACATGAAGAAACTGACAGCACAAACAGAGACAAGACAGGTTGAAGGCCCCCCTCGTGACCTGCGATCGCTATAGTCGACCACGTTCCCTAGCCGAGCAAGGAAGGAGTCATAGTCTTTGAGAGCGCTCTTGTCAGTCTGCAGCATTTCCTGCCATGTGCGCATGAGGAGTTTTGTTTCCTGTTCGCCCTGCTGCATTCGGAGGAAAAGCTGGTTGAGGAATTGAAAAGATTCTGAGCTCGAAGAGGTGAAGATAGCAAAGAAACTGTCTTGAATCGGCTTCTGCGGAGATATCTGCATTGTGACAAATCAATCATGTCAAGTACGACAAGAGCAGAAGAAGTGGGAGTTTGAAACAGAAACAAGAGCAAGTCGTGAGACAAACGAGAGATATCAGAAAGAATCAGGATGAAGCAGGAGGAGGACGCAGGAGGGGTGTGAGAATGAGGGGGCGGTTGACGGACGTTGAGGACTGTGATGGCAAGTCCGAGGCAGGAGAAGAAGACTCGATCGCCGCTGTCCTCCCTGCTGACCTGGAGAGACGAAGAGCGTCAGACTGTACAAAGAAGTCACCTCCTCCCACCATCTCGATGATCAGCCTGGGGATGCCCTTCAGCAGCCACCCCGGCGGCCTCTGCTCTGTGATCGCATGCTGCCACTGGTCTGCCAGCTGCCTGAGCACTTCGAGGCCCTCCAGCACGTCTCTCTCCCACTGCAGCCTGCATGCTCGGGTCAGCGAGGACGGCAGGGGGGGGCAGCGCCTGCTCTGCACCTGTTGGGGTTGAAGTAGGAGATGAGAATCTCCACCAGATCCTCCACCTGCCCCTCGTGGATCGTCCTGGGCCCTAGCTGGGAGTAGTAGAAGATCTTGCAGAGCTCCAAGATCTCCTGCCTCCGTCGGGACGACAGCTGCACGGCCTTCGAGCTGGGAAAGCAAAAGAAGTTTTGTTTCTCAGCTTGGTAGAGGCGCAAAAAGACAAGGAGGACCTTTGATCGTCTGCCCCCCGTAGCTCGTCGTGGGAAGAGGCGTGGGAACAAGCATCCTCCTCCTCCTCCTCCTCCTCCTGCTCATTATGGGTGGAGTTGTCGGGCTGATCAAAGATCTCCTTGAAGGCCTTGCCGAAGATGGTGATGGTGTTGTTGCAGTGAAGTGACTCCAGAGGCTCCTCGGCAACACGGAAGACGTACTTGGGGATGTTGGAGCGCCTTCGCTGGCTCCTAGCAGAAAGAGTCGACCTGATCTTATCCTTGTCCGTCTGGTTCCGGAAGATTTTGGGGAGAGCGAACGGGAGGTTCTTGTGGGATGCGAGCTTGGCACCCAGACTCTCGATGAGGTCACGAAACTCTTGAACGATCTCAGGAGTTTCCTCGTACTTGTGTGCTTTCAGAAGGTTCTGTTTCTGCACATCAGCTACTTCGAGCATCTTGGCAAGTTTGCAAAAAATGATCTCAACATCGACCCGAGCCTGATCAGTCAGCGAGTACCACAAGATCGGCTCGTCCATCAAGACGTCCAAGATAGGCACCCAGTGGTCGGCAAACAGCATCTCCAGCTCCATCATCACCACATCAGAGTCTGTCAGGCTGTTGAAAGTGTCTCCTCCGTGGGAGCGGTCGGGGACGGTGAGGAGGGAGAAGGGGTCACAGCGCTGGAGGAGCTGGGAGAGGTGGTGGAGGATGGACCACAAGCTGAGGCTGTAAGTGAAGCCATAGCACCTCGTGTCCGAGTGATTCTGTAGGTAGATGATGCGAAATAGATGGAGCATTTCTCCTTTGGCTCGGGAAATGCAGTAATTCCCTTGCAAGCGAGTCAATGCCAGCCAGAGAAGGAGGGCGAGGGAGGGAGGGAGGGAGGGAGGGAGGGAGGGGAGGGAGGGAGGAGGAGGAGGAATACCTGTGATGTCTTGAACCAGCCTGTCCACTGGAAGGATGCTACGGATGATGGACATGTCACCGGGTCCGGCATCCGTGGCAAGAAATCGCAGCAAACGGAGGATCGACATGTTGTACTCCACGATGTTGTTGTTGGGTTGCAGCTTCGCCTTGTCTAACTTGGATCTTGACCTCTTGAGAAACGGTTCCCGCTCACCTCGAAACAGCACCAGCGGCCTGTTTGCGTCCTCTCCAAAAGGAGCACTTCCTTCCTGCGCTTCCTCACGCCCACCATCCTCTTCATGCTTCACAGTCCCTGACAAAGATTGCAAGATGTACGCCTGAGTGCGTCGAACAACTGGAAGAGAGTCAGTGAGGAAGAGCAAGGTATTGAACGACCTTTCCCGTCCACCATGAAGGCAACTTCAAGGAAGTGGACGCAAGATATGTGAGACGAGTAGTTCTTCTCATCTCTACCCTGCTCGTCTTTGTTGCTCTCGTTTGAGATGAACCTCAGGACTTCATCTATGATGTTCAAGTCCAGCCTTCACCAACAAGTCAAACTCAAGAGCAACATCCTCCTCTTCCTATCCTTGCTCAGCCCCCGATCCCTTCCCTTCTCCTCTCTTTCTGTCTCTCCCCCTCCCTCCCTCCCTCCCTCCCTCTCTCTCCCTCTTCCCTCCCTCCCTCCCTCCCTCCCTCCCTCCCTCCCTCTCCCTCTTCCCTCTCTCCCTCTCTCCCTTCCCCTCTCCTCTCCTCCTCTGACCTCTGACAAAGTTTCTCATTTCCACAAAAGATCCCTGAAAGGGCTCCAGCTACGGATATTCCAGCACGGAAAAACCTCGACAGCAGACGTGTATGGTCTCCCCTACACGCAAAGTTCAACATTCACAATCAGAAATTGACGGTTCTTACCAGAAATGCTGATTCCGTTTCATCCCACTGGAGAAGAACTCGATGAAGCTAAAGCAAGCAGGTAGCAACTCGTCAACTATCCAGGAACGGACAGCAGGTTCGTAAAAGGTGGACCCATGCTCGATTCTCTTGACAAAGTCTTCTGAGTGTTGCTCATGTGGCAAGATCAACGACTTGATCACATCCAGGATGAAAGTATGTACTCCGAGACGCCTCAACATCTGGCATCAGACATGTCAGAGAGCAGAAGACAGCATGTGACGGCTCACTTGTTGATTGGTGAACCTCTGACTCTCGAACTCAGCGATAGTTCCTCGTATCTTGCACATGTCGGCAAGAGATGTGATGCAGGAGACGAACTGAGATCGTTGCGATGCGTCGAAGAAGTTCAAGTCGTTGTTAGGCAACGCAAGGAGGCGGAAGGCAGGGAACATTCGCTTGAGGTCTTGAAACAAACTTGTCGCCATCTTGTAGTCTCTCATCGAAGTGTCTTGTGACAGCACCTGAACGTCAAATATCTGCATCAAGTACATCAGCCTTCTCAAGTTTTTCGCAGTCTCGAGAGACCTGGAGGTAAAGATCGAGAGTCGGGGAGTTGCAGCGGAGGAGGACTTGGAAAGTTTTGAAAGCAAGCTGCGGGTCCTTATACTTCCAGAGCTCCACGAGTATCCTGCTGAGGCGCTCCTGCAGAGGAAAATGAGGACAGGAGACACGGAGACAGGAACAAGACCCTCTCAGTGTCAAAAACAAGGTTGAGAGTTGTTGTCGCCTCTGTTATCCGCTGGAACACCTTTACATCTCTCATCTTCTCAAGCAGCTGGTGACAAGGATCGGCTTCCATGGTTGATTCGCCAGGTTTGAACGTGTTGAACCAAATGAAGCTGCTCGCCCTCCTCTTAAGCAGGGTGTTCTTGGAGCTCCTCGCCGAGATCCTCGGGTCAGAGCAGGACATCCTTCTTGTGTTGGCAGAGGTGGTGAAGGGAGTCAACTCATGGCAGATGGCGAGAAGTTTGCGGGTCCTCACTGCGACTTGCAGTTTGAACAAGAACAGGAGCATGTCGCACAGGACGGCCTTGCACTTTGCCACCAGCTCCATGGCGAGCTCCTGACTGTCAGGCCCCACCGGAGCGAACTTGGAGAAAGTGTTCTTCATCTCCGATTGCTTCACCTCATCTGTCGAAGGCTCCAGGAGGCAGATGAGGACAGGAACGAGCTCCTGCTGGATCTCCGACTCCGACCGGAAGGCTCCGTTAGTGATGAGCGAGTAGCAGAGCTGGATAAGACTCATGGAGAACTCATTGGAACCCTTCTCAACCTCTGGGACAAAGAAGGAGGAATGGTTGCCGAACAGCGCCAGCAGTTCTCGCTTCAGCTCCCGATGCATGTCGGCGTATTTCTCCTCGATGTCAAACACGGCAAACGGATCGGCTCCGAGATCTTCGATGGTGAACACTGTCTTCAATGTTGTTTCACTGCAGACGAGGTTCGGTTTGAAGTACAGGTGATTCATCAGGCGCGAGTAGAGAGTCCTCAGGTTGTACGGAAGCCGCTCGTTCCCAATGCACTGCATGATTGTGCTGAAGTCTGCAAATCTGTACACTCCTCCCGTTATCATGACACGAGACGCATGGTTGTCTCCTGTACAAAGAGCATCCAAGAGCTCCACTGTCGAGGTGTACATCCTCAAGACATCATCGTCAGCTCCTGCTGCCAGGGCCTCAAGGTCGTAAGTCTTGGCCGTCACATCCTTCTGCTTCGGATCAATACAGTTCTTGATCATGATGATCCCTTGATCAGGAGAGAACGTCTCGTAGAGATACTGTCTCCTCCTCTTGTCCATGATAAACCGCTTAAGAACCAAACATTGATTCCTCGCAATCCCACGATTCTGATTCTTCAAAAACTGCGAAAGGAGGTCGACGTAGACAGGACGGTCTGTGGTGTGCGTGTCTATGGACGTAAGCACGTGCTCCAAGATGGATGGATTCATAAGCTCAACAAAATGGGATTTGGCCGATAAGATCGTCGTGACTGTTTGCAGAACATACTTCGCAAACCGAGGGTCCAACGAAAGTTGCTGCATGATGAGCAACATGTCGTCACCGAGAGCATTCACAGTCTCTTTGTTGTTGCTCAACGAGGCCGAGAGTGCGCGATGAGACAACTGAAACAGGTGGATGATGTGCTGGTACTTGGAGTAAGTCGCCTCCCGCCCTGGAGTTTGCAGAACACTGTCACGGAAGCTCTTGAGAGCACCACGTGGACTGGCAGACAGAAGCATCGACTGATCAGGATCATTTGACAGGTTCTTGATCGCCTTTTGCAAAGAGTTTGTCATCTTGATGACAAGCTGTAGCACTCCCATCTCATGAACAAACAGCTGCCGAAGAACGATGTTGGTGACGGCGTTCGCCCACGACAGCTGCACACTCTCGAGGCGGAAAGATGTTGAGACGACAGTGTTTGCATGGTTACGACGGAAAGAACAGAACGTTTCTATCCCCTTCAAGGTCTTCACAAAGGTTCTGCATCCGCAGCAGTCAGCAACATAGCATCTCTCATCCACTACAAACGATACCTGTACATTGCCCTATCAAGATTGTTCAAGAAAAAATCCGAGCTGTCATTCCCGAAGTCAGGTGGGAGGAGGGAGAGGAGCACGTTTCTATAGCTTTCAATCTGTTTTCAAGGGATCAGCAAGGGACAAAGGACACATCGGCTTCCCAGCCATGTACCTCGTAGAAGACCGAGGCGATCACCGGGTCTACACGATTGAGGCGGAACGTGTCGCACATTGAAGCCTCCCTCCCAGTCTGCAGCTGCATTATGTTCTTCTTGTGCGAGTCCGGCTCAGGGTGAAGAAATCCACTCGAGCTGGTACACTGGAGGTAGGCGATCGTGTCCCACACGATCGTGTTGGAGGCGAACTGTCCTGCATTGTGGATCTTGAAGAGAGTCTGTGGGATCGGTTCTGAGATCATAGATGGCACACCTTCATCTCGAATCCTCCGAACTGCAAGGTAAGTGTTGGTAGCTATGTGCCTTAGCCGAAAAGACCCGCCGAACTGAAAGAACCCCCCGTCGCCACATTCTGGCTGCTCGATCTGCCACAACGAGTAGACGTCGATGTGCTCCCTCTTCTTCGTGTACCCCTTGGCGATCTTGAGATGCTTTGACTTGTCCAGACACAGCCCCGACTTCTCCATCCCGTACGAAAGGTAAGATTCGCTCTCCACATGTGAGATTTGCAGCAGGTCTCCACCCTTCACCACATGATCCAGCCCAGGCTGCCAGCTCGTGTAGAGCTTGAGCTTCCAGGATATTCTCACATCGGAGGCGTTGACTTCATACTTGCTCAGGGCCGTCCCAGAAGATATCACGTTGCTTTTCACTTCATGCGCACAGTGCAAGTACTGCCCAGACACTTTCACGGACGCCAGACAGATCGAGTCACCGTAGTTGATCGACTCTATCGTGTTCTGCAGCTTGTATCGAGGCTCAAGGATCCACCAGACCTCCTGGCTACCTTGATCTGTCAACACTACCCTGTGGCAGTTGCTATCTATCTCCGCTACCTCCTTAGGTTTGATTGCGAGGAACTTGCCGCTCTTGAGGTGCTGGAGTTGTATCACCTGCCCGTAGTTGACGATCGCACCAAGAGTCCTCGTGCACTCAGACATGTTGTGGTTCTTTTCAGCCTCGGCCTCAGCATTCAGCTTTTCTAGGAAATGCCTCTCTTCCGGAAGCACCTCCTCGAAGTTCAGTACCTCATCGCCTCCTACAGGGTGCGTCGTCTGTATGATCTTCTTCACCTTGCTGTTCAGCTTCTTCTGGAACGTGTACAGCTGCTTTGCAACGACCCGGAAAAGGGTCCCATCCACTCTCAACGAGTCCATAACGGAGAGTTTAGGTACTTCGCAGTCCTCGTCTACAAAGCCATCGGAAGATATGCAGCTACCCAGGTCGTCGAAGTACAATGACAGCACATCACCGAGACACACGCATGGCGTCTCCTTGTCATTGCTGTGCTGGACACCGAATTGCAGAGACTCAGCACCGAAGCTGTGCTCTGTTCTGTTCGTGAAGAGCTCACTCCCTACCTTGCTGCGCGAGCTCAGTATACTCTGCATTCTTCCTGCACTCTGTCTCTCTCAGGGGTGTTGCCTGCGCTATCAAGCAGCTTGCGAGAAGTTCATCCCTAGTGCGACTCACTCGCCATCGCCGATGCTGCGCGTTACATCCTCTTCTCGCCCCCCTCAGCTTCTCGCGCCCTCGCCATACCCCATATTTCCGGCAAAGGGATTTCCTCGGTTTAAATCAAGCAAAGTTGCGATTTTAACCGAATTGGGCAGGTAATGGTCATCCGGCTTCCTGGTTTCGATCAACGGTCCTCGACATGGCTTGAAGAATGGGAGGTGGCAGGTCTCGGCCGCGGGAGCTGCAAGGCAGCGATGCTGAGAATGAGAATGAAGGAGCGAAGAAGGAAGGAGTACACGCCGCAGACAGAGCTCCTCATGGTGGGGCAGCAGCGAGAGAGAGGGCGGCTGATCGGAACAGGTCCAAGGAAGGGAATGGAGGTGAAGCCAGGAAGAAAGTCAACTACCCCAAGGAAGTTCTGTTCCATGCAAAACAGCTCGGACTGAATCCTGACAAGGTACAGGAAGAGACACCTCCTCTGCTTCTTGCCTGAATGTCTGTGTCCCCAGGATGACAAGCTCATGTGGATAGCTGAAAAAGCCGCCAATGACAGAATACTTCCACCCTGGGGGAAGTTCAGAGACAAGAATGGCCGAATATACTATTCCAATGCAGCCACAAAGCAGACGATATGGCAAAGCCCTTACATGGATGAGTACCACAAGCTGATCAAACAAAGCAGAAAAGAGATCGTGCAGGTACGGCCCTCTTTACTTGGAGACGGTCTTGACGGAAGCTCTCCGATGAAAGGTTGATCCCTTGAAGCAAGACGAAGCCTTTCAACGAGCTCCTTCTACGGTATCATCAGCACTTGACATCTCCGATCTGATCTAGTTGCACTTGCAGAAGAGTGCACACGAGAAATATTACGTTCTCTCCGAAAACAAGCTTGCTTGTATCGTCCCTGATCTGCACAGCAAAGTTTCTCAGCTGCATGACTTCCCAGACAGTTGGAGTGAGTCATGCATCTGGTTGATGCTTCAAAGCGCGTAACATCTGCTTCAGGCATCAACAGGATAAAGGTGCAAGGTAGTGCGGGTCTTCGGGGCAGGAAAGTGAAGTGGTATTATGCAAATCTTCGCTGTTGTCAGGTCGGAATATGATAATCCATCATAATCAACTGACGATCTTCCTCTCAACGTGCTCGTTTTCTTGTCCTGTAGATTCCATTTGTTTCCGCATGCTTCGATCTGAAAGATTTTGATGCTGAAAGCGACCCTCGGCTGGTACGCACAAAGCCCTCAAAGGATTCGAAATCCTGACGATATTTCTTAATATCCCAGGGCGAAAAGCTGAATGATGGTTCTCAATACAATGGGCATACAATCTTATCACTGGACCTTTCAGGTCTGTCTGCAGACCTTGAGGACTTTTGGTCGGCAGACTCTAATTCTCATGGGGCAGTAAATAATATCTCAATGCTCTCAAACGGAGGACTGGCTGCCTTCATTCACCTTCGGAAGCTCGGTGAAGAGCATCCAATGCTTCATGAGCTGAACTTTGATCTTTGCAGACCTGTCTTGCAACTGTATCTCACATCTCGATGGCCTCGGAGCAGTCCCAAACGCTGTTGAAGTCAACTTGTCCTATAATCGACTTGGTTTGCAACATGCAAGATCTATTCGATCATCTGTTGAAATGCGATTGACGTCCAGGGCATGACACAGACATTTCAAATTGCTTCTCGGGCAATCGAGAGTCGATTCTCTCATACGGAGGTCTTGAGAAGCTCAAAAGCTTGCGGGTGATTGCGACCGTAACTTTGACTGATAGCAGCTAATGTCGGCATTAGATTCTCAACCTGTCCTACAACTATTTGAAACAAGTCTCTGATGTCTTTTCAATGAGCAGCCTGACTGACTTGAGGTTGGCTTGATCTTCACAAGTGAATCTTGTAAGGACATCCTGTTTCAGGTTGGATGCGAATCAACTAGAAACTTTGGCTGGTCTGGAGAGGTTATAGTTCATTCTCAACATGCCCCCCTGACTGGACCAAAGGCTACCAAGTCTACAAGTGCTGTCTGCAAGACAAAACTTGTTGAGGTTCTTGAACAAAGAAAAGTTTCATTTCTCATTTCATTGACAGGGAGCTTTCTACAACCAAGAGCTCCAACTCAGGATCATTACAGCAAGATGTAGTTTCACGGAATGTTTTTCTTTCTGTGACATTTCCCGGAGGACAAAACCGTTCGCTACCATCGAGCTCATCTCTCCAACAGGTTTAATAGCATCTCTGATGATTTTCTTAACCATCTCAACAGACTGCTCTTGATTGATCTTGAAACAAACAAGTAGCAGTCGTTTGTCGTTGATCGAGAAGTTACCAATTCGCCAGATTCTCACATCTCGAACAAATCTTGGAGCCTCTTTCAACCTGTACCTCATGTGAAGTTTTGATCTCTCCGTGTTTCACAACTCTCTGAAACATCAAACCAGCCTTGACAGAATTAAATCTAATAGAGAACGACCTACAAGGTGACAGTATGCTTCATCAGGCAACTGTTCTCAACAGCTTCCCCTCTTTGACCAAGTTGGATGGGAGACAAATTCTGGTTTGATCAATTAGTTCATTGAGATCGCTCTGAATCATGATTTTCAAGCCTCGGATGAGAGAAAAAGCGCTTGATTTGAGCAGTCGTGCTGACATTGCAAAGGTGTGAGCTCGGGAGGCCGTCGGTGTACATTCAAATCATGATGCATTCTTGCCTATTAGATCAAAGATCAGATCCAATCGATACACCGATCCCAACTGCAGAAGGAAGAGCTCCGAACGCAATGGATAGTCTCCTCGCTATCGCACCAGTCAAAAGAGGTGAGAACGGCCGGTTCCTTGGAACGCAAGTCAGCGACGTTGCTGACTTGCGTTTCATCTGCAAGGTTGAGGAGAAACTGGAGGCCTTGAAAGACAAGATGCACCGAGAGCTTCAAGCGACGCTGCTGGATATCGAAGAGAGTGTCAAGTCCTTTCCTGACCTCATCAAACACGAGCATGTGAAGTGCGACAGAGAGAGAGTGAGATGTTTCTTGATGTGAGACCACATGATGGCAGGAAGATCGAAGAGGTAGCTGAAGACAATTACTCCAGACAGGAGCGTCTTGTCTCAGATTTTGATAGAGAGATGCCGAGGTATCTGCCACTCAGCGTGTCCATCATCTGACCCTCCTCACAGACACATAAAGCCGAGAAGTGATATGTAAGGTGTAAATACATTCATTCATTATTCTTTTGGTGTTCGATAAAAATACAGTGAAGGGTAACATACACTCTTGACAGTTTTCTAGTCTGATATGCTCGGACTCAACCTCCGTGAAGACTGGACAGGACTCGATGATCTCGGCCTCCGTTTACGATGAGTCTCATCTTTCTGTGTGCTGTCTACTTGGTCACTACTTCTCCTTTGTTTCTCATTCACCAGCTCCTGTTCCATCGCATGCGTCAACCTTTTTGCCAGATCTTCTGCTTGAAATCTCGCTGTGTTTTTCAGCTCCTTGTGATCTCTCTGCAGCCAGCAGACTCTTGTCTTCAGTCGCTCTGACATGACCTTGCACTCGCTCGAGCATTTGTGCACGCGGAAGAATTGTCGAACACCAGCCATCCCTTCGTTCATTGGCCCGCAGCACAGATCGTCGTCGTTACAATGCACAAAGCTTGAAAGGCAACAGTCCTCCATGGACTTGCGCTTGAACTCGATCAAGAACCTGCCGCCACTGATCAACCATGAGAAGTGACTGAAAGCTCCGCTCAACGAGTCCTCCTCCTCGTCCTTGACGGAATCGCCTCCCTTCCTGACTGGAAGAGAATCTTCCAGGTTTGAGAAGTTGTAAGAGTAGGAGAAGTCCAGCGATCTCTCCTTGAATATGCAGTTGAAAGCGTTGACACAATCTTGAACAAGATAGAACGCTTCCAGCCAAGGTGTCAAGACAGCAGGCATGCCGAGAAAACCTTCTCTCTCTACATTCATTTCAAAGAGCTGAAAGCTCTGAAAAGTCGAACTCCTCTCCCTGTCCCCTGTTGAGTTCCAACTCAAGAAGGTTCCACCCCCTGTGTAATTCTGACTGAATGTCATATCAAACCACAAGGCATAGATCTGCTTCGAAGAAGTTGCCTTTTCCCCACTCTGAATCACTTTAAACGAGCCGGAGAGGCACGTTTTTTCCTCCCTTTGGTGTTGTGCGGGTTCAAATCTTCTCATTCTTGGGTTTCCAAACAAGAAACTCAAGATCTTGCTTTTCATGTCAACCCAACTGAAGATTAAGATTCATCGGCATGAATACCAGTCGCTGTACTGCAAACACAACAATCAGTATAAAATAACTATGATGTTTCATGATCTTATGATGAAATAACCGAGCCAGAGCAAAACTCATGACCTTACGATAAAATGACCGAACCATAGCATAACTCATGATCTTCTAACTAACAGCTTTCTCTTTCAAATTTTGTCTATCAACGTCTCACATGATTGTTCCTGTCCTCCATAGAACGACTGCCAAACATTCAATTACAACACTTCTCCTGTTACCCCGTCTCGCTCTCTCCATCTCCTTTGTCCTCTGTTTGCTTCTACTTCGTCCTCTCTTCTCTGCCCATCAAAGTCTGGCCCTCTCCTCTCCTTCCTCTCTCTCTTCCCCATTCCCCCTCTCCTCGCGTTTTCTCCCCTCGTGCGCGGCGCGGCCATCGTACAATTCACACACCTGGACCGCGACTGGGGGTGGTTCGAGAAGAGTTGACACAATACCGGTCATTTGTCCATGTATTTGAACCTAACAGAAGGGGTACTATTTCATTTTGAGGGCAGTGGGGGTCGTAAACCCGTCAAAAAGAATTTTTAAAAACAATTTAGAACTGTCAGCAAAGGGGAGACACGATCGGGTACCAGAAGACGTGCACTACTGGGAGATCGAATCTCCATTCCGAAAAGATATATTTTCATAATCAATTAAAAAACGAAATACGACCCATACTACCCTGGTATGACTACCCCCATTATCCCCAAAGAAATTCCCTGAAGTGCCCCAATTTGGCTCGTTGCAATACAAGGAGTCATGTTACCTATAATGTTATATATATATAATATTATAGCAAACGGAAATGTATTTGTGACCCACCTTTGCTTTACGACAGAAACAGCGAAGAGATTTGCTGCCCCTCACAGAACAAATAGAAGAATACTGAGGCAGACTTGTGCTTTTTTTTTGTTCATCAAGTAGCCATGGACAGAGACGCCCTAAAGGCAGGGGCAGGGGCAGGGGCAGCATGGACGAGGATGCAGGAACAAGAACGTGGACAAAGACACTTCTCGAAAAGAACAGGACACTCTCCAGATGAAAAAGATTGGCTACAAGTAGAGGACGATCGTGGGCTCTACTTTCATTCAAGGGGAATCGTCGTCAGAAATAGAGTAGCATCCTGGAGAACATGTCTGCTACCCTCACGCTCACGGCAAGAGCGTGCATGGAAGAAGTGGGAAGCTGAACGAGGACAGGAATACTTGCTCATTTCAAGGAGGAGACGCGGGTAGAACGCGTGTTGGTGGGTAGATGGGTGCGGGTGAGTTGTTGGCAGCTCGCGAACGTGCTTGTTTGCAAATGAACTGTGTACCCTGACTCTCACTTTTCATGCCAATCAATCACTCCTTCTATTCGATGTCTGTTATAAAGAACAGCAAGATGGGTTGAGGAGAGGAGAGAAAAGGGAGGGGAAGGGATGAGAGGAGAGGAGAGGAGAGAAGAGAAGGAGGCGGTGAAGATAGGGAAGAAGAGGAGTGAGTAACGGAAGAAGGGAGAGGGAGAGTGGAGGTTGAGTCTCGCAGCCAAGGACAGAGTTCACTTAGGAGAAGGAAAAGCCCTCGCTACCATAATGTAACGCTACGTGGAACCTCTCCTCCAGGATCTGCCAGGTGTATCAGTTCATGCTTTGTAGTTGGAGAAGCAGCAACCTCCTTGCTGGAGTAGTCGGGGATCTTGAGCAGGTTGAAGCAGGTGCTTGCAGTGGGCAGCCGATCGTCACCTGCTTCAAGTCACTTCCTTTGACACGTCGCAGCCTGCTCTACCCTCTTGAGTGCACGCCAGCGTAAACCGACAGATGGAGCTGAGGCCAGGGAGGTTTTCAAAGCCCACGGAAGGAGACTATGAGTGGAGTCAGGGGGTCACTGAAAGCAGCGAAACTCATCGGGTACCACTGAGCTCCCAGTGCAGAACTTGAGCAGCAGAGCACGTTCAGCTTCCTCCTTCGAGCAGACAAACTCCCAGAACCACAGAGAGAGCTGGCTAGTCTCACAAAGCTGCTCGCCCTGACTCGTCCCTAGCAGCTCAGTCTCAGCTGGAGTTGTCTGAGAATGGAGTAGCCAGTCACCGGAGTATCGGCACCATCGCCGCCAGTCGTCCACGTCTATCTTGGGGAGCCCGCAAAGGAGGAGGTCGAGCTCTTGGTCGGAGAAGATTCGAATGGCAGGCTGAAGCATGCGTGAGCAGGGAGGAGATGAGGACGGGAGGGAGGGACCTTGGGCACGACCTCGAAGAACCCATGTAGCAGCCTGTCCATCAGCTTCTTGGCACCATCGCGAAGTTTGTACAAGATGTAGAGTTCGACGTACTTCTCCTGCCAAGGATGATGAGGAGAATGATGAATGGAGTCTCATTCACTTACAATGTTAGTGCTGTCCACTTTGATGTTCTCTCCATTCTCCATCAACTCCACCTTCTGCTTGCTGGCTTGAACTTTGCCTTGTTCTGCAATCCTCGTCAACCCCCTCCTACACTCTTAGATCTCAACTGTATCACCGTTCAACTCATCCCCTGCACGTTGGTAGTCAGTCAAGATGGTGAAGTCAAGGTCCATGGCCTCGTGGTCTTGGTGCCCTTTCAGCGCGCACAAGTTGCGGTAGAGATCTGGTTCGATCTCCTCGAGCATCTCCAATTCAAGTTTCCCTCCCACAATCATTCGCAGGAATGCTCTGCTGAACTTCACGTCTACCAGGCTCTGATGACGGATGGCAAGGCCGAGCAGCCTGCCGAAGGCAAACATCCCGCTTTGAGCCGTAAGAGCACCTGAGGGATAGTCGAGAATGACGCAGTCAGCGGCGTCATCGTTTCTTGATTTCCATTGAAGTTTCCTCGACAAGTCTCCCGCTAGAGGGTGGTACACTCTCGTGCCCGAGCTCAGGCCGAACAGCCCGTAATCTTCACACACAAACTTCTTCGAGGCGACTGCAAAGTACTCTCTCTGTGGGCCGGTGCCAGTCCCCTCCTCTCCCAAGAAGTTCACTTCAAAGTGCCTGCTCCTGCAGCTTTCCTCGCTCTGGCCGATCAGAGCTCCGATGCTCGACTCCACGATCCTGCTCCTGTCAATCAAGAGCTTGCAGTCGATCCTGCCCCAGTGGAAGATCAGGCCCTTAGTAGTGGTACGGTTAATCTCTCGCCGCAGCCACGAGACTTTGCTCTGATACGACAGCAGCGAGCTGTTCCGCAGGAGGAAGGACATGCAGCCAGCAAGAGCCTCCGGGTCTGACTGGACCAGCCGGTTGATCGCCTCATAGAACTCGGGGATGGTGGCTGCGTACTCGACAACCTTGACGACTCTCTCCAGCGTCTCGCCATGATCGCTGAGCATCAGGGAAGCAAGGTTCTTCAGCTGCGCCGCACAGACCTCAGCGTTCTCGGGCTGGAGCATCGCTACCACACACGAGCGGTTCTTCATGAAGTCTGCGTACAGCAGGGGGCTCCAGCCTTGCGAGTCCCTTTGGTCCACGTTAGCACCATGCTCAATCAGCACCTTCACGCAGTCCACGTGACCTCCGCATGCTGCCAGATGTAGTGGAGTCGCTCCTGGGACGAGGGAGGTAGATGTAGGAAGCGGCTTGTTCACAGCACATCCCATGCTGATGAGCGGGGCGATGCATCCGGCATGTCCGGCATGGGCAGCATGATGTAGCGCACTCATACCGTCCTTGTCCTCTAGCTGAGGCTTTGCCGCGTGCTGCTGAATCCAGGGAAGGATGCAGTCAACGTGCCCTGACATGGACAGGATGTGGAGAGGAGAGATGTCGTGGGAGTCCAGACAGTCTACCTCTACCTTGTGCTGGTTCACCAGATGCAACATCACCTCCATGTTCCCCTCTGCCGCCGCATAGTGCAGAGCTTGCTGCCCTCGCTTGTCTGTCCTCGAAGCATTCTTCGAGGACGGCTTCAACTTGTTCATTTGAAAGATAATATTCTGTACAACACTAAAGAGAAAGTCAGAGCATGATACGCAAAAACAAAGGATTTTCAGGAGGAGGACAATGAGGAGGAGGAGAGTGAGGGAGAACAGCACGGAAGTTGAGAAAGAGTCTCACGGTATGCCACATGCAGCAGCTGCCATGTGGAGCGGCAAGGTTCCATCAGCATCGCTCCGGAAGACATCAGCATTCCTCTCGAGCAGGTAGCTCGCGATGCTCTCCTCTCTCAACGACAGCGCGAGCAGCAGTGGCGTCACTTCCGACTTGCCCTGCCGTGAGTTCACGTCTGCTCCTCTTCCGAAAATCTCCTTCACGCACTCCAGGGATTTGCCCTCGATGGCTGCATGGAGCACATCGTGAGTGCGGATGGTGCGGAGATTCTGAGGCTCCTTCTTAAGGAGCAGCCGAACTTGTTCCAGGTCTCCGGCATGCAGAGCAAGCACAAGTGGGTCCTTGGAGGAGGATTCCTTGGACTCTTCCTCCTCCTTCTTCTTCCGTTTGGAGGCTGCCGCTGCCCCGTCCTCCTCGCCTGATGAGTCTGACTCCCTCGCAATCGCCAGCCTCCAGTCCTGGGAGTGCATAGCAGAATCGTCTTCCACAACAAAGTCGCCAAGGGAATCATCGCTGATGTAGACTGCCTCCTGCTTCTCTTCCATATCCTTTAAGATGGTGCGATTCCTCTCCTTCAGCATGCTGTGCCACTCTTCTCTTGACTTCTCCTCTTTCGTCACCCTCTCTCGCAGGCCGTACCTCGAGCCCTTGGCAGCTTTTTGCTGCTCTGCGTTCTCCTCCTCCTCCTCCTCCTCCTCCTCCAACTTGGCAGGACGAATCCGCGATCTTTTCACTGGCGAGGACGAGACTCCGTCGCTCTCGCTGTTCTCCTTGCCCTCCTTGCTGTCCACGCATGCCGCAGTCTCGTCATCGCTGTCCAGAATTCGTTTTTTCCTGGCAAGACATGTCAGGGAGGCAAGCTGGTGTGCATTCAGTAACAAGTGACTCAGCAACTCACTTGTTGGAAGATGTCACTCGAGGAGATATCACCGACATACTCTCCTCGTCGCTCTCCTCCATGATGCTCCTTGTTGGCTTCTTGCCCAGAGAGATCTCGGGAGACGCTGAACCATCGGGTTTTGAGCTGCAGGCAAGATGAGGAGCGACAGAGTGAGGAGGAGGATGCACAAATTACCTGGCCCCCACTTGTGGTTCGGGAGGAACGCGAGTTCTCCTCTCCTCCCTCGACTGATTCTCTTGCTCGAGATCTGCCAGGATTGAGATTCTTGGAGGACGAGTCCTCTCCTTTGCCTTCGTTCCTCTGCCCCTCCTCCTTTCGACTTCTTCCTCCGACTCCGATTCGTCACTGTCCTCCTTCCGCCTCCTTGAATTCTTCTTCTTCCCCCTGTTCATCCTCCTATCCCCGCTGCTCTCGCTCACAACCTCTTCCTCCTCGTCCTCGTCCTCGCTGAGAGATTCGTTATCTGACGCGATGAAATCATTGATGTCGGAACTCTCAGCCGAGCTCTCAGCAGCCGAATCCGATTCGTCTTTGAGGATGGGAGAAAAGCTTCCATTCCCCTCAATCACTGTCTCCACGACCGAGTTGTACTTCATCGCTCTCTTGTGGTTGTTTGCTCCCCAATAGTCCCTGATCAATTCTCCGTCGGACTTGATCGCATGGCTCTTGAGCATCTTCTGCTCGTCTTCAGAGTCCCACTCCTCCTGCTGCTTAGCGGGGTGAGAGACGGATCGAGATCAAGGGAGCAAGGCAGAGGAGCGGAAGTGATCACCTGGTTGCCTGTTGACGTCTTCATCCTCGAATAATTCTTCTCTCGGTTTGACGACGTCAGGTAGTTGTACACCAACTGCTTCAGGTAGTTCTGAGAGACTTCGGGACAATGGGAGGCTCGATGGACTTCCTTGTAATGCGCGCGGAACTCGCGAGCCCCGGGAAAGATGAAGGCTGGGATCTTTGACTTGCCCTGGTTCCAGTGAAAGTCAGAAACAGGAAGAGAAGCATACAAGTTCCAAACAAGCTTCATGATGACATCCATCGGGTCTTGATTCTTCGGCATTTCAAAGGACTGCCCCTTTTCTGCTCCTGGAATGTGTTCTAAAAGCTTCTTGTAGCAGATGGTGCAGACAGGCAGCTAAATAGGGAAGTTCAACGGATTGAGAGCAACATGATTGTCACAAGTACCTGTTTCGATGATATGATGCTGGAATTCTTCTTCTTTCCTGGCTCAATGATCGCATCGGAGAAACCTGACCCTGCATGCCACGTCAAGTGCGGTAACAAAGAGCCACAGATCTTCCAGCTGAGACCTGAGAATGGCTTCGACGAGGAAGCAATCTCGACAACCTCTGATAGCAAGAACACGTCAGAAAACGAGGACTATCGAGGAGCAGCAGCAACCTCCGTCACTTGTGTCCAACACGACTGAAGCTTCCTCGCTAGATTCATCACTAGAAGTATCGCTCCTCTTCCTCCTCCTGGCGGCCTCCAACACTGAGCTGACCCTGTCCCTCCTCGCCTGCGCCGTCCCGGTCGATCGTCGGGATCGTGAGCCGCTCGCTGTAACGCAAGTTCAGTGTACGAAGGAGATCTTTGAGCGAATGCTCTCATGCACCTCTGTTGCTGGAAGATGCTCCCTTGGAAGACACCTGTCAGACCAATCAGACATCGTTCACTTGTCGCCTTTGCTCTGAGGTACTTTGTGCGACTTGTCTGACTTTGTTGAGCTTCTGCAAGGTTGTGTGAGATTGCAATAAGCAAGTCACGAGAGAGAGGGACCTGCGGCTGGCCTGCAGCTGCTCCCTTCGGCCTGGTGCTGCTTCCTTCCTCCTTCGTGCATGGCGGTCTTCCTCCTCCTCATCGCTGTCTGGCCTCCAGTCCTCCGACGAAGCACTTTCCTAGCAAGGGCATCAAACGATAGGAGCAGCTTGAGTTCTGTGTCCACCTCTCCATTGCGCTTGCCCTTCTTGTTCTTGCTTCTGACCTTCTCCTCTTCCTCCTCCTCCTCCTGCAGAGCTGCACTCAGTCGGGTGCTCACCCTTGAGAGGGCAGAATACCTCAGGATCAGAGGAAAGCATGACAAAGTCTTGATCCTGCTTCTTCTTGATGGCAGAGCTTCTCTTCGGCATCACTCTCGTAGGCGTGCTCTCTTCCGTCCTCGACTGACTTGTGTGCTGCTTCTTGGTCGTGCTCCTTTGCGACAGCGGAACGTCGGACTCAGGGGACGATGCTGCGTCCCTCGGGGCCGGTCGGTTCCTGAAGCTTGAAGGCTTCGCCTCTGAAGAGCAGAAGCATGAGAGGAAGAGAGAGGAGAGGGAGAAAACATCACGAGGAGAGTCTTCGTCGCTGCTTTCAAGTCTCCTAGCAGCATGCTTGCTCTTGTTGGTCGATGGTGTTGTAACGACGAAGAACTCGTCGTCAGAGTTCGAGTCTGCAAGAGAAGCATGAGCAGCACATCTCACAACAGAGCAGCAAGCAACCTTTCAATCCCTTGAGGTTGTACTGCTTGCTCATTTCCTCTCCTTCCCTCCTCTCCCTTCTGACCCGCCCAGAGTAAAAGCTGGGAGCAGGGTCGCCTTCGTCTCTCCCACGACCCAGGACCACTAACACACGACCTATGGTATATTGTCTTAATGCCTCAATTATAAAACATTTCACCTTGGCCCATGCCCTTCAGTGTTTCTCGGGGAGGGTCACATACAATTTGCACCGTTGCAATGGCGAGAGTACTAGTGACGATGCAGAAATGTGGATAAGGAGAAGACGTAGAGGGGAGGAGGGTTGAGGGGAGGAGGGTTGAGGGGAGGAGGAGGAGGAAGAAGAAGAAGGAGATTTGAGGAAGAGGAAAGGAGGGAGAGGAGGAAGAAGGAGATTTGAGGAAGAGGAGAGGAGGGAGAGGAGGGAGAAGACAAGCACAGATCAGAGGAGAGATGAACAAGTGATGACCGGTGGGAACTGAAAAGTTGAGAGCGTGTTCTCTTCTATTGGTGTTCAGAAGGATTAATCTTCTCCTGTCTTTTTCATCGATCAGTGAGACCAACAGGTATGAAAGTTTCTACAAGATGTTCTTCACTCGTGCACGCATCGACGTGGCCTGAGCTCAAGTTCGGTTCATGGCATGTTGTGATGTGCTAGATATCCGGCTGCTGATGGCCATACGGCGGTAAATCAACGCGTATGGACAGATACCAGCCTTATATTCTACTTGCTACAAGCTGAACTTTCTGATCATTGCGGAACAGGAGATAGCAAGAACAGCATTCAGTTTCAACCACGTTCAGTCATGCGTGTTGCATTCACAACATTAAAATTCCATGCTAGTTTACATAATCTTGTCTTTCTCGCGCACTGCAAACAGAACTCCAGCAAGCACCTGCAGGGGATGTCAAGAAAGACATACTGACACATACGAGCTTGTACGCCAATGAAGAAGCCGACGAAGAAGACTATGGTCGTATATCTGTGTCTCACCATGTCAGTTGAAAATTTGAGGGCATCTCATCATCTCCATCATCATCTCCATCATCATCATCATCATCACTTACAAGCCTATGGAGTCGCTTGCAAGCTGCTCAGCAAAATCTCTGCCAACATGATTGTCACCGAACAACATGTATCTCCTGCATAACTTCACCTGATCGAGGACAGGAGGTTCCCCGACCTAGTTTGTTTGCTGGGGTTGAGAATGGACTTGTTCTTCTGCAAATAATCGTGCACATGTTTGTGAAGCTGAAGCGTTTGCCGAGCTGTCAGTACCAATTGGCGCAAGCACAGCTGCGATCACCGCTTCGAAACTGTTCTCGCCCGAGTAATCGGAGATCTTCTTGCCATCTTTCCGACGTGCACGTCAAAACAAGGTCGTTGGATCCTTGGAGCAAATAGAACTTATCTTACCCACGATCTTCAAAGTGGGATAATGCTGAATAGCAAACCTCTCAGCGAGTTCTGAATCTGAATCCGCATCTACTTTCCCGACTCTAGGGTGTCCTTGTGAGATATCTTCCATCACAAGTCTTGTCACCTGACGGGCGTTCCCTTCAATTCCTTCGCTAGCTTCTCCCACACAGGAGCCAAACGCTTGCAATGAACGCACCATCTGCTCTGTCATGTTACGAGTGAAGGCACGGCCAAGGGAAAGAGAAATCACGGTGCATAAAATTTGATGAACCATACACCTTCCTTTGTCAATCTGCAAGCAAACAGACGTACAAACACAAGTTAAACAGACTTCCTCGTCGCTGATGACAGGAATGAGAGGTCGGGCAACCTGTCGAAGTTGTCCGAATCCAGGACGACGACGTCACTAGCTGAGGTGACGGCGAGGGCGAGCAGGAGCAGCACGATTTTCATCATCTCTTCCTCTCGCTCAACCGTCTGTGATCAAACCACCCTGTGCAAACCAATTCTCACGATATGAAAGAATGCAGTTGTGTGCTTTCACAATCATTCACAACAAATTACAACCATCGTGCTGTTTGCTGACTGTCTTCAAGTACATAGTTATCCTCCTCCTTCCCTTCTCGCCACTCCCTCCGCTTTCTGCAACCTGATTGGTATTCGCCTACCGGGCCCGCCTCAATTTCTCAGAACAAAGATACGGTCAAGGAGCCTCGGAGCTGGCCTCGGAGCCTAGTAGCCTAGATCTCGCCGGCGATGCCGAACATGGCAATGAACCGTTCAACAGCGAAGGCATGAGGCCGGGTGATGGGCCGCCGGGTGATGGCCTGCTTCATGGCCCTCGTATGGCCGTGATGCCGCGCGGTACTATAGTACTACCGGCGTTGGCCGCAACCGGTGACCGGCGGGCCCACTGCCAGTGGACTCGGGAGTGAACGTACGGGCAGTACCGACCGCGACTCACCCAAGTTGTACTGACTGTCATGCCATCTCGTACTGATTTTTAACTTAACTTTGAGTAAAGAGACTGTCATGAGTAAAGTGGCCCAGTGATCCCGTCCCCTTCAAGTTCGGGAGTCACTGGCAGCTTGTTTGACAAAGCACGTTACCGCTACCCTACCCCCTACGGTCATTTGCCGACGGACCCCCACCCCCCACTGAGCCGCTCTGGGTTCACTGACTCAGCGAGAGCCCCGGTAGTACGGCAGACCCCCTCGACCCGTATGGTACTACGTGCCACGGTGACTCCGACCAGCGGCCGCCGATCCGCCTGCTGAGAACTAGCCTGTGCTCAACGCCATGTGCAATTGCTGCATCGCACCATCCGTGGTTCAAACTCACATCCTTCCTCTGTGCCTCCTCAATGCTGTCTTCGGCTTAGCTCTCCTCATTGCAGGAATCGTCACGGTGTCCACCCTCAAGATCCCTGACGACAGGTGTTATATCTACAAATCTCCCACGGACCCTTCCTCTGATTACAGCGCTGATTACGCTGATTTTCTTAGTATCTTTACACCTAAAACCGAATACCAACAATGTAAAGACAACCGCAGAGCAACAATTCACTTTCTTGAACTTCTCTCTGCCTGTGGATTCTTTCCTGCTATTTTCCCCATCGTTTCCGGTATCGTTGGTGCGTTCGTCGAGAAAACAAAGAAAACAGCAGGAACGGGAGGTCTGCTTGCGTTGTTCATTGTGGGGACTATCTTGGCCCTCAACGGAGGGAGTTTGTCTTCAGATGACAAGCTAGAAGCGACCCAATTCTGTGGTTAGTACAAGCATGCATTGCTACTTTGTTTCGTGAAATCCTTTTCTAGATAGGTCTGAAAACAGATATTCCGACTTCTGCACCAGATACAAGGGAAGCGTTTTGACCATCGCTCTCTTGAACGTGCTACTGGCATTCTACCAATTCGCTTTATCCGTTGTTCTGTGTGCGGTTTGCTGTTCTCACGAAGAACAGGATCCGACCAACATCAATCCGCCGGCTGCGAATGGTAGACAACAGGCGACAGCAACTCTCGGACTACAGGTGGTTGGCTCTGAGATAGGACAAATCAATACCTATGTGACGGGAGACATACCAATCGCTCCTGTCAGTGGGAAGACGTTGGAATCCGGCTGCTGAACGGAACACTGGCTCTGAGTCAGAGAGTGTATGACAGTCAGGGGGTATCACTACTGATAGTCGGACGTCGACCTGACTGTGAAAACTGGTGTCACTAGTACAATTCAGACTGTATTTACGTAGTAAATTGATCTTTGTGTGTAAGTTATACATTTAGTAGGTCACACCCGGCGGCGTGGCACAGTTGCCAGGCTAAAGTACCGGGCCATCATCACTGATTACTGATCACATTATCATCATCGGCAGGCTGAGTTGAATGATCACGGTCCGACCGATCTTCACTGAGTCATCATCAGTCATCGGTATGACTCAATTTCATTTTATTAGGAATCGATTGGCTCTACCATGACTACTTCCTGTGAAACGTTTGAGTTAGAGCGATCACGCGACAACGCGAGAGATTTCAGCGACATGGGCGAGGGAGGAGGGATAAAGCGAGAGAGAAGGAAAGAAGAGAAGGAGGAAGAGGAAATACATAGCATCACAACTCAGGTACGATCTACATGCCTGGGGAAGGACTAGGCCGACAAGTTCAAAAGTTTGTGCTGCCATGTCCTCGCTGAAAACCTGGTGGAAGTCAGAAACAGACTGCGGGAGTAAAAGGAGGTTGAATTGGTGGGGGAGGAGGAAGGTACCTTTCGAGGAAACGCTGTGCAGACATTGTACTTGGGGCATGCAAAATCGCTCTCTGCATCGATGAAGTCGAAGAGATTCTGAAGCAGAGGTGTGAGAAAGAAGAGCGAGAGAAGACAAGTCGTGGAATGTATGAAAGTGAGGGGAAGAGGGAAGACGAAGTGACAAGGAGGAGGGGGAGGGGGGGGGGGGAGGAGGAGGAGGAGGACGACGACGACGACGACTATGTGTAAATACCTGGAGAGTGGATGAACGGAGAAAGCGTCGTTGAATTCTTTTGCCGTTAGGAAGTTTCACAGCTATCAAGCTCATCTGACAAGCTTCCTGTCAGCCATTATGTTGTTGAGATTTCCTCACCTCGGCCTCATTTCCAGCTGGCTCGGGTGTCAACCTGGACTGAGCGGACTTCTTTCTGTCTGCGATGATCCTGGAGGGTAGCGGAGCGAGGTGTGAGAGAGGAAAGGAGAATGAGAGTAAGAGAGAAGATTCGGAGAAGACAGATGTGAGAAGAAAATGGAGGAGATGCTGCAGTGAAGCGACGACAAGATGTCACAAGAAGGTTGGAGTGAAGTGAAAACAAGTGAACAATACAGTTCTGATTGTATGAGAGCTCATTCTCGACGATGCGATCGAGAGGCAGGAGGATGGGAGGAGGATGGGAGGAGGATGGGAGGAGGATGGGAGGAGGAGGAGGAGGAGGAGGAGGAGGAGGAGGAGGAGGAGGAGGAGGAGTCTGACCTTTCTTTCTTCTCATTCTCTTCCGCTTCTCTTCGCTTTCTTGCCTTCGCACGTGGTCATTGACTTGTGTCAACTGAGTAAGTTCTTCTCTCTCACCTCCTCTGCTTCCATCTCGTCTACCTCAGCTTTGGAAGGCGTGATGTCTACCTGTAGAAGCAAGTGAAAAGCAGCGGGGGGGAACAAGGAAGGGAGAGGAAGGAGACGAAGGAGATAAATTGGAATGTTCTTTGAAGATCTGGAGAAGCAGGAGCGGGGACCAGGGCAGGAAGAGGAGGAGGAAGAGGAGCGGGCCAAAACAGCAGGAGCAAGAGCAGGAGCAAGAGCAGGGGCAGGAGGAGCAGGAGTAGGAATCCATGTAAACCTGAATGTCGGTATCGACAAGCATCACCGCATCTTCAGGTTGCAACTTTGGGAATGTCAAAAGCGCACAGGGTTTGGAGCTGTAAAGCGTCAGACCTGAAGGACTTGCAGCTCGAACTCTTTGTCGTTGTGCACAACCTAGACGTGTCCGTCAGAGTTGAGAGGAAAAACATTGTTCTTGTGGTAGTTACCTTCACGACATCTCCGACAGTCAGGGTTGAGAGCCCCTAGTAAGAGAGACGTAAGAAAGTGCAAGGAAGGAGGAGAAGGATGGACTGAGAGGTAGAGACTGATCGATTGATGGAAAAAGTGCAGGAAACGTGAATCACCGATCAAGTCACGAGAGCTCAAGACAGGGGGAGCAGGAAGCAAAGAACACGAGTAGGAGGAGAGATCAGGAGGAGAGTACGAGGAGGGTAAGAGGAGAGAAGAGGGAGAAAGAAGGAGAAGAGGACAGGGGTAGGGCAAGAATAGGAGGAAGCGGAGTCATCACAGAGAGAAAGAATATGACAGAGGAATGAAGAAGGGAAAGAACCTGGAGAGCTGTGTGTAAAACCCCCTCTAATCCTGGTAAAACCCATCTGAACATGTTGGAATGAGCAAGTTCAAATATCCATCCAGGTTACAATCTCTCACTTTCCGCGCGACGAATCGTAAACGGGTTTGGATTGTTTCATGTCAAGAGATGACATGTAGTCCGAGAAAGATCTTTTGTGTCCATGTCAAATAACATTCACAACAACACACAGATTCATCATGGGAAACATCACAACAATCGCTATCATCCGAATGGCTGTCATAATCATCAAATTCATCATCTCCAGCATCACCATCATGCCCATCATCATCATCATCATCATCATCATCATCATCATCATCTCCATCATCATCATCTCCATCGTCATCATCATTACTTGTTCCGAGGTTGTAAGCTGACGGACTCTCCTGTTTGCACGAAGTTACAAATGAGTATGATTATGAAGCATTGACCTTTTGGCAATCTCACATACTTCGTTTGAATCCTAGTGCTAAATCCCCCCTGTCGCGTTCTCAGCTGATATTTTCACCTTCTATTCCCCTCCTCTTTCTCTTCTCTGGTTTTTATTTCACCTCAATCGTCTCGTTGGCTTCAGTTACTGCGCCCAAGCACATCTGCACCTGGAAAAACAAATGTCAATGAGATCATCATCAACAACTATCATAACCATCATCATCGTTTTCATCATCTACATCGTTTTCATCATCATCATCATCGTTTTCATCATCATCATCATCGTTTTCATCATCATCATCATCATCACAAACAAGACATATTATCAGAGTCAACGGGTTTCAAATATCACTTTAGGAGGAATCCCAATAGTCTCTTCTTCCGCGACAAACTCGAGCACACCGCAGTGTGTTCTTCCTCCCTCCCTGAAGACATCAAGGCAATTCAGAGACAACTCAACTATCATCGTCGCCAGACTTTGTTGTGAGCTCGAAGAACAGAGGTCCGCCAACATCTATTGCTCCCTTGAACTGCAAGCACAGGAATGACAACGACGCAGACATCCTTTTATACTCACTTGCAACGCGTTCAAGGCAGAGGGAGGGAGGGTAACTCGGTCGCTATGGCTCCATTCCTCTCGTGCCAGAACTACAGCTCTACAGACCATGATCAGAAGTTGTTCGAAGTCTCAAGCGCTCGATGCTGTCACTCAAGAAACCGACCTGTACGTTTCAACGAAGTCAACCCCCCCTGTTTTCTCATATTGTTTCTGCTTCTCGGCCTGACAGGAGCATCGAGAGGGTTTAGCTACGATCGGTCTGTCGCACGTCAGAGATCAACCTCGAGCTCGGCCTCTTTCTTCAGAATCTCCTCCCTACGCCGCTTGGCCTGCATGCTGTGAACACCAGGATCGACACCAAATCGCCTCCTTCGCACCTGCTCTTCAAGTTCTTGATTCTTTCTCCTCACTTCCTCTTGGATTTTTCTGAGAGACAACATCAGAACCGCGAGTTGCGATCATCAAACCTCACTTTTCTTTGAGTTTCCTCTCCTTCTCCTTCTCTTGCAAACTCTGGGATTTCACAACGTCAGGATGAACAAGACTATGGATCGTTCCCAGCACGCACTTTCTGCTCCTTCTTCAGTCGGGAGGCAGCTCTGGAAGAAACGTCAAAGGATGCAGGATAGGATGAACATGATGGGTTTTACTTGTTCAGATCCAAATCCATACAGATTTGATTTTTCTTGTCGTGTTTCTGCGAATTCTTGAAGTAAGAGGAGAAAATCGAAATGAAAGAGTTGAGGACTCTACAGAAACGACAAACATCTAGTTCTGAAACGGATTTCAACCCTCTCCTTCGTGTTCATGTTTGCCCTCCTCCTTCCTCCTCCTGTTTCTCCCTCCACCTCAATCATTGGATTCGAGTTTGTATGTGGACTACCCTACTACCCTGGCAAGAACGAAATATGACCCCACCCTTGATTTCCGTAGAGCTTCGTAGCTTAAAAGTACCGGTAGTAATCAAATTTTCGGCCCTCTACCCCCTTTTGGTTCTAACCAGAGTACAGGCTGTCGAAGTCGGGGGGAATGTCCAAAACACTGGCGAGGGCGAGGACGTGAGACAGAGGGAGGGGAGGGGAAGAGGAGGAGGGAGAGGAGAGGAGAGGGAGAGGAGGGAAGGGAAAGGGGGGAGGAGGGAGAGGAGGGAGAGGAGGGGAGGGGAGGGGAGATAAGGGGAGATAAGGGAGAGGAGAGGAGGGCAAGAGTATCAAAATTGTGGGCGATGATGGAGAAAAGAGGATCCACGAAAGCATCGGATATGAAACATGACCAAGATAGTACTGCAATATTCATTATTCAAATCATGTGAGATACGACGGGAGATATGTAGATCGTAGGAGTGCCCTTGTATTGTCAACGTCTGTAAGTGGGTCAGAGTTTTCATCATCAAACATCTTTAGACTACTTTTGTTCATCGATGTCAATCAGGCGGTTGAGCAATGCGCGATTCTTCGTCTTCAGCTCTTCAATCTCTGTGATGTAAGCTTGTTTGTCCTTGTTGATCTTGTCCAATCCACCCTGTTAAATAAGAAGGTCATCAGATGGTTTTCACTTTCGTCTCTTCACCTTGGCAAGCGCTTCCTGCATCTGTTCGTTCTCTTCTCTATTTGAAACTGTTGAATCAGCGAGATATAAGTGCGATTCAAGTTCCAGACCTCAACTTGTCAGCTTCAGCACTTGAATTGTAAGCAGCTGTTGTTTTCTGAAAGTAAAGCATGAGAAAGTTGACATGTAATGTTCATCAATCTTACCAGACGTACAAGCTCTTTCAGCTTGTTGATTTCCCTGTCCAAGTCCGAGATGATCGATTCTTTCTCAGCCAGCTGGCACAATCGTTCACGCAACATCTCAACAAAACATGCAATTAGACCTTTGATGCGCAATCCTCAAGATCGGCCTCCAACTTCCTCGCTCTGGAATATTCCGAACGCTGAGATTCCTTCTTGTCTTCTTCAAGAGATTGCAACTTGGAGGACAGAAGATTGATTTGTCTTGTCTGACTGGTGACACTCGAGTTCTTACTGCGGATCTCACGCTCCTGCTCCTCAACCTTGTCCTGTAAGCTTTGGATCTTCCTGTCACTCTCATCTTTCTCCCTTCGCAACTCTGCAATCGTCCTTTCTGCATCCATCAACTCCCGCGTCTTCTCATGCACTTGAGCCTCGAGGCTGTCGATCCTGTTCTGCAAGACGCTGTTGTCTTTGATCAGACTGTCCCTCCTCTGCTGGTGGTCGGCGATCGTGAGATCAAGGCTTTTCGATTCCCGAGCTGCCTGCAGCAATTTCTTGTTTTCTCCCGCAAGGCGTTTGCACTCCTCCTCGTAATGTTGAGCTCGCTTGCTTTCGTAGTCGAGCTTCTGGAACATGTCTTCTTCCATCTTCTGCAGTTTGGAGGGGTTCATCTCATCGAAGTAATTCTTCATCTGATATGAGACCGTCAGCAAGCAGACGTTTGTTTGAGAGGACAAGAGATCTCAAACCTCTGTGCTGTGCTTCACTTCAGCATGCAACCTTCTCTCCAACTCTTCTTGTTTGGCCGTGCTCTGTCACAAAAGATCACACGATCGGTCATGATACGCAAGATAGACATTCAAGGACGAAGACCAAGACAGGACGAAGGCAAAGGCAATATAGGATATTACTTGTGCCAGAAGGTCAGACTGATTCTTTGAAGCCCGAATTACCTCCTCTAGATTTGCTTGCAGCCCCTTTTCTCTTGCAAGAGCTTTTTCCAGCCTCTCTTTCTGTGACAAAGCATCACACAAGGAGGTTCGAAACAAAAGGTGCCAGGAAAGTCCCAGAGAAGCAAAAGAATGGACTAAGGCCAAATGCAAGAGCAAGGAAGAGAAGATGAGGAGGTCGAGCCTTACGTCATCCTTTTGTTCGTGTTCTTTCTGCATAAGCTGCATTCTAAGCTGCTGAATCGTCTTCTCCGCCTCGGTCACCCTGAGGAACTCAGGAGGACGAATCCATTCGATCTTGAGCGCTCGCATCAGGAAGCTCGAACTGTCTGACATCTCCTTCCGAATCTTGAGCTCAAAATTCAGAACTCAAGACATACAGATTACGGAAACCTTGGCTAGAAGCTCGGCAAGCGGTTCCTCCTTCATGTCCAAGATGAAATGTAATAGCCCAGCTCCATCCGACTCGAGAATGTGTACATCTTCTTCAGATATCCCGGCTATTCCCGCCAGATTCTTGACGAAGATCTTCACAGCAGTCAACTTAAAACCAATATCTAGCCGCCATCACCAACCTCCTCCTTTTGACTATCCCATCCTGATCCTTGCGTGTTGATTCGAGCGACGATCCTCCGGGAGTCGGATGAGAACGTTTTCTTCTTGAGCTCTGAACGCAAGTATTGAGCTTCCTGTAAGCGGGGTCACAGAATCTCGCTCTGTCAAGAATCTTGACTGAGCTGACCTTCAGCAGCTCATCAAGAGAATTCTTTGCTGAGATCAGCTCACGCTCAACTTGCTCCTTTTCTCTCTGTACGCTCAAGCGGCTCTCTGCTCCATTTGCTCAGCCATGTTCTCCCTCAGTTGAACAACATACCAGAAGAACCGTTGTGCAACTCATTGAACTCCATTGACATCTTCTCCTTCTCTCTCATGCTTTGATGACAGAATGTATCAGCAACAACCGACCGCAACATTTTTGCAGGAGGTTTTGATTACCATTCACGGAGCATCTGCAGTGCAAGGCTAAGTTTGCCTTCGAGCGATTCGAAGGTGTCAGGTTGACTTGTGAATCTATCCCCAAAGAGCGCAGAATCGTCGAAGAAATTGCTGTAAAAGGTATCGAGCTGATTCCAAGACATTCAGCACCTCTGCCTCTCTTGATGATTCAAGAAGGGAAACGCTTACCTGCTCGCTGGATCTGAACTTCCTGTCGACATATCGCCTGAGTTGCATGGCATCTAAACCATAGTAAGCCAGAAGACCAGAGGTGAGGAACTGAAGCTAGCGGGATCACCAAGCAGGCTGGCTTCATCGCCGAAAACCTTTCCTTTGTTGTCAAAGAAAGATCTCTTGGGGAACCTTTGCGGCCAATAATCGACTCCAAATCTCTCCTGGCTTGAAGGGAATATTGGCACAGAAGGCAATGTGGAATAGTTGATGTTATCCTGTGCTGGTGTATCGTACAATGGTACAGAACCACCTCGAAGCCCACGGTACGGATACCCCTCCGAAGTTGAGAACCTTGAGTGATTCACCATTTCATCGGCCACGTATGGAAATCTCGGGAGCTCCTGCATGAAAGGAAGCGGAACGTCGCGACTGGTCATGGCTGATACTTCAGCCAGAGCACATTCAAAGGCTCAGGAGATCGACGGCAAGACGAAGCAGATGCCTGCAGAAACCCATAAGGCTCTCCTCCGCTCTTCAAACCTTCAGACTCCTTCCTTTCCTCTGGCTATCACCCCATCCCTCGCCCTTCCCTTATTAGGTCCATCCCCCACTGCTTCAGGCTTTGAATATCTCCACCCATCTGCAGCTACTTCTTCGTTCTCCTCTCCTCTCCCTCATCGCTAACTCCATCATGCCAGGGACCATTGCGCAGCATCTTTCAACTTCAACCCGGTGACCCGCCATCCAACGTGACTTTCTACCGGGTCTTCAATGGGCTCTGGGGGTGGGGTGGGTCAAAATCAGTACTAAGTGAGTGTCCGATGATCCGATCACCCCCCTTCTGGGGCCTTGAGAGCCTGCTACGGGTAGGTCTATGGCTTGTCAAAATGGGTAGGGTGATATATCCCACCCTATGCTGAAAAAGATGGGAATCAAGGGGGTAGTGGCTATATCAACCGGTTGGGTAGGGGGTAGAGGTTTTCACTATTTTTGAGTGAGGCCTCTACTGTACGTAACGGATCAATCAGAAGTACATGAGCCCGGCCCGGGGTTGACCTCGGAGTTCGTTTGGAGTCCGACCGTCACCGGGAGTCCCCCCAGGCCGGGGCCCGTGAGCCCCGGGTGGGCCCGATGGCCCGCCGATGATGATTTTCACAAGGCTGAGTCGATTCAACTTTCCCTGAGTTGAGTTTCACAGACGTCGAAAACTGTTCCGGAGTCCACTCGAGGCCCTCAGGCCTTTACTCAAAGGTAAGTTAAAAAGCAGTACGAGGACAATCAGGAGAGACGAGGAGGCTTGACCCTGACACTGTCGCACAGGCCAAACGGCGAGAAGAGAAAAGACAGCGAGAACCAACGTCCGACTTATATTTAGCCTAGTAGTGTATGATTACGTTGCAACTGACAGTGACGCCGGCAAGTTTAACTAGTAACATTCTTTCTCACCGTCAGACACCTGACCCGGCTAGAAAACTCAGGCAAGGTGCCACGGTACCATCCGACCTCGTGTCGCGGCTGATGCAGGATTGCAGTCGACTGAAATGAATCTTTCAGAGATGTAATTTAATGATCGCGCACTGAGTTTTTCCACAAATATACGACACTGTCTACACTACATTGATACAGAACTACAAACGGTTCGAAGCCAGCAACGTGCACCCAATTATCAATGGTACTCATCATGGCATGCTCCCCAGAACAATACTCATATGAGTCGTCCTCAAACGCAGCACTGCACTTCTCCGCAGCGAGCCTAGAGACCGACTGAGACTGAGAGTAGCCCTTGTCCTCGTCGTAGGACTCCGCGGCCAAGCGCAAGGAACAAATTCCGCCATGAAGCACGGCTCGTTTGCCGATTACGAAGTACAGGAGTGAGGCGCTGCCCGCGTGTTGTGCCGCTCAGTGAAACTTACCCTCTGCCATGCATCCAGTCAGCCCTCACAACTTGACCACTTCCCACCATCGCAGACGAGACAACAGCTGTCATCAGACTCTCGGATGCCGCCCCCCTCCCGCCCCCTCCCCTTCTCTGCTCCCCACAACCACGAGTCAAGTCATCCTCTGCCCGGCCGGGGGCCTCTAACCCCCCTCGCCCTCATGAAGCATCAAGCACACTGGCAGCCGGCTTATTACCTTTGACTGTGTTGAAGCCTACCCGGTTGTCTGTCCTGCAAAGCCGGCATCATTCACTTGCAGCGCTATGAGGCGGCTGAGGGGGAGACATACTCGTAAGCCTTCTTCCGGATGATGGAGTCGCGGATCACCTTGTCCGTTAGTGAGGCGACCGTGTCGATCTCTTCCTCTATCACAGATTGCCGTCAGTGCGTCAGATCCAGCATGGCTGAAAGCCATCGACGTCTTACCGGAGAGCCCACGGCGGCCGAAGTTGGCGGAAGCTCGCTGGGGTGCGAGGAGAGATTTCTTGAACGCACTAGAGCGAGAGCCGTTCCTCCCAGACACATCAGTGACGACGATGCCGCCAGTGCGAAGCTCCCAGTTGGAGTCTTGGCCCTTGGACGAGCCGAGAATAGCATTGGCTGTAGCTGGTGGGCAAGGCATGTGTGAATGCTTGAACGATGTAGCGATAAAGCATACATGGCAGGGCGGCGGCGCCGAGCAGCATGGCGCCCAAGACAGCTCGCCGAGAGAGAGCGGCAGAGTCATCGTCTGATGAGCTCATGACCGGGCCACGGCAGAGCGAGGTAGAGCTCTACGTCACCAAATCGTTAAGCAAGTCACCACATGAGACCAAGCATGTTCCAGCACGCGGTGTGTGTGTGGATGATACCTGTCGGAGCTTGAGGGAGGCTCCATCAAGGGAAGGCGAGAGGGAGAAAGAGGCAGCAGAGGCCACGAGGGCGGCGAGGGCGGCAGATCGGAGCATGGAACGAAGCGTGTGGTGCGGGAGGGGAGAGGGCATTTCTTTTTATAGATGGGTGAGCAGGGAAGCAAGCCTGGTGGAGGAAATGGAGAAAAGGGGGGTGGTAACGAGGAGGGTGGGGTCCGAAAGATGAGAAAAGCAAGGGTGGTGGTCCCTAACCGTAAGTCATCTGACTCGGCTTACTCTGGCTTATCAAGTTGCCCCGTCTGACTCATGATCTTCAAATGTAATGAGACTAGACTGTATCTGATATCTGAATTCATAAAGCCGCAATCAAGTTCCTCAGCACTAGTAAGGCTAGGCTGGCGGTCATCAGTACGATCAAGTAAGCTGCTCAGTGGTGTGCCACGGTGAACCGGGGCCCGGTCACCAGTAGTAGATCGCCGATCACGTAAGCCGTCGCCGCCCGACTAATAATACAGTACGTGACAGTCACTCTGATCGGACCCTCTAATAAAGCTCTGCTTTGAAAGTGATTCCAACCTTGTGCTGACAACCACCCTTGCTTTTCTCATCTTTCGGACCCCACCCTCCTCGTTACCACCCCCCTTTTCTCCATTTCCTCCACCAGGCTTGCTTCCCTGCTCACCCATCTATAAAAAGAAATGCCCTCTCCCCTCCCGCACCACACGCTTCGTTCCATGCTCCGATCTGCCGCCCTCGCCGCCCTCGTGGCCTCTGCTGCCTCTTTCTCCCTCTCGCCCTCCCTTGATGGAGCCTCCCTCAAGCTCCGACAGGTATCATCCACACACACACCGCGTGCTGGAACATGCTTGGTCTCATGTGGTGACTTGCTTAACGATTTGGTGACGTAGAGCTCTACCTCGCTCTGCCGTGGCCCGGTCATGAGCTCATCAGACGATGACTCTGCCGCTCTCTCTCGGCGAGCTGTCTTGGGCGCCATGCTGCTCGGCGCCGCCGCCCTGCCATGTATGCTTTATCGCTACATCGTTCAAGCATTCACACATGCCTTGCCCACCAGCTACAGCCAATGCTATTCTCGGCTCGTCCAAGGGCCAAGACTCCAACTGGGAGCTTCGCACTGGCGGCATCGTCGTCACTGATGTGTCTGGGAGGAACGGCTCTCGCTCTAGTGCGTTCAAGAAATCTCTCCTCGCACCCCAGCGAGCTTCCGCCAACTTCGGCCGCCGTGGGCTCTCCGGTAAGACGTCGATGGCTTTCAGCCATGCTGGATCTGACGCACTGACGGCAATCTGTGATAGAGGAAGAGATCGACACGGTCGCCTCACTAACGGACAAGGTGATCCGCGACTCCATCATCCGGAAGAAGGCCTACGAGTATGTCTCCCCCTCAGCCGCCTCATAGCGCTGCAAGTGAATGATGCCGGCTTTGCAGGACAGACAACCGGGTAGGCTTCAACACAGTCAAAGGTAATAAGCCGGCTGCCAGTGTGCTTGATGCTTCATGAGGGCGAGGGGGTTAGAGCCCCCGGCCGGGCAGAGGATGACTTGACTCGTGGTTGTGGGGAGCAGAGAAGGGGAGGGGGCGGGAGGGGGGCGGCATCCGAGAGTCTGATGACAGCTGTTGTCTCGTCTGCGATGGTGGGAAGTGGTCAAGTTGTGAGGGCTGACTGGATGCATGGCAGAGGGTAAGTTTCACTGAGCGGCACAACACGCGGGCAGCGCCTCACTCCTGTACATCGTAATCGGCAAACGAGCCGTGCTTCATGGCCGCGGAGTCCTACGACGAGGACAAGGGCTACTCTCAGTCGGTCTCTAGGCTCGCTGCGGAGAAGTGCAGTGCTGCGTTTGAGGACGACTCATATGAGAATTGTTCTGGGGAGCATGAGTACCATTGATAATTGGGTGCACGTTGCTGGCTTCGAACCGTTTGTAGTTCTGTATCAATGTAGTGTAGACAGTGTCGTATATTTGTGGAAAAACTCAGTGCGCGATCATTAAATTACATCTCTGAAAGATTCATTTCGGGTGGTAGCGGCCTACTAGTAGCCCGGGCCGGGTTAGTTGTCGGTGACTCGGAAAGAATGTTGAAGTAATTATCTTGCTGCTCGATGCCGCTAAACTCTTAGCATCATAGCATGGCAGACTCTGTACAAGTCTGGTACTGTAGTTACTATTTCTACGGGTAACACTTTACTTATTGCTCCGGGAACAAGCCTGCCAGTCTCCGGCGATGGAGATCAGGTGCACTCAGTGTACTGTGTGAGGCAGGATAGTAGTCGCAAACTCCAGTACTCTGTCTTGTCGCGGCACAGCCTCAACTCAGTGACCGTGAGACTGAGACCGTCGACGCCGGGACCGGCGGTCCGATCCGACGAGCCTCCGAGATCCCGGGTCCGAGTCTATCTCTGGCAAGTCCCATCTATAATATTCCGAAGCTCAGGTCGGATCGACTCGATGATTCCACGGCGTTGTGACCGTACGGTTCGTTGTGACCGTACGGTCTGGAACCATCCGTCACGTTGAAGGCTCCGCCCGGCCGGGGCACCGTGACTCAGGGCCCGGCGCCCGGCGGCCGGCCGGGCGGCGTGACTTTCCGTCCTCACGGCGGGATGCCTCACGGTGCGGCGCCGCCGCGCCCGGCCGCAGTGCCAGGACTGGCCGGGCAGGACCGGCGTAGTAGCCGCTGAGCCCGGCCTCTTCAATTGGGCCTGGCAGGCCCGGGCTTGAAGTTGTTTGCTGAGGGCCTCGCCAAGTCACATTGAACTTGACGTATCAGTTAAGTTTGGGGGACAGCAGTCGGCAGGATTGGGTTTGGTTCTCGCTGTCTTTTCTCTTCTCGCCGTTGGACGGTGCCATAGCCCAAAGCCAAGTTGAAGTTGATGATTCAACTTCGGAACACGGCGCCCGGGAGGACAGTCCGTCACGTTGCGGCGCGGCGCCCGGGCCACTCAGCCGGTCACTGTCACTACTCGGCCCGCCTCGGACGGTGGCATGCCGTCCGAGAGTCCGAGAATCGGAAAGTGGACTCAAAAGTTGATATTATTTGACTTATATTTGAACTGAATCATATAGTTTTTCAAAATTGCTAGGGAAACTTGGTTTATTTTTAGATTGACAATTTTTGAAAGGAGTCATGGGACAACTTTCAAAGTGTTCTTTTGCTTCTCGTTTTATTTGAGGTAAGTCTTTCAGTAAATCTCTTATTATTTGAAAATAATCTGGCGCAATTTCCTGAAAATTGGAGAACTAAATACGGGAACCCCGAAATTATTTTTTAAATTGTATTGGAGAGTTACTAGTCATGAGACGAGTCATGTTTGGAGTCATGGGCCAAAAATGTAGGGTGGGGTAGTCAATACTACCCTTACCAACCATAGTTTAATCACCCCTTTAAGTCTACTGGGAACCAGGAGCATTGGAAACGATCGATACCAGGGGTGGTAGAGAGGTCCTTTATTTTTCGGTTTTCCCTCTCGAGTCTTATAAAACGATTTAAAAATATTCCGAACAAATGCTTTTTTCTCAAGTTTTAGACATGACTACCCCGGTCCTTCCCCCACGAAATCCCTGTTTTATGCACAGGTACTCTAAAAAAAAAAGGAAGTGCTGACCACATCGTCATCCTCTCATGACTGAGTCACGTCCCAAGGGGAATACGCTCGTCGAGCTCCTTTCCTGTCCCCCTTCCAATCGCTCTCCTCGCTCTCCACCCCTTTCCTCCCCCTTTCTCCCTCCTCGCCATGAACTGATATGTCTTGAACCCCTGCCCTTCTTGCTATTTCTCTTCATGTCACCCCTGGACGAGGGGTTGCGCTATCAACAAGTTTTGCTAGAGCAAGCCAAGGGATCCATGCATCAACGGCAAGACGTAGACGCGGTGTGTAGCACAGAACTCCGCTGACTTTGTTGACGTTCAATGCAGCTTCTCAGCAACTACCGCAGCCAGATAGAATTCCTCCAACAGAAAGTATGGCATGTGTTCGAGGGGGGTTGAAACTAAACGAATCCAACAGGTCTCAGACATATTGCCTAAGACAAAAGAGTTCGACGAGATATTCATCTTGCGTTATGTTTTGTCATGTGAGATTAACCCCTTATCTAAGCAGCGCTCTCCTCTCAACCTAGCTGATTGCTTGAATCCCAGACGTTGACAGAGAGGGGCTCACAGCTGCGGAGAAAGCCATCAGAGAGAGAATTAAGTTTAGAAAGGAGAACGATGCATGCATCCAAGAGGTTGCCCCTCCCGCACCCTTTTCCTTCAGTACAAGAACTGATTTCATAGGTAGATCATCAGCACCAAGGTTATGCCGAATGTTGAGAAACTCGATGAATTCAAGGTTGTTTAATCCTTGTAAAATGAGAAATGACTTTTGTGAAGATCTCGCACATTGGAGACCTTGACGGCAAAGAACCACTGATCTACGTAATTTTGTGGATATGTTGAAGAGCCATCTCACGTTCCATATTGCTCGTTTTGCAGTTTCGGATCGGTCACTTCAATTCAAAGGGGATCATGAATATTTACACACATGAGCAAGTTGTCAACTACATAAGCCTTGGCCGAGTAAGATTATCCCTTGTTGTTATGTGATTCTGTTTTTCTCAAAGAAAATCTTGCAGGAATTCTTGTTCCAATTGTGTGATGCAAGGACAAGGCAAACAAGAAAGCTGATCAAGATAATTGCGATCTTAGACTTTGACAACTTCTCCATTTTTCGGAGGGATGGCAGATTTGCCAAGGTAAAAGAGGAAAATATTTTCCCACTTGTTTTCTCAAGTAATCGCGTTTTGCGAGAACAGGCTGCAGGAGAGGCCTCCAAGGTTTGAAAATGCCTCCGATCGGATTTTTAATCCTTGATTTCTGGAATTTGCAGTACTCTTCGTTGATTCACCCCCAACTGTTAGGGAGAGTTCTCATCATGAACGCTCCAAGGTACATGAGGGTTGTCATGAATGCTTTTTCGTTCTTCATGTCGAAGTAAGAACTCTTTCCTTGTTGAGTTGATGCTCGTAAACTGCTCGTGTAGGAACTTCGTGGAAAAGATTGTGATCTGCCCCTCTCATCAAGGTTTGACGCCATCGATGGTGAGCACAGTATTTTCGCCTCTTTTATTCTCTCTAACTCTCTGCAGACCGCCTCCACCTGCCCCTTCCTTAGGAGTGCAGCCGGGCCAGATGCTTGGAAGCTCCTTCCAACCGAGCTTGGCGGGTTGGTGGAGTCGGAAGGTACCAAATCATCTTCTTCACAGTCGGACATGGTCAAGGTAAAGTTGCGAATCTGGAGGAAGAGGGATGACGTTGGACAGATCAAGGTGAATGCGAGAAGCAAGGAGCAGCTGCATATCGATATTCCCTGCAACGGACTGAGAGCGGCATGGGAGGTGATGCGGTATCCTTCTTGTGGCATGCGGGAAGTGAAGGAGGAGGCGTTAGGTTGTCGTCGACGATTTTGGCATCGGGATGGAGGCGTTCTTGCATCCTGCAGAGGGGGGCCCGCCTTTGTGTGTTATGGAGATGACGAAGCTCAAGGCTGAGGTGACGAAGCAACGGCTCGGTCTCTGGTCACCTGCTCGCAGAACGGGAGCGCTTCGGGAACGATGGAGCTTCCAGTTCGCGGGGAACTTGTTGTCAGTTTTGACAACACGCACAGGTAAGGATCTTCTTGGTTGTACGGTTGTTGCTGTATTGTTCTTTGTGATGAAGTCGACTGTCCTTCATTTAACTGTGATCGTCAGCAAACTTCGATCAAAATCGATCGATTACCGCATCGAGGTTGACCCTGTGTTTGACGACGTCTTTTGACTCCCGTCCTCCTTCTTTGCATTCGGAGTGTACATTTGTGTAATTACAGAACCGTTGAAAAATTTCCATCAGAGAACTTATTTCTACTTCTCCTTCGCTTAACTCACTCCTTTGTTCCTTCTCCTGACAAGAACTTTTCATACCCCCCCAGCAGATCTCTACAGGACTCCAGCAAGCCTCTCCTCAACCTCACATATTCACACACCTGCGGGTGCAAACGTGTGAACCAGCGAGGAGGTTGAAGAGGAGGTTGAAGAGGAGGAGGATGACCAAGGGGAGGACAAGCAAGGAGGAGGGCGACCTCTCGTTTATCTTCTCGAGTCTTCAAAAACTCATCGCATGCTCCCACTAGCGAATCTATCTTCTCCATCGTCTGCCAGTCATGTCATTTCTCCTCCGACCCCCGCTCTCGCCCTCATCCCTTCTCACCTGCTGTACTGAGGTTCGTTCCTGCTCCTGCACCTCCTCTGAGACATTGGAAGGACAAGTCTTCTGTCACTCAATCACTCTGCGACATTCAAGGTAGTGGAGGAGCTCAACCAGCTTGATCGACTGCTGAAGGACAGGAGGGGGGGGAGAGCGAGTTGTCAGGAAGTTGTCAAAGAGGACTTGGTGAGCTCTGATCCCGCCTGTTCGTATCGATCACGAGCAGAAGCAAAGTTGTCACATCCTGACCTTCTATTTCAAGGACATCCGACTCGTTCTCCTCCAGGCAGAAGGCATACCTGTTACATGCTGCTGTAAGTTTCCCTTCATCTCGATCCCCGTTATGATTGTGCTGTGGAAGAGCATCTTACAGGATTACCTCCAGTAAAAGTGAGAGTTTGGGAAGTGAGCGTAGGAGAAGAGAATCTCGTCGCCTTTCTTGATCTGGCAGAAGAGTCACTCTCTTGACATGTACAAGTCAAACGACTCACAGCCTTGTCCGTTTTGATCTCAATGGCATTGTCACTCGTTGCAAGAACACAGTTCTTGTCATACGAATGATTGACCATGTCAACAAACGGCGTCATCCACGCCATCACCTGCCGTCTATTACGACAGAGACTTCCTGGCATCTTACTTGTCAATCTACCGCGTCCTTGTTCCAGATGTGGAAGCAGCGAGAAATGACGCAGGCATTGAGCCACAGGAGAGGAGGAGGACAGGGCATATCGAACTGCTTCTCCCATCCCTCTTCCTCCACCCGTTAGTCTCACTTGCATCACCGCAGGGCGACCACCACCTTTGAGCTTCTTCCGATGGCTGTTTATCGTGTCCACCAGGACGGAGTCGCAAGCTGACAGAGCAGCGAGATCTTCCTTGGGCATGAGGAGAGGAAACGGCGAGTCAGGAGGAGGAAGCATCTTCGCGTACTCCTTCCAGAAGTTTGAATCTGGGGACGGCAACGGAGAGTCACGAACAAGAGGAGGGTCGGGAAATCTGCAGGAGGAAGAATCGGAGGGAACGGAGCGGGAGGGCTGTTCCATACCGGCAGATAAATGAGGAGGGAGGACGAGGACGGAGAGGGAGGATAAGCAAGGAGGGGGTGGGGGCAGCGAGGGGGGCAAGGACAAGAGACTTAACCATCATCGGAGAAGATGGCGGAGAGCAGGTCAGCAGTCAAGAAGAGCTCGGCGACCCAGGTCATGCTCTTCCTCTCCTGCTCACTCAGCTCGTACTCCGTTTCTCTCTTCGTCCCCTCCGACGGCCCTTCTGCATGATCCCTCAACCTCCCTCCATTCTCCAGGTCCTCACCTGAATCCGCCGCATCCAGCTGCTTGATGATGCACAGATCCAAAGGGACCTGGACGTCCTCGTCACCCTCAAGCTTCAAGATCGAGCCATGACGACCGAGATCACAACTTCTCCCGGTGACATGTCCTCGTCAGCAAACATCCCTCTTCCCCGCGTCCCGTTCCCCAGCGATGCTCTGCAGCGAGAGGTCATGCTTGCCCCTCTTGCTCTTGCTCTTGCTCACTTGCTTCCCCTCCTACTCTCCCTCCTGCTCTCCCTCCTGCTCTCCCTCCTGCTGCTCCATCTCTCACCGCAGCATAACGCCATGCGCTTCCCCGAGCGCCTTGAGTTCGGCCATGGCGTGGAGGGACACCAGGAGGACAGCAGAGAAATTCAGTTTTCCATTAGAGGGACGGCAGGGCAGTAGGAGATACAAGCAGGTGTGCTCAGGTACGTAGCCGAAAATGGACAGGAAACAAGTTGGGGGGGGGGAGGGGGGGGGAGACGACGAGGAGGAAGACAGGAGAACGTGTGAGAGGGTCAGGAGAGGAGATCAGAAGAAGAGGGGGAAGGAGAGGAGAGAAGGGGAAGGGAAGAGAAGGCAAGGAGAGGAGAGAAGGGAATTGAGGGAGAAAAATTTCTAAAGGGGGCAGTTTGAAAATCATGTTCGAGATGGCTGACGGAGTCGTTGCGGACACCTTTCTGAGTTGGTCATGTTGTCTCGTGACTTGTTGCCATGGCAGATCCTCCCTGATGTCAACGAGCAATGCAGGGGAGCCGAGCGATGTCAGGCAGCGGAATGTGGCAGGGGAAAAGGCGGCGAAGGAGGGGCGGAGGGTGATAGAAGTGTCGGACAACAACGTCTGGTTGGCATTATGGCAGAAGTATGTGAACGCGAACAAGACGCATCCTCTCAGGACAAAGTGCTTGACGACAGGTGGCCATGTGGAGTTTTGGCGCCATGTTCTGACGTGACCTGTTGCAGGAGTCCTCATGGCTACGGGGAATTGTGGAGCGCAGGCAATCATGATGATGAAAGGGAAGCAGAAGGGCTTCATCTATCGCAAGGTGACATGCAGGCAGCAGTCTCCTCGTCTCATGGATGACTTTGTGTCTTCAGCTGCTTGCCTTTGTTTTCTTCGGCACTTTCCTCAGTGGTCCTATGGGACATGCATGGCTGAAATTTCTCAACGGCCATAAAGTGAGGATCAAGGGTCAACTTCTTATCTTATACAAGGTAGTCGACGCTGATTGATATGCTTCTCTGAGAGCTCGTGCGGTTTGTTCTTGTGACGTTTGTTGTCAGATCATCCTTGACAGATTTCTATACGGGCCAATGTTCAATGCGATCATGATGAGTTTTGTATACAAAATTTCGGGTCAGAGTTGGAAGGGAGTGAGTCGAAGATAGATTGAGTTGCTGTTGTTAATGACATCCCACAAGGTGTTTGAGAGCTTGAAGAAAACATTTTGGGCAGCACAGGTGGAGATGTAGCAGACTTTAATTGTTCTCAACTTTTTCTCGTCGTCTCAGGTTTTGAACTGGAAGATTTGGCCGATTGCGCAATACATCAACTTTAACTTCATTCCGCCAGAATTGCAGGTGAAGTCACTTTGAGCAGCTGACGTGTTTGATCTAACAATCTCATTACAAACAGCTTCTCTACATGAATCTCGTTGCGCTGTAAGAAAACGCTCGACACTTGCCAGCATTGTGTTTTGAGAATGGAATGCAGGTGTTGGACCCTTATACTCTCCCTGCAGATGAGCTAGGGAGTAGCTGGACAAGGATGGGAGAGAATTATTATGAGATGCGAACATAAGACGAGATTGAAGGAGAGATGAGACAATGAAGCTTCATGACTTAGAGTGTCGCTTTTGATCGTCACTGCGAGAGATAGGAGTCAGCGAGAAGAGAGGAGGGTGAGAGGAGGAGATGAACGATGAAGTTGAAATATGTACATGAAGTACACCAAGAGAACAACAGGGCACGACAAAACAGAGCAGGAGCAGGAGCAAGCAGGAGCAGGAGCAGGAGCAGGAGCAGGAGCAGGAGCAGGAGCAGGAGCAGGAGCAGGAGCAGGAGCAGGAGCAGGAGCAGGAGCAGTAGAGGGAATGTAACACAGCAGGTGGAACGGAGGAGTGAACAAAGTTGTAAGGACTGGCACCTCCTCTGAAGCGGAGAAGGTGAGATGGATGAGGAGCTGTGCGAGTGCTGCAAGGCAAAGAGCCCACGAGGCCTGCGATGAAGAGATGGGCCGGGGTGCCGAGGAGAGTTCACTCCTGTAGAGATATGAGGGAAGACGGAGGAGAGAACGAGGAAGCGTGTAGAGGTGGGGGAAGAGGGAAGCAGGAGGAGAAGGAAGGGGAGGAGGAGAAGAGAGGCGAGCGGAGAGAGGAGAGAGGAGAGAGGAGAGAGGAGAGAGGAGAGAGGAGAGAGATAAGAGGAGGAGGAGGGAAGGGGAGGTGGGGAGGGCGGAGGGAGGAAGGAGATTGTTGCACCTGCACTCCGTACACCATCGAGCGGAACTCTGATGAGAGTAACTTCGTAACATCCAGACACTGGAGACGCATATGCAACGGCAATTTAGAGAAATGAGAAATGAAGTGGGGAAACGAAGAGGGAGGAGGGAGGAGGTGAAGGAAGAGTGACGTACAAGAGAGGATGGAGGAGGGGGATGAAAGAGTGAGAGAGAGTGGGGGAAAGTGATGGATCGATCACTGACCGTCATCTGCATCTATTCAAGTAATCAAGTCAGAACGAAAGAAAAGAAGAAGCAAGGTGGGGAAGACGTCTAAAGACAAGGTAGTTTTTCACCTTCGCCTGCTTTTCTTGAAAGTTTCATTCTCACTTTCGATCCAACCTTTGTCAAATCGTTATCTTCATGACCAATCCTCCTCCTCCTCCTCCTCCTCCTCCTCCACAATCTCCAGATGTTTACCGGCCCACGTAGAAGATTCGCAACGTCCAGCTGTGAAAGATGTTTTCCTGACATCGACAATGTCACATGCCACCTCTCTAATGTATGCTTTGTCCCATAACAAACATCCTCTCTCCATCACCATCACCATCACCATCACCATCAACATTAAAATTAACATCGCCATCACCATCAGGAGCATGACATTCACCGTATGATCTGCTTGCTCTATCCACGTCGACCCCATCGACATTGAGGAGAATATCCCCCGCCTGTCAAAGACAGCGAGCAGTTACCTCATCTCCTCCTCTCAGCTCTCCTTCAGCTCGTTTCCCACCTTGATCTGCCCACAAACAGCAGCTGGCGAGCCGTTTCTCAACCCCATGATGTAGAAATTCCCGTCCTGCCCAGTGCTGAACGACATTCCAATCCCTCCTTGTCGCTCTGCCTCATAACGTGGAATTTCGTCGCCGTCTGAAACTGAGCTGGTGGACGAGGAGCAGGTTAGGTGAGACCACTCATGAGGAGGAGGAGGAGGAGGAGGAGGAGGAGGAGGAGGAGGAGGAGGAGGAGGAGGAGGAGGAGGAGGAGGAGGAGGCACAACCTGGGTGCGCTGGGGAGGGAGATGCTACGAGTTTCCTTGCGGAGAGAGGAGTTGGTGTAGAGACGATCCGACATCTGCTTGCTCTCCTCTTCTGCATCTGCTAGATTTTTCCTCAAAGTCCTGTCAATGTGATTCCTATCGAGCTCGATGTCTTCCAGCGCCTGCCAGAGCTTGTCAAGAGACACCTCTGCGTCTTCTGGGTCCCGTTGAGCATCCTCCTTGTCGTATCGGAGGAGGAGGGAAAACACTTCCTGCTTTAGAAACTCCACGACCTGCTGCTGATCTTGCGACAGATTCTCCACGATGAAGTTCTGCAACTTTGCCTGAAGGTTGTAGATGTCGTACTGACAAGACTTGCACTTGACAAGCTCGTGGATCGAGCTCTTGCTGAGAGACATCAACTTATCACAGAGAAGGGAGTACTCATGTTGACATTGAGTCACGGTGTGATGGTTCCGTTCGTGTAGGCTGCTCTTTGAGTTTGCAGCGGCGAGATCCTCGGAGAGCAGCGCGATTTCTTCCTTGAGAGCCGTCTGCTGTTGAGCAACGATGGTGTGAGTTTTGATGATCTCAGCTTGAACCTTGTTTTCCTCCTTCACTTGGCTGAACAGGTCGATCTCATCTGCCAGCTGCTTCTGCATGATGATCATGTCAGCTCGCAAGGAGGACAGCTGTTTCCTCAACGCTGCGATCTCTTTCCCACTCTTTGCAAGCTGTTGGTATGTAGAGAAGAGTTCAGACTGAGTACTGAACAGCGTCATCTCTAGCTGCGCGACTTTCTGGTGCGTCTCTAGATACTCTCCGCTCATTTGCACCCTCAGGTTTGGTGCAACTTCCTTTCTCCCCCCCATCTGCGAGGCTTCCAGGGTCTGGTCACTCTCAGATGCTCTGGACCAGCAGATCTCGAGCATGAGCTGCCTGAAACGTTTCTGCGATGCAGTGTAAGGAGGGGATATATCATGCACGGTACTCCTACCAATCCTCGCTGCAACATGTGCAGGTTGACATCACCCCGCAGCATCATGCACTTGGCCATGTGCGTAGCGAACTTGTTCATCACTTCACCAACAGAAGCAGGAGAGCATGAGCGAGACGCATCTCCATCATGCTGCTTCCCTCCCTCCGCCTCCCGTTGCCACTGCTCCTGCGCTTCAGCACAGACTGCTCGCACCGCTTCAACGAACTCTGCATCCTGAATCTGCGGTAGTTTCTGCAGCATTCCGAATGCCAGACGAGGCCAAAGGAGGGGGGAGAGCTTCATGCAGTCTTCGAGCTCGTCTGGACCAGATCGCAACGCGGGAACTGGAGCAGCTGAGAGAGAAGCATGCTCGTACTTGTGAAGTTGCCTCTTGAGGCCCTCGACCTGTTGTATCAGACGTTGATTGTCCGTGACAAAGGAGCTGCTCTCCTGGTAGACGGCGTTCCTGCCAGTTTCGATCGGTTACATGTAAAAGTAGAAGCCATGCGTGAAGCCAAAGGTCACCTTGAACGAACGGCCTCTAAGAACCCATCCCTCATCTTTGCGCTGATTGCCTTGCGAGTTCACCCGATATGCACAAGGTTCGCTTCCTCAAGATATCGACATCCTGGAAGATGGCGTGAGAGCTGATAACGAAGCATTACCAAAGCATCTGCAAAGCGAGCTATGAACTCAACTTGCATCTGTAATGTTTGATGAAGATGGGGAGATGATCATCATGCAATCGATCATGACAGCATGAGCATCATATGATTGAGATTGTTGTGATGTACGTGGTATGATTCAAATGTGCCTGCTGCTGTTTCTTTTCCATCCCCACATGCCTCCCTCTCCCCCTTCCTGGTATGCAACAAACTTCATGCGATGTTAGAACATTTTTACTCATCATCGGGGTAAAAGATCCTGCAGTAGCAGTTCTAACTAAAATAAAAGAACTATCAAATCCGCCTCAGGAGAGATTACTACACAAATCATAAGGCAGCACAATTTGTCGATCCTGAGCTGAGACACTGAGGCATGCTTGTAGCTCCGAGAGTTTGAAAACCACCCTTAGATCCACTACCCCTAAAGGTACCAACTATCACCCCCTACTCTCATAGCTCACTGTCCAGGGCATTCAGTACCCCGCAATGCAAATGGAAATCCAGGGGTGGGTCAGGGGTGGGCCCCCGGTTTGAAGGCGCCATAATGGCGGGTAAGTTGGCTAGTGATCGGATGAGGCGCAGGAGGAGCAGCAGGAGGAGGGCAAGGAGGGACAGGATGAGAAGCAGGATCAGGGGTATCAGGAGGTAGAGCAGAAGGAGCATGAGAAAGAAACTGGAGGGAGAACATTGTAAGATTGGGTGCAGTAGCGGAAAGTGTACGATAACAATACTGAGGTCTTATCTGGAGTACTCTCAAATGTTGAGTTGCGAGAATGCATGAGGGTAAGATAATTGTAGTATGTGGAGATGTTGCATCTTTACGAGAAATAGTGTTATCAATCTCCAAGTAATTCTGCAAGGAGGTAGCGAGTGTAGTGGGGTTTGTCGGTTGTCTTGCATTTCTGAACGGTTTTGCTCCACAGGTGTTTTCTTCGTTTGAAAAGATCGAGCTTCTGTAGACAAGGATGTCGTCAGAAGCAGACGAGACTGTTTTCGTAAAGAAAACGAAAAACGTGGATGTGCAGCTTGTACAGCAGCTAAGGAACGACAAAGACCTCATTGCAAAGCTCCTAGAAGCAGATTCGAATCAGAATGCTGATCTCCGCGACAAACTCATGGACGAAGCAGAAGGCTTCTTTGACTCTGTTTCTTCATGGAAGATTTCTGAGGAAGAACAGAAACTGGGAATCGACGATGCTCTTTACTTGTTCCAACTTGCTCAGGTCATCATGGAGATCAAATCCGTCAAGCTCCAGGAAGAGGAGGACGGACATGCCGACACGAAGAAGAAATTGAAGAAGACCAAGGACGAATTGAAGAAAGCGAAGGATGAGAACCGAATTCAGTTGGAGAAAATCGCTGAAATGGACGAAGAGATGTCGAGCTATACACAAGAGCTGGAAGCAGCGTACACAACAAACGCCGCTAGTCGCACTAGAGGCGATACTCCTCTCCAATCGTCCACACTGAGGTCAGACACAGAAGTCAAGATACTTGAGAGACAACTTGAGTCAACCAAGGAAGAGCTCAATACTGCAAAGAGGAACTTGGCAAACGAGGTTGGTAAAACTAAAGATTTGGACTCTGAACTGAGCAAGGCCCGGAGAGACCTTGATGATCTGAAGAGTCAAATCAGGGAGCTGGAGACTCAGGTAGAGGATCTCACAGTAGAAAAGCAAGATCTCCAGAGGAAGGGCGCAAAAGCGAATGAACTCAAGCAGAAATCTACCAAGAACGTCCTCAAGTATATCAAGGAAATCCAGGCGATTACTGAGAAAAATGGCGAACTTGAAGATGCCTTGAAAACTACGAAAGATGAGCTGGAATTAATCACAATGGATCGTGCGTCAGTCAGTGAGCAGCTGGAAACCACTCGAACAGCTCTGGATAAAGTCACGAAGACAAAAGAAGATCTGGAGTCCGAGAACAGGCAGCTGAGAGACAAAGTTGCGGAGTTGACGGTTCGAGAAGATCAGCGGGAAGAAGACCACGAGGCTCTCATGCAGCAGATCTCTCAAAAGGTGAAGTCTTTGAAGGAAGAGTCCGCCCACAGAGCTGGCGAACTTGCCGCACGAGAAGCTGAACTTCAGAAAGCGCTGTCCACAATCCGAAAGATGGAAGCTGAGAAGAAGCACAATGAGGCTGAACGTAGACGAGAAGAAATGCAGAATCAGATCGAGCAGTTGCAATCAGAGAAGAGTGAGCTGCTTGATAAATACGTCCAGCTGCAAAAAGAAAACAAGACCATTCGAACTCAGTTGAACAAAGCTGCTGAAGAAGAGAAGAAAGTTGAAAAACGGATGCAGATGCATTATCGTGCTCGTGAGAATGAAGTTCGGACTGCTTTCTTTGCGCGTCAAGAGGAGATGAACGAAGCAGAGAGGAGAAAATCAGACCTGGAGAATCAGCTTGCCGATGCTCAAAACCAGATCCTTGAGTTGGAGAGCCACATTTCCAAGCTCGAGAGTGGGACCTTTGGCTTGTCTGATGCAATGAGTAAGATTAGGGAGCTCAAACGTGAGCTCGAGACCTCTCATGGAAAGATCAGTTCCCGTATGAAGGATCTGAATGAGTCGTGGAGGAAGATCGAAGACTTGTACGAAGAGGTCAGATTACTTCGAGATCAGCTAAAGCGCATCGACCCTTCTCTCAAGAACGTGGACTTCTTGCCTGTCAACGAGCTCGATCAAGGCAGTGAACTTGAATGGACTGATCACAAACCAGGTTTCCGCCTGGACATCTCAGCGTACAAGGTGAAGACTGCGATGGAACTGGAGAAGGCGAAAGCAGCTACCTTGCAGCTCGAGCGAGAAGTTGAGGCCCTCGAGACTGAGCGGTTGGAGATGAAATCGCAACTTCGACATTTGTCTCTGCAGCGGGGAGAACGAGCTGCTCGGCTCGGAATGTCGGCTGCTGACATTGAAAAGCTCGATGCATTCGCTGAACAGCTCAAGAGTGGGATCGACGGGCCTCTGATGGACTCGGGACCTTCAGCTGGGGAGAAGAACAGGGTGCGCAAGCTGGAACAGAGGCTGGAGGAGAAAGAGAGAGAGCTGAAGGAGACCCAGAAAGCTCTCTCAGACGCTCTAGAGAAGAACGAGGCTCTTGAAGACGACCTCAGGAGTAAAAATACGATTCGAGGAGCTATTCAAGACCTGCAAGCTCTTAAGGATGGCTTGTCACAGGCCTACTCCCAGCAGTTCGCTTACATGGAACAACTCTCTCAATCTGGTCCTTACGTGCAAGAACAAGCTCTACCAGAGGAAGCTGCAGCAGCTACCGATGCTATGGATGTCAGCGAAGGAAACCAGCCCTCCCGTGCTGCTGGAAAACCTCCAGCTGCTCCTCAAGCTGCTCCTTCAGCTGCTTCTCAAGCTGCTCCTTCAGCTGCTTCTCAAGCTGCTTCTTCAGCTGCTCCTCAAGCTGCTCCTTCAGCTGCTCCTCAAGCTGCTTCCTCAGGTTTGCAACCGGCTGGTGATGGTCAGTCTTCTTCATCTACTGCTGCTGGTTCACAGTCGGGAGGTGGGCGGGGCACTCGAACACCATCAGGAGGATCTAGCACGGGGAAGCCAGAAGCTTCCAAGGGCCAGCCGCTGTTGCAGGGGACACCGTCTCGTGCTGCTATGTCTTACGTACCTCCTCCGATGCTGTTCGGATCGAACAATATTGTAGAGCAGCTGTCCAAGGCGCTAAGGGAAGGAGAGTTAGGAAACGAAGCTAGCCTTCAGGTGCATGTAAGGTCTTGCAAGAATCTGCCAAGACAGAGGTGCTACTTGAGTCTTTCGACGAAGCAGTCAAGAGACACTCGAAAGAGCCAGACGCAGTCGAACACCAACAATCCGTCCTTCGACGAGTCGTTCAGTTTCGTCGTGCAGAACCGGAATACAGATGTCATGGTTGTGAATGTCTTTGAAGTCGGACCCCAAAATCTTCAAGACGACAGTCAATTGCTCGGCAAAGTCGAGCTTCGCGTCTCTGACTTTGGCAAGTTGGACAAGGAAGTTTGGGGAGGATCCACAAGTGGCTGGTTTGATCTGCTTGATAGCAACGGGAATGCGGTGTACGCGTCTCCCGGAGACTCGCGCAAGAGTCAGATTGACCTGACGGTTGAATTCGTTGAAGCACCGAAGAAGAAAGTGGCGCAACTTGAGAAACAGCTGGAGAACTTGCAGAACCTCTACGACATTGCAAAGGAAAGAATCGAGTCGCGCGAGTCAGAAATCCGCAGGTTGAACGAGGACTTGACACGGAAGACTGAAGATCTGGTGGAAGTGAGGTCAGAGAGGGACGATGCAAGGGATCAACTGAAGAAGATCAGAATGAATGCTGGCATTGCTTCCACACAGGTAGCCTTCCAACCAGCTCGAAGCGTTTCGACTCCGCAAGAGACGTCGAAGGAGGCGACGTTAGGGGCAACGTCGTTGCAAACTGCTGAGGTCGTGTCTCAGGAGTCTTACGAAGTTGTGCAGAAGCTCAATCAGGAGATTGGAAACCTGAACGCATACTTGATACAAACTTTGGATGATCTTGGCAACAAGGAAGATGAGCTCGCCAAGAGCAAGGAGGAGATGAAGAGAAACAGAGAAGATCTCGACGTTATCAAGACTCAACAGCTCCTGATCTACAAAGAATACGCACAGAAGGTCGGAGGACTTGAGTCAGAGATTGAAGCCTTGCGGAAGAAATTAGCGACAGAGCGAGACAAGAGCGAGCAAGAGAGCAAGAAAGCGTTTTCAGCTTTGAGGAAGTTTCAAGACCTCTCTGAAAATCTTCATCCAGACGATGTGAAAAGGAAATTGATTGAGTCGGAGAGGAACCTGATTCTCATTCAAGCTGACCAGGACACTGCTGATCGAGTTGCGAAGCTAAAGAGCGAAGAGGCAAGGCAGCTGAGG